TCTCTCCTTTTGAATGGTGTCATTGGTGTGCGTGGAAAGTTGGTGTGATGGAATTGCATGTAAAGTTGTTTTGCTAAGAAAAAGGACAGAAATGTTTAGATAATGCATAAAGTTAAGAGACAAACTAATCCACACATATATTTTAATAATTAGTAAAATTTCGTATAACAAAATACATATAGATGTACCTTAGTAGTAATTAATATTTGTTAAAATAAATTGATATAATGACAACATCCTGAATTCATCTATATATACTCGGATTTAATAAAGAAAATTATTTTCCTTTGGTTATGACGTAATGCTATTGTACCACACACCAATACATCCCATTTGTAACTATTTTCATCCAGAATTGGCAATCACTAATCACTAAAAAGAGAAGAGAATATAAAAAGAATTATTCTAAATACAAAATATTATTCTTTTGATTATGATTGCATCACTATTGCATTTCTTTAATTAAATATTTAMTAGTGCACGTGGTAGTACACGACACGGCAGCCATCTTGATTTTTTCCTCAGCAATGTTTTGCCCGCGAAAATTCAAATAATAAGAAATGTTTTTTTATCATTAATCCGTAACCACAAAATTAATTATAATAATAATAATAATACTTTTATTATCTGAAACAATATTTACTTTCAAGTGTGCTGCTTAATAATGATACACATTTTACCAATCATTAATAAAATATAGATTACCCATAATATGTTTTTATTAATTGATTATAAACAAATGAAACCTAGATCAGTTTTTATTTAATAAAAAGAAAGTGTATTTCAATAGTATTATAATAATTACTTCTTCTTCTTCTTCTTCTTCTAACAAAATTATTCGGTTTACCTTTTAACCTACATGTGTATTATTGTGGGGTGCAAAATAGACATATAAGTGTTTAATATAATAATGTTAGTTGCAGTATTGTTGGATTCTTCTTATCAATCTTGATAATAATGAGTAGGCATTTYKAGTCAAATTATTTACCTATYCWGTTAAATGAATCAGTTTATCAATCAGTTTGATATAGGTTTGTTTTTTACAAATGCAAGATTGCAATGCTTACCTTTTGACAAATTCTTCTCTTGATTATTCTTTGTTAGTGCACCTACATTCTATTTACCATATATTATAGAATAAAACTCTTGTTCAGATGACATAATCAATACAAACTTCTAATCGTTAACCATAAGAAAATGAATTATATATCCATTGATCCAATGGTGTAATGGACTCCTCTTCTTTTGAGTATAATTTTCTTGGATTAGAATTAAAAATATAGATCTGCATGCTGATCTTAAAATATTTAAAAAGAAGTACTTTATATATGTACCAAAATAAGTTAGAAAAGGGAGAAAATGTTTAGATAATGCATAAAGTTAAAAAACAAAATATATACTTTACTTACTAGTATTTGTTATAATAATTTGATAAAAAGAACGTCTGGAATTCATCTGCATTCTCGGATTTAATTAAGAAAATTATTTTTCTAAGGTTATGACATAACACTGTCCCACAGCACTTTATCCAGTTTAATTATTTTCATCCAGAATTGGCGATCACTAAATAAAGAATATGAAACGAATTATTATAAATAAAAATTTTATTCACTTGATTATTGCATCACTAAAAGGATTTTTTTAATTAAATACTTTACACTGCACGTAGCCTGTATTTATGGTATTCAAAGTACATTGACAGGTAGCCATCTTGATTTTATCCTAGTGATGTTTTATCTTTTGTCTAGATGGCGAAACATATTCTACTAATCGGTAAGACATAGTAACATTTACTTCCGCTAGATGGCAGCCTAAATTTACTAGTCGGTACAGTGAAGTAATATCTAGTACCGATAGGTGGCGATACACATTTTACCAGTCGGTAATAAAATATAGATTACCTAGACGCACACAATATGTTTTTATTAATTGATTAAAAATAAATGCAACTCCCCAATCAATTTTTATATGATAAAAGTAAGTTTATTTTAATAGTATTATAATATTTACCTCTTCTTCTAACAAAATTATTATATTTGCCTCTAACGTATTATTGTCTAGATTATTTTTAGTCAGAACAACTGCATTCTATTCATATAATAATTCACATGGAATTCTTAGCAAGGAAGATATTAATTTATATAAATACATAAATTTTTCTTGGCAGTCGATGAACAATAATATCTTCCATCATCGTTTAGAAAACCTGGTAAAAGATTTTGTACAAGAATAGAATTTTCTAATATAATGTAATTGCCTTTTGTTTTCCTAATTAGTGATAACTAGGATGCATTCCTTCTGCTAATCTTTTGATAGAATATTACTGCATATGGTTTCTTCCAAGTGTAAGTATAATAAAAACAGTACATTCAAAAATCTTTTATTGTTGCAGTATTATTGGATTCTTTTTATCATTCTTTATAGTAATGAGTAGACACTTCCAATTTACCTTCCCTGTTGTATGAATCAGTTATCAACTCCTTCCCTACGAACTTTTCAGAAACAGTCTACCCTATGAGGTTAGTGTAATATGTTGTATGTTCATAATATAATCTATGAACAGTCAACGTCAATGTTCAGGATATCTTGGAACCTTTTTGCGAGTTTTGTTACATCTATTAACAGTCTACGTCAATGTTCAGGAGAGATCTTGGAACCGAGGTAATGCAGACTCTTTTTGATGTGTGTATTACAGTTGCACACATGCGCAATGTTCGGAAAGTCATATAAACTGCATTGCATAAAGGAATTTTGACAGATGACAACTTGCCAGTTTGAAGGTGAATCTCGAAGAGGACGGTACTTCGATCATATACTTGGTGTTTTTAAACAACAATACGCGTTTCCTTCGATTAATTAACAATTATTTATGTATTTTAATACACTTTTTATACAATACAGGACAATTTAACCCTCGAAGCCATCACTGTGTAGGAGCGATGAAATAGTTACATAGAATAGAAAAAAAGATATATTCTTATCGTTATAATGTAAAATTTATTTTATTAAAAGGGTTATTAACGTAATGCACATGTTCAGCATTCAGAAAGCCCGTTTATTCCGTTGTTATCCCGTTAATTTCAAATAATCTTTTCAATTAATTTTCTAACGTAAATCTTCCTATTATATATCAAATGATAGCATCATGCAAGAACTTTATACATGTGTGTTTTCATTTTTCACTTTATTTTTGGTATCTGAGCATGGGGAAAGTGCAGCACTCTTTCTTTCAAAGATTTGGAATAATGTAATTTTTAATTTTAACATAGATTTAATAATATAATCATTTGAAATAAAAATAATTACTAGTATATAAAAGTAAATAGCGTGCAACACGTCCGTAACGAGAAAGAAAACTCATAAACGTTCCACGTTAGGTATAATAAATTGGCAACAACAGATATTATGTCTTATTGACAAGATTTATAATAATATTGTTCACAAATAAAATTTAATAATTTTTTTTTTTTTAATGAAATTCTGCCTAGAATTTTTAAGAGATACTCCACTAAGGTAATAGTCGTCAATAATAAAAATATGAGGCTTTGATAAGTAAATAAGTTTATATTTACAGCGATTATCGTTCATCTTATTTTTGCAACAAGTTATATAATAAAAGTATCACTAATTTCTAGTTTCGATATATTTTGCGCAGGACGAGTTAATTGTCGAGATTTTCCTGTTGATTTAATAAATCAAATTCTTTCATTTATATTTACGAAATTCTCCTGCATGAATATTTATTATTACATTTAAATATATCATAAATCTTGTTCTTTCTCTTCTCACCTTTTCACGCGTTTATGTATATACTTACATATCGCAAACACAAATCTATAAGACACACGTAGTTATAGTTTTCTTGAAACAACGTTATGTATTTATTATTACACGAGCATGCATCTTCTTGCCTCTTACATTCGTCACTCATTATTATAATAATATAAAAATCACAGCATACAAGAAACCTAATTCAAATGATCGATTTTATCCTAATGGAGCAATGTCGCAAAGTTTCAGATTTTTCATTTTTTAATTGTCTTTTGTGCAGAAAATACTACTACCTACAATAATCATGAAAAGCGATTTTCTTTCTCTCATTCTTTCTCTCACTCTCTCTCTCTCTCTCTCTCTCTTTTACGTATATTTACGTATTTTTCTCCCAATCAATCAATCAATCTCTCGTAATTCACGTAAATAATTGTAGATTGAAATCGTGGAATGTAAGCCACAATCGCGTCAGTAACAGATATATAAATTTCGAATATAAATTTTGGTAGTAAAAATATATATATTTATTTGTTTATTTAACTATACATAACTTTGTGTATGATCGCGTATGTAATGGGGATGTATATATATGTGTATGTGTATGTGTATGTGTATGTGTGTGTGTGTATATATATATATATATATACGCATATACGAATCGTTCACAGGCCAAAGCGACTAAAAATTGTTAAAACGTGAAAACGTAATTATTTGAGAAACATATGCATAATTGACGCTTAATTGTCCATATTTAATATAAATTTCCTTTATAAAAAGCTTAAATATCATTTTGAAATAAGAAAATGTTATACGGCTGAATAAATGATATAACTTTAATATAATTGTAACTTTATCAATTTATTCAACTTTTATTTATTTAAGAAATTTTAATGAATCGATTTGGCAAATGAGCGGTTCATATATAACTCTGGCCCCAATTTTTCATAAAATTCTTTTTCGTTAATAGAATTCTTTTTCTATCAATTTTTCTGTACTATAATAATCTATGTATATACATTGACTATATTCTTAGTTATAGTCGACACTATCTATATATAAATTTTATATAACGGTGCGCGTAATTTTTTATTCACCGATTACTACTCGTAATTAGACTATTTGAAAGTATTCATTTAAAACAATCAAATAAAATATAGATACACAGTCTTATTAACTAGAAAGATAGTCGTTGGCACAAATGACTGCTTAACACGTTGAGTGCCAGGTCAGTCATCAGTGACTGACACTGAACTTTACGTTCAGGCCGCGTCAAGCGCCGGTGTCTGACAGTATAAAATATGATATAAAACTTAAAAAATTGTTAATTTCTTATGCAATTATTAAAAATTTATTTAAAATTTACCTAATTTTTATTTATTACAGGATTATATCATTCATTTTTTTTTTTTTATGGATCTTATTGAAACACGATAAACATAAAAAATCTTGTTTTGAAATAATAAAAAAGAAATAATAATTCTAATATATTTACATATTTGCATGGAGTAAATATCAATCAGTTAGTAGTGTGCTTCGCATTGCAATATGCAATATCAGTGCTTTTAAAGAGCGCACGTGGCCTGACGAAGATATCCATAAGAATTCGCATGGCGCTCAACGTGTTAAAAATAAACTAGGCCGCGAAGCATTAGCCTTTATTTGACAATATTTTTGTTTGAATAATTTTATAATTACGAAAGTAGTAGGAAATATAATAAACGACGATCATTTTTATCTCATATGTTATAATCGTTGAAAGATGTGCAACAGAAAATCAATTATTTTTTGTACTAACAATGTTGAGCAATTTAAAATATACGATTAAATTAAATGATTGCGAGATATGCATGTGAATGTCGCTAAATCGTTTGCGAAGAAAGTTTCCATATGAATGCGGACATTGCGCACATATCCTATATTATGTTTGCACTGATAATATGATTTATTAGCTTTATACTATTTCACACACACGCACACGCACACGCACACGCACACGCGACGCGCACGCTCATGTACACGTATGTACACATATGTACACACATTTGTACGCATATGTATATATGTGTATATGCATATATTGGGCATATTTAATCTATATTTGAGGACAAGGTAAAACTAAAACGTTTCGCAATAAAAAAAGGGTTTTCATGAAAAAAGAGATATGGATAAACATTAGCGGAATATCCGCAAACCTTTAAGCTTCATTGAAGCGTCCACCGATTCGACACGACGATTCACCGCTTATGTTAAACTAAAGTATTTTTCCGCGACGGTTATAACGGTTATAACGAATCATCATGCATTACGAAACATACAATAATAGGCAATCCAGATCTTTCGTTTTTTACTAGAATCGATATGTTGGGAGAATAGCCTCCCATTTTACAGCTTACGTTGTAATCATTGAACATTATACACATTATATAATATTCGATTTTATTAAAATATTATATTTCGTAAATCTGCTTTAAAAAATCACGACGATACTCTAAACTATGTATTAGACGTAATTTTTGTTAAAATATTTTGCACGCTTAATTTCAATCCATGTTAATAAGTTGTTGAATGTCCTTTAAGAAGTGTGTTGTTGCTCGTTAACCGATAGATGTTATCTGATTGCACTTGAGTAACAGGCATTAATGGACAATGCTAAATCCCACGATATTTACTCATTCTCATGAGTCCCATATTCTTCGAGAAAAATCGTTCATAATCACAGACTGCTAAAATCTTGTTCACCATTATGGCCCGACTGTAGTAAAAAGGGGATTTCATATTTTCATTGTTGTACTATTATAATAAGCGATGGATTTCTGAACGACGCGTGAACAAAGTTGTCGATATGTCTTTCGGCATATCGAGCTTGCCATAGAAAGAAATATCTTACTACGACTTTATCGATCTCCATGTCTTGGATCGATTCCAGTCGATTCTAGAATTGGTAACCAAATAGCGATTTCCATTTTTCCTCCATCTAGCCCTTGGAAAAAAGTAAGATCTTCGATCCTACCCCTCAAGTTTGGCTTGGCTTGGTTTGGCTTGGTTTGGCTTGGCTTTCGTAGGAATATTGCTCCATATTGGACGGCCTTTCGTTATCCTTTTTCGTCTCTTTGCATATCATTGCAGAGACATATCTATCCAGTTATAAAAGGAGAGAAGCAACGTCCAGTGCTACCCTACCCCAATGCTATCATCATCGTATCGTATGTAATCGTGCTTTGTCGCGCGATATCAACGCTAGGACCCTCGTCACTTCCTCTCTTCCGGTTCCTGACTGATCTTAACGAGATTGTACGCGTGACTTCTGTACTTGGTAGGTGGATCGTGTAACGGTAGAGGTTGCTCGCTCAACGGTTGATTCATACTGGACATGGAGAGATCCGTCGGCATGTCCGCTTCCGCGTCGAGACCGCTTCCGGTAATGCTTCCCTCCTCCTCCGGTTCCGATTTTATTAGCATTTGTTGCCGCAATAGAGATATATTCTTGATATTTTTCAACTCGGTTGGATTTCGAAGAAATCTGCAAGATGTCAAGTAAAGAAAGAATCGTGGAAAAGAAAAAAAAAACTTAATGAAACTTTACAATTACTCACTGATAGCAATGCCGCTCTCCCTGGACTTTCCTAAGTATGTTTACGCGATAATAATAACGTAAAGCTCTGCTCATCTTGTCATAATTCATAGACAAATGATTTTTCTGTATTCCCCAGAGGCGTGCTAAACCAGGAGGGTCAACGATCTTAAAAACTCCGGTCTCTCGACTTTTCCAGGCAATATAATTAGTATACCGTTGGGATGAATCGTTAAGCAACTGCTGAAGAAAATCCCATAAAAGCCTTCCATCTGCAATAGAAGTAAGATCTACTATAATATTTTTCATCCTTATATTGTAATATATGTATTGTACTAATATGTATGGATCCGCGCAAGAGATACGAACTGGTATTAGGTTCGGACGAGTCGGTAGGAAAGAATTCTCTGGCGGTATTCGCGGCTGCAGCAGCGGCGGCAGCAGCGGCAGCAGCAGCGGCAGCTGCGGCGGCGGCGGTCGGCCTATACGCACCCGGAGTAAGAGGCATCATTTGGGAAGGTAACGTCGTCGGACTTGCTTGATCCTTTACGCTAACTTCGAGTTTGAGTCTTTGCGCTGCGAGTGCCGTAGGTGTAGCCGGTGGACTGTTACTTCCTCCTACTTGATGATTGTCCTCGTCCGAATCGCTTTTATAAATTTGCATCTGATTAGCGTCGGCGTGCCCGGGTGAACCAGCTTGGCTATCGATGGACGGTGCCGGGGACAAAGTTACCGAATTTGCCGACATCAGGGTGGCCAGATTAGCGTATGGATTTTCTGTCCACGTAGGCGTAGGCGGATGCGAATGAGGACTAAGCGGATATGCCGACGGTCTGGTAGGAGTTACTGGACTACTGGGAAGGCACCTTTGTAACTGATTAAAATCGCGCGCGAGCATCGCCAAGACATTGTGCAAGACGTCACCCGCCCCAGGGCACCTTTCTCCAAGATCAGCTTTCGTTAGAACGCAAAGTGCTTTTCCATTCATCTGGAACATATCCATGTCGAATTGCGGCAAATCAAATTCCCTTTCGGCCCATCGTAAAAACGCTGCGACGTCCTCTCTTGACCAAAGTCGCGGATCGGAGGCTGTAAGCGATAAATAAATATATAAAATAGGGACTATATAGTAAGGATACAAGCTTCCAAGAGTCTCCTCTTACCTAAGCTTGCAGGCAAGTGCGTCTTAAAATCGAGCAACGGACTTGGTGGCGGATGCGTCGTTGGTGGAAAGTTCATACTTGGTCCATATCGCCAAAGTAAATCCGTAGGATTAAAGGGCAACGTTATACCCTGTTGTATTCGAGAATCCATCCCGGTTAATCCGCTCGCGGCGGAAACCGGCGGTAATTGTGGCAATTGAATCGCTGGCAACAATTTCATAACATGCCTCGTCTTCCTGCAAAGACAAAATATTTCAAATATAAGTTAGACTACCTAAACTAATTAGTTAATGTTGCCAAATTTTTAGAAATATGTAGTTTCGAGAAGTATGTATAATATAATATATTTAGATATCTCGAGGTAAACTACAAAACGATGATTTGTATCGATCAGCCACGAGGGACCACCAAGCGCTAATTCGACTCGAGCGCTCGCGACTCGTGTCTCCCGAGACTATATTATTGTTTCGTACGCGATAGACATCCGAAAGGTTTGTGTGCGATCATTAGCATATAATGTTGAGGCATATAAAATGAAAGACAGCAGGAAAAGGTGTATCCGTTCTCAATGTAGATTTGCATAACTTATTTCCATCGACGTCAAAGCTATTTTCGTTCCGGTGAATCTTTCGCAAAAAGGTCTACGACAGGAAAGAATCGAAACTTTTGTAATCGTCTATTCACCAGGTCGTAGCATTACTTACTATAATATTAGTTGTATGAACTATACGAATAGATACTTAGATACGTACGACGTCTTCAAATGTCGGTCAAACTGTTGATTAAATAATGATTCACGTAATTTCATGCTAGACGTACGAAATAGGAACGTAGCGCATACAAGAGAGTAGTATCTACGTAGTAGTGTCGCAAAGTATGAGAGTCGAGCTATGCCAACACGTCGGTGTTACTTTCTTGAAAAGGAAGTAAGTAACTACACGCGCGCAACACACACACACACACACACACACACACACACGTTGCGCCAGGAACCAAGAGAGAGACGAAGGCGCCGCCTATTCCACGCACATCTCAACAGGGTCCGGTACATTTTTCTTTAATAATTATCCTACGTATGAAAGATATAAATTATTGTTGATTGATTAACACAATTTAAAAGAATCTGCTTTTATTTGTTCACAAACGCACAAAAATAAAACAAAAAATTGAAAGTATACCTAACACACAAATATACAACCAGGAAACGCAAAAAGAGCAAATCTTTGCTTTGCTTCCAGAGGAATTTATCATATAACGCAACGTCATTTCTCTTTCCCTTGAGCGTACGGTTAAAACGATAACAGGTGGCTTTTATTAAGTTTTCTTCGTTAACGATCGAACGCTTAATGTAAAATATTGTTTCATCTATGTTGCACCGAAGTAAAGTATATGAGCAAATACGCAAAAAATATAAATAAATAAGAAGAAAGAAATGCATTATTGGACCCATACTGCTGGTAACACTTGTGGTAATACTTGTTACGAAGTAACAAGAAATGAATGAAAGTGTATGTCAAAAGTAAATCTTAGTAAATTTCTAGCGGGATGAAGGTTGATAATTGAAATTTTATTAATTAAAATCGATAATAATCTATCGATAGGATAGATTTTAATTGAGTAGAGAAAGAGGAAAGATTGTGGTGGTAAGCAACGTTACGCGCTCCTAACGTAATCATTCGTTACGCGTGTGCCTATATAAGCGCTCCTCTCGCGTGGCTCCAAATCGGTCGACCGATACCAACCGAGATCAGACGGAGAAAGTCGAGCGCGCCTACGCTCGAAGCGTAACGGCACATACAGAGCTACCGGATTCTTCTCCCACTCCTTATACATACATATATTCCTTTTAGCAGAGATCGAGGAACAAGGAAGCATTCTTTGATCCCATATTTCATCTTATATTTCATCGATCTTTACGAATTTCCGATCAATCGAAACTTATTTATATTCCATACGGACGATTGTTGTCCAATTTGGATAACAATTGCAATTTCTTGAAACAAATTGATAAGGAAGAATAATAATAGCGAGACGAACGTGCTTTATGTCGTATATCCCCCGATGGCGATGGCCCGATGGCGATGGCCCGATGGCGATGGCCCAAAGCCGACGGACGGCTGCTGACCACCAATGTGAGTTCTCTTTGTAAATCTATAAACTGTTTTTGCGCGTGCGTAAAACATCAATGCGGAAAATAAAGTTGGCCAAGTATGATTGGCGGCAAATTCGTCGTCTTACGTGCATTCCTAAGTAATCTTGTTAAACTTTGAACGCGGTCTTGCGAAATAATAAGGAAGGAAAAAATAAACTCTATGTACGATTAAGCAAGTACATTGCATTACATCACGCGTGCACGTTACGCTCCGAGCGATAAATCCTTTCCAACGTATTTAGATATAATATGCACATAGAGAGAGAGAGAGGGAGAGAGAGAAAGACGCTTTTCTAGTGTTTTCTTTCTTTACAAAAGATTTGTAACTTTTGGGTTATTGTTCGCGATGACGCACAAAGTCGATAACAAAATCGTTTAAAAATCAATTATTTTTGATGATGTGGATTTGGAATAAAACACTGTCAACGATCGTATTCAATTGTCATTGCATTCAAGCTAAATTAAAATGACTCGGTAAGCATGAAATGTCTATTTAAAGCGATTTAAAGCGATTTAAAGCGATTTAAAGCGATTTAAAGCGATTTAAAGCGACTTTTGTATATTATCAAATGTTCTTTGATATTAAAATACCAATCATACTTAGGTATGTTACACGATAGGAAAAAAATAAATATACACGAATCATTAGCATCGACAAAAATCTCGAGTACAATCAGAAGTATGTGTAGTATATAATATATACCATCGATGTCAATAACTCTTGGTGGAAGATATTTTGTGAGCACAGACAACGGTCGAGATAGTGGACGATAATGGTGCTCATTGAAATCATTGGACTTTCCATGTTTCTTTCTTGTTCCTTTGGTACTTCCATCCTGCATAGAAAGAGCTCGGTTTCTTTTCTCGTCTCTTTTCTCGCGTATTTCTCTTTCCGCGTGCGTGCGTGCACGCTGGCATACGATGTCCACGAGCGCACGTGTGAACGCAGCCTAACTATGTGGGCTGTGCACTCGACTGATAAAACGCTTCAGCGACGTGTCAGTGACCCTCCTCCCTCCTACTCTCTCTTTCTTCTTTAAATGCGCGTGCGCTCGCTCTCTTTCTCTTTTCTCTTCATTCCTCTTTCTTCTCTTATCCGACATCTTCATGATGTCTGTCCGAGGTTTCAAAATACATATTATTCTTCGTGTTCGTATCTGCACGTTCGGAAAAAAAAAATAAAGTACCTAATTTAAGGGATAAAACGCCGCGCCACTCTAGTGCTCCAAGAGATAGCCTATTTTTGGGAATTTTTTTTTCCTATGAATATGGTAAGTGCAAGACAAAATTCGTTTAAAGGACTTTATTATATACACTTCCAACTACATTCACAACAACAACATCCGTAACATGCCGTCACAAAATGGCATATATGGTATAGTTTTTTGTTTCGCTAAGCTATGACGCGCTGCAATTTTGTGGTGATTTGCGATGGAAAGATTTGTCAATGAAATTTTTGTTAAAAATTTATATAGCACAAATTTTTTGTATATTTTCAACGAATTTTGCCTTGTACTTATCACATTTTCATAAGATTTCGTGAACGCTAGACGCGTTGGGGTTGAATTCGGTCCGCCGGAGTAACGATTCCAAGAACTTGGATGATACAAATTGATCTCATGTTTGAGAACTACTGCCTGCGTTACAAAGAACAGCGACGAGCCCTCCGATGCACGTGCATGCGAGTACCGTCGACCGGAAGTCGATGAAAAAAAAACCTAGTTCACCCTCGTCACTCGGCACCAGCTTCTCTTCATGGGAACCAACCTCCTCTTCTTTCTCTCGCACATCAACGCGCACGCAGGCACGCACGCACGTACGCACGCACACACACGTGTACACACACACACACACACACACACACACACACGCACGCACGCACTATGCCACACATACGAAAGCGATTCGTTTCATCTCGATCTTCCTCGTCTCTTACTCGACGCTAGAAGAGGTCTGTTCAATTTCCAACTTATCGTATAAGTAATTCTCTACTTATGTACTACGCTCCCTTTGTTCATAGCAATTTGCTATTTTGAGAAAAGACAATTTTTATCGACACCGAAAAGTAAATTTGAAGGGAAGAATAAAAATTAGGCGCGTAATAGATGAATTAAATTGTCGACTCTCTCGTGCTTATAAGAAATGTTATTTATATTTTTCTTCAATAATCAAACGGTATCCGCATTCAGCGACCTTCGTATTATTCGTATCTCTCTCTCTCTCTCTCTCTCTATCGCGAGCGAGCGATTTTATTCAAGGATAACTGTTGTTTCTAACTAAAGTCATAGACGGAAGTTCTCAGTTAAAGAAGGTTAAAGCAGAAACGGGATTGGAAATTTCGAAAAAGTTCTTCTTACCGAAAGAAGACTCATCGTGAAAAGGTGAAGGCTTTTTGTTAAAGAAATAAAAATAGAAAAATGAAGGGAACGATACGTTGGCGTTGGCGTTGGCAGGTAAGGTCGACTGGCTGATCCCTTTAATTCTGTGGCCTCTATAACCATTAAAAAGGAATGGTGGGAGGAGCCGGTCGCAGGTAGCCCGTAAATCTTTGCCGTCACCTGCATTTTACCTGCCGCTAAAGTACCATAAGATGCGAGGGTAACTCGTGCACTATAACACGTTCCCGCGCAGATACTTTCTTCGACATTTAAATGAATAATCAAATAAGTGATTAGGTTGTTAATAAGACGACCTATAGTTCCTGCTTTTGTAACGTGCATTGTTATACCTGTAATAGAAGACGCATACACATTTTAGGATTTATTATCCGTGCGAATAAGTTAGAAATAATTTAACGAATACGAGATCTAGAACAAATATTGATACGTTTAAAAACTAAACGCTTCAACTTCTATCGTTGGTTGAAAATTCGGGCAAATATCAAGGACAAGACTACTTGAATGAGCGAAAATATAAGATAAGTAGTTTAGACCCTTTTGTGGGCTCCAAGTAAAGAAAATGCAAGGAGACGGAAGATGGAGATATAAGAGAGAAGAAGAACTACCGTCGTGTCTCTTGTCCCGGATCCGCCGACTCGTAATAATAGTTATCCCGACGGCAAGGAATGCCAGCAGAGTTGTTGCCCTGTGAGTAACGTCGTACATGTGAAATACGAGAAGGAACTTGACGTTCCACATAAAACGAACGGAAGCAAGTCGGTTTGGATCGGTTTATTTTTTTTTTTATCAAGTATTTCCTCTATTCGTTCTTTCATTAAAATCAAAATCTCTTATAGACTCGAAATAAAGATATTGAAAAATTTGGATAACTCGTTAGAAAAAGACCAACAACTGTCACTTCCCTTTTCTCTATTTTTTTCTTCCCCGTAACTTTGACCGAACGGATTCTTTCAAATGGCAGCAAGAGGAGCCGGATGCCATCCATCGTGTCCGCCAGTTTCCTTTTGCTTAGTTTTTCTTGCTTCGTCGGTCAAAAGATACGGTAAAAGGCGGGAATACGAAAAGCAGAGTTTCTCTCTCTCTCTCTCTCTCTCTCTCTCTCTCTGTCTGTCTGTTCACATGCATGCACACACACACACACACACACACACACACACACACTCGTCCGTTCGTATTTCTATTCGACGGCAAATACATGGAAGGACAATGAGAAAAGAAGAAGAGAACCTCTTCGGAAGGGAAAAGATCTGACAAGACGCCAATGAAGCTCCATTCCTTGCCTCTTTTACAGGCGATAAAGAAGAAAAAGAAGACCAAGGTCCGTGCTTCCGGTCCGGATACCGACCGGTTCTTCTCTTTCGCTAAAGCAAAAGAGAAAAAACGATGAAATGAGAAAAGAACCGGATATACCTCTTCCTTCGTTCAACGAACATACATATTATGTTTCGTCGTATTTATCGATTGAAATAGTCAATAAAATGAAGTTACAAAACATTTCATGACAATATAATTTAGATCATAGTTTGGATCAACTAATGAATAGAACAAATGATTGGAAGAAAGCTATAAGAAGACTACGCCTATTAAAGATGTCGTAAGTAGATAGGTACAATGCGAATATGGCGTTCCTTACCACGCCTTAACTGTTGGAGACACGTCTCGTCTGACGTGTTCAGTCGTTTCTAAGCCAAGTACCGCGGCGGCGTCACGTGTACGCTTACTTGTGTATTATAATTATATGTATGTATGTATTTATGATTAAACGCAAGGAGTAAAAATGATCAGGTTAATTATCTTTAACGATATCTTTGTATTACCTAAAAAAATCTTTCTCATTCTTTATAAGTAGTTTGCTTTAGGTATCATCCTCTGTTCCGAGTTGAGAACCAAAACGTTAAAAAGCATAAAAAGAATGAAATGTTTGTATGAAGGTCGTTCCAAAGTTAGCGGTGCGTTATCACAATGTTCACAAAGATCGATCGAGCCCTTCCCTTCTGGGTCCTACAGAAATCTCCATTTCTCTTTCCAAGCCACAGTATATACTGCTTCCTCTCTCTTACTTCCGGGTTCGAGGCTCTTCCGGTGAGCTCGACGCAATAGCGTTGAAAGGGCTCTCCCTCCTCTCGTCCCACTTCCTTTCTCCAGCGGCTTTCCTCCCGCGCTCCTTCCTCGCTCCTTCCTCGCTCCTTCCTCGCTCCTTCCTCGCTCTTTCCTCGCTCCTTTCTCGCCATCATCGTCGTCGTCGTCGTCGTCGTCGTCGTCGTCGTCGTCGTCATCGTCGTCGAAAGGCTTTCTTACCGCGCCGCCTTCTACCAAACTCACCACCCTTTATATACTTCCCCTTTTGCCACTCCTCTATCCATCTTTACGTGTGTATACTTGTACGCACGCACGCACGCACGCACATTTCTTGTCATTTTCTAACCATTCTCTTTACTATCCAAATAGCGTTTTTATCTTATTCGCCGTGTTCAAAGATTTTCTAATGGCAAAGTTTTCATATAAGACGAATTAAAAAGTAGTTGCGCGTATCATAGGCTGTCGCGAAAGATATCTACACTATCACTACTGATCACGTTCTGATTTATGGTCAAAGGATTACCTAAGTAAATACTTGGAATGAAAACAACGATAATGAGAGATGAAAAAAGAAGTAAAGGCAAGAAAGAAAAAATTAAATAATAGCGTGAACAAGGCTTTACATATATATTTATATATATATACATCGGTATATCATACACCTATATTATACTCCCACCCTTGGGAGCAGACAGTAGAGAAGAGTAAGTGGGAAAAGAGTGGGAAAAGAAAGGACGCGACGCGGTGCGGAGCAAAGTAAGAAGGAGAAGACGGAAGAGAGAAACGAGGGAGGGAGAATAATCCGATGGTAGGAGAAGAGAGACTGGAAACGGAAGGACCGAGAGAGGACAAAGGGGGGTGGCGAGAAACACCAAGGGGAAGAAAGGGAAGAAATAGTGAGCGTGGAGAGGAAAGGAGAGGAGAAACGACCTTTTCAATGTAATCACATCGAGCTTGTCTCACAGAAGCGTCGGCAACCAGGAAGCAAAACAGAAATAGGTGACCGCAACGTGCAGTAGTATGCTGATGGACGACGAATTCCTACATAAAATGGACCTATTATTTTTATTTCTTTCTACTCTCTCATCTGATCTATTTTGATGAAATATAAACATTTTTTTGATGCACACCCATTCCCCTGTTCTGTAAAATCTTCCAATTAATCAACTTTCCAAAAAGTACAAAACTTGCGTAACTAAAGTAAAAAACTGGAAATAAGTATTTTCGAACGTGAGTTTGTCTCTACTTGATTTGCCACGCATCGAAGAGAAACCGGAAAAAAGAGGGCATTTAAATCATTCTTTCTGTCGACTTTATACGAAACATACGCAGATAAGCGATTAATATAATCGCATTTATTTCACAACGCGTGCTCGTTGTTGTTGGCGCAGGACGAGACAGAGAGAAACAGAGAGAAACAGAGAGAGAGAGAGAGAGAGAGAGAGAGAGAGAGAGAGAGAGAGAAAGAGACTAATATAATCTTTTTTACTCTTTTCTTCTTCGCTTCACATTTCATTTACTAATCTCGATTTATCGCACTTTCTACTCGATGATAGTAACGTCATCAATCGGCTCGTTAAGAAAAAATAATGCAAAAATAAATAATACAATTTGAACAAACAAGCTAAAGAAGATAATTATTTAGTCAACTTATATCCTTTCAAATTTGCATATGCAAATAAGCAACAAAAGAAAGCAACGTGTTTCCAAATCGCGTGGCATCGGAACGCGTTAAACTCATCGAACTGTATATGTATCTAGCAATAGCAATAACGATAACGATAACGATAACGATAACGATAATGATAACGATAAGGATGTTAGGAAGTCCGTTGGAAAAAATCGAAACGTATCTCGCGGTTCTCTTCGCTCTCCTTAATGATATCCCATAACGAATGAAAAATAAACAAGGCGATGATTCTTGATGGCGCGCGCTTACGAATTATCAATATAAAGTTTCTTCTGCAAAGAAAAACAAAGATGCGACCCAAATAGTTTATCGAATGAACTGTTAGACAGAGCTATCGCGTTCAATATTTCTTTTTTTTTCTTTTTTTCCATTTGTCTCATTAATATTATATTAATAAGAAGAATTATTTATTCTCGAAAAAGATGTACATTTGTAAGATACATATGACATTCTATTTGGATCGTTGTATTGTCTCGACGCGGAAAGTTTAAAAGAAGGAAACTGAACACGCGTTCAGATGATACTAGATCCATACGAACGTAGATAAGAAATAGGTGATGATCTATCGATCGCGTTATTTCTCTTCTTTATATTCATTCAAAATTGTTTATCCAAAATACAAGGAAGAAAAGAAAAAATACCTCGATAAAAGTATCTTTCGGCAGTTTTATCGAATCTCTCCGCGATGCGAGGAAACTTGTTAGATCATCCCCGCTAGAGTTACGTCCTGATCTTCCAGCTCCTCTTCCTCCTCCCCTTACCACCTTCTCCACGCCTCCTTCTTCCGCTCCTCCTCCTAGTGCCGTGGCTGTTGTGTGACGTGACGTACCGTCTCACGATATCATCAATGTGACCCAACGTTGATCGACCCCTTAACCAATCTATCTTCCGATGACTTTTAATCGGCATTCACTCGATAGAGAGATACTTTCTTTCGAGTTCATCGTTCAACGAATAGTTGAACTATTATTTCTTTTCTACAGGGAAAAGCTTCTCTCTTTTCTCTGTATCTTTCGTTCTCTCTCTCTCTTTCTCTCTCTCTCTCTCTCCTTCTTAATTATGCACGCACGCACGCACGCAGCACCCACACCTGCACCGAAAGAGAGAAAGAGATCCAATTGTGGATTAACGAAACGTCACTGCTCGCGCACGTGAGTACACGTCGAAGTTAGACGAACGTCACCGATGGCACAGCGATGCTGCGCAATGTTACTATTTGACGAACAAAAAATAATAACGACGTTAAGGATGTTAAATATCCACACGAATTGCGCACACTTGAGGCTCATTTATCTCTAACAAGTCACGATTTCATATCAACCATCTGTCGGCAAGCAGGTCTTTCCTCCTCGAAAAGTTTCCTTCCTTTAGCGAAAGGAAAAATGGGATAAAATTCGAAGAAGGGATATCAGAGTGATCAAGAAAATCGGAGGGAGAGAGAGAGAGAGAGAGAGAGAGAGAGAGAGAAGAAAGGAGAAAAAATAGAGCGCGCGCGCGCGTTCCCTAGAAAGAGAGAGAGGGATGAAAGAGATGACAGAGGGGATAAAGGGGGTTAGAGGGGAGGGAGAGATCTAGATATGCCTGCCGGCTTAAGCTTGTCAAAGAAACATTTGATGGTGCTCCTCTTGGAGAGCAGTGGTGGTTGCGGCGGCGGTGGCGGTGGCGGTGACGGTAGCTGTAGCAACGATAATAATTCCTCGTAATTCTCTTGTCTATTCCTATTCGTTTTTTCTTTCTTTTTAGGGATAGAGACGATACGATCCCACGTCACGTACGAGTGGCAAAGTGCGAACAACGAAGCGGCGGAAGTAACAGTGAGCAAGATGGAAAGACACGCGTCTCGAAGCTGCCGCGAGTGACTAAGCTCGTCCAAGTCGAGCGAGTCATGCAGTAGGAAGTATCGCCTACTTGCTTGCCGCCAGATTCTATCCCCACTTTGGTATCGTCGATATCGCCAACGTTCTACTCGGAGAGATGGAAAGCGAGCGCCCTGATCCACCACTGGTGTGCGCCGTCGATGCGCGCGCGCCTGATGCGCACCGTTCATCTGCGCTAACTTGTCCCACTGCTCTCCAATTCTCCTTCAAAGATACTGACCACTTGTTTGGATCGACGTGTTCCCGATGAATAGAGCCACCCTTTCCATCCCTCCTCGGATTCGCACCCCATCGTGACGAAACATTTCATTTTCATTTCGACCAATTAAAGTGCTAATGAAGAATCTTTCCCTAATACTAATCAAAAAACTTATGATTGGAATGAAACGAAAAAATTGATACAAGAGAGAGAGAGAGAGAGAGAGAGAGAGAGAGAGAGAGAAAACTATCAAACGGCCTAGTCTTTGCTTATCCGAAAAATATGATACAAGGGAAAATCTACTGGGAGATGGCAGCACCATCTACGAGGAGGAGGAGGAGGAGGAGGATTTCATTTTACATTAAATGATCCTGATAAAATTGCATCTAAAATGCATTTTAATTGCGTCTGCGACGATCGTCTTATTGATTTCGCATATTTCATATTTTACTGATTATTTTGAATTTTGAAAAACAGGACAGCGCGCGCGCGCGTTTATCTATTTACCGTCCAAAGTCGAACGTGATGAAATTCCCGCGGCACTCATTGGAGAAGGAGCTTCGCCAATGAGGCGCCGACGTTAAGCGTCTTCTCTCGCGAAGAGAAATAATCGAAGTGCAGCCTACGATAAACGGGTAGGGAACTCCGACGAGAGACTATGGAAGGGGATTCGCTGACTTCCTCGTAGCTTCCTCGTAATTGTTATCGCGATTGTTGCCACCGAGTTAAACCTAACCGATCGTTGACACACTCGAGGAGAATGAAACTGCGCGTGGTCAAACCGCTTTTCGAAGTGTCCAAAGACCAAAGTCGCTTGTATTTGTTGACTGCCTGCACCAAGTGCCAAGTCCGCCCGCGTTTGATAGGTATGAAAATGTTCATTACGTTACGAATTTTTCCAACATTATTATTTTTTACAAGTCTTCTCTTTAAACCAAATTTGTTTTCGTTTCAAATTATATTTGCAATTAGAGTTGCGTAATCTCTACTTTCTTTCTTTTCCTACTTACCCTCGAATATACTTTACTTGACATTTTTTCTTCTCGATAGATTGTTCCAACCCTGACGCAAATCTGACAAAATTCACAAACTTTAGGATGCGTTCGAAACATATATTACAAAAATAAAAAGTAAGTAACATAAGAACAATATTGTTTGGTGAAAAAAAAAGCGCGCCAAACATCATGACCAGCACCATCAGTCACAAGCACCATAGGAATTGGTGCTACTCATAAGCCAAGCAGGCAGGCAGGCAGGCAGGCAGGAAGGCAAGCAGGCAGGAAGGCAAGCAGGCAGGCAGGCAGGCAGGCAGGCAGGCAGGGCAGGATATAACAGGTAAAACAGGTTTGTGGGCGTCCTGAGAGAGCTACCTGTACCGCTTCTTCGGAGCCCTTCCGATTCTCGCGTGTCTCTCCTCTTCCCCAACTTCGGTCTTTCCTTTTGATACAGGAACCCTCACTTCTACGGAAGGGTCTCCGAAAAAGATGAGAAAAAAGGTCATGTGAGGATAGAAGGGAGAAAAGCAAGAAAGGGAAACGGACTGAGTTTACCGCCTATGAATACACGTTCACCTGCGCGAGCGCGAACGCGCGTAACATAATACCAGGAGGATCGCCTCGTAGAAATGCCAAAAGAATTTAGTTACAAGAGCATGCGTTATCTAGGGACTCTTTGGGACGCATTGGGACGCATTGGGACGCATTGGGACGCATTCGTCGAACCTTCGAACCTTTTCTATATACGCACACTTCTACAAGCGCGATTACCCCATATCTCCATAAACGATGTTCCTTTTTTTCTTATCGTTCTCGGTTTTGACATTTCAAAAATAATGCTCGGGCTTGCGATTAATTAGGAAATCAAATATTTTATAAACAAAACAAAAAGAGACAAAGAGACAAACATATGTATATACATCTATAGGATTGATCCGGCGAGAGAATTAGATAGAAGACATTATACCATTTGTTTCTTATTATTTTGGCCTACTCTTAACGAGGTGCTTCGTAATCCCAACTCCTGGCTACTAACAATAAGCGTTGCAGATGTGTGTTTGTGTGCGACTGCATACTACGAAGCCTAGACTCATATTAACTCAATCCACACACTTAAAAATATAAGTTAGTTCTTCGACTGGCCACTAGACTATTTACGTTTGTCATAAGCAAAACTGTATTATAGTCTTTACATAAGACTCCAACATTAGAAAAATTTAAGATCTTTATTTACAGGATAATGTCTGCAATATAAAAATTCAAATATGCTCTCAGCGTAAGGCTGAGTCGATGCAACTGTCATGAGGAGTTAGTCGTATCTATCTTTTGTAAGATTAACAACGATTCAGAATGTAATTTGTAAACTGATGGGTCTGTCGCACCTTTTACTTCTAAGTAAAGGGAACTAGAAGAAGAGAGAGAAGAATCGAAGGCGTACAATGTTCTTATCGAGTAAGTGGAAATTGATGTCATTTAAAAATTTATTAATAGCATGAGTTATAGAATGTTTATGTTTAAATCCAAACTAATTATGTGAGATGAAATGATTTTTTTTAGTGAAAAATTCTTAAGTATTGTTTATAATTGATTGATAAACTTTGCTAATAGCTCGTTTATATTTCAAATGTGCATATACGTGTAATACACTTACTTAGCTATAGAATTATTGTACGTGTAAAATTGTATGTGTCAGCGTTTGATTGTGAAAGTGTGCGCGTATGTATGTGTATAGAAATGTACATTTTAAAGAGCAGGTAGTTCGCTTTCAATTCGCTTTTGAGATAGCGCGGAAGAGCGAAGAAGCTTCTTCATCTTCTTTTTCTTATTTTTCTTATTTTTGTCCTTTTTCTCCTTTCCTTCTTCTTGGAGCTGCTTTTGAAAAGCTAGCAACAGAAGGACCACCCTCCTTTCTTTGACTGATCGCACGTAAATTTTGAAAGAATCCACGGGTCCATTGTAGATAATCGGTCGTGCGAGAAAAGAAATTTTCCTTCTTCGACGAGCCGACCTTAAAACTTCCCACATACCTGCGTTGTGATTAATGTCACGCCTTTTCGAGACATTTTTTAACTTGTAAAAACATGTATATTCGGTCGTAGATATTATTACATTTGTTTGGATTAAAAGTTAGGCGATGTAAACTAGTAGAAAAGAGTAGCTAGATAGAAATACTCTTTGGTGACAATATTTTATGGTTCTTTGACACTTTATAATCTACGCATATCGCGCATTTACGATAGAGCATCGAACGCTGTAAGCGAAGTGGTTTAGTAATCCGGCAGCGGCGCTTGCGCAATCCAGGAATTTCTCATGCGAGGCGAAGGAAGGAAATTGCGTTGCCCAATTAGAAATCGCGGGAGACCGCAAAAGGAGGAAAGAAACGAGATAAAAAAAAAAAAATAACATAAAAGAAGAGAAAAGTTAGGGAAGAGAGAGAGAGAGAGAGAGAGAGAGAGAGAGAGAGAGAGAGGAAAGGATAGAGTAAGTACACTGCTCGTACACGTACGAGTGTGGAATTTCGGTTTCCTTCCGTTGGAAGAAAAATGATACTAAATGCCAAATATTACTCGAGTTTAAAATCAAACGAGTTAATAAATTAGTTGTGATGTCGCATCGAAATTTCATCGTATCTCTAACCATAAGCGGTCAAACTTATTTTAGTAATCACGAACTCATTGTGTCTCTGCTTTTTTTTTTTTTTTTTCATCGCAAATCAGATGTGATGGCACATCTGAACTCAGAGCCCAGGCATTCTATGGCAAGGAGCGATGACGAGGCCTTTGCAGGAATCCGGTCTCTTCCTTTCCCCCTTCTTTCCTCCTTCCCCTCCCCCTCCCCTCCCCTCCCTCCTTTCTCCTTTTGCTTTTCTCGAACGATTACGACATTGCTCCTCTCACCTCCGCCTAATCCCAAATGCCGTGTTGCAGAAGCACTGGAATGAAGGAGGACGAGCGAGCGCTCAAAGAAGAAAGAAAAGGGTAGGAGGACAATCGACGATATGCGCCAGGGTTTGCTGTTGTGTTTGCTGTTGTGTTTGCCCAACAGCTCCACTCGTCATCCCGGATGTACAACATCTTTATATGCTATTCTTCGATGCAGTTACCTACCAACGCGATTCTTCTCTTTTTCACCTATTAACGAGTCTTCTTGAACTATACCTAACTGCATATAGAGACATGTATGTACCCGTATCGCGAATACAACAGAAATCATATAGTATAACGTATTACAATAAATATTCGACCAATTGAAAAATAAACAAAAAGACAAATATCTATCTAATCTAATTAGACGATTATTTAATAAATAATAGAATCGTTTGGTTATTCAACTGAAAATCCGACCGAACAAGTATTCGTTGGTTCGTTTGGAGAAAGTGTCTCTTGTACCGATGCCTTAAGGCGCATTTCACATGCGCTTTAAGAGCTCCGACTCGCCGCGAGCCGTCTGTGTGTGTGTGTGTGTGTGTTAACGCACGCTCGGCTTATGTAATCGGTTACGGTAATAGCGTGGTAGTTATAGCAATCCGGGAGCAACCAACGGGTAACACAATTCCTTGTTAATACGCTAACGAATACACTAACTCTTACATTGTATGCTTGATATTGCCAATTTTCATTGGAGATTCCTCTTTTAAGCATAATAACTAATAAAAAATAAGATTTTTAAGGTGACCGAGCGTTTCATACATTCTTAGACTCGTCGAAATTGCGATCGTTTTCTTGTTTTCCAATGCAACATGAATTAATTGTAATTGTAATTTTAATAATGCGTTAACGTTCGAACACGTAGTAAACTCTGGAAGTGAGCGGCAGACGCTTACAGCAATGGCGACTTCATGATTTGACCCGTCGAGCCGACGAACCGGTTATCAATGCTCGGAAGCGTGTCGTTCGGCTCGATTACGATACGTCCTCCTCGATGTAGGTGAGTACAGGAGCGTATCGTGGCGTACCTTCCCTACTCAATGCTACGCTATTTTTTATTGAAATTCTGTCTTTTTAGTTTATTTTAAGGAAAGACCAATCCTGAAAACGAATTGCTTTAACCTTCGAACCAAGTTTTTCGTATTAATTTGAAAAACGTGTAGGTAGGAATTGCATAAGTCTGGCTGGGTACGTACGCGAGCACTCGCTAAAGGCAAAGGCAAAGGCAAAGGCAAAGGCAAAGGCAAAGGCAAAGAGAATCGGATAGGAAGACGAACGAGCGGAACTGAGGTCCGTGGAGCTTCCTTTCCTTTCGACATGCCTGGCTGCCTTCTCATCCTCTCCCACAGATTACAACCAACTTTTCTCTCTCTCTCTCTCTCTCTCTCTTGCGTGCGCGCGAGCGTCCAGGAGTACCTTCACTTGCTTGCACGAACAGCACACGTTCAAGCACAGGTTCTAACATACACGCTCACCTTCTTACTCTCCCTCTCTTGCTTACCGATGTGTAAGCACTACCACGTTAACAACGAGCAACGAGCCGCTGCTAATACTACTAAGAACAACAGTAATGGTCGTAAGACTATTCGAATCGGAGCAGGTCTGAAAAAGAAGGAACTACGTTGGACGCACCTACTTCCGGGATGCGTCTTACCTCGGCGCACCTTCACCAACGAGTGATGATACGTTCTCTTAATGATCTTTACATCTCATATATTAAAACATGTTTTATTAAATTTATCGAAATCTTATTTTCTCACGAATTAGACAAATCTTCATTTGTCGTACCTTATTAAGAACGCAACGACAGATCATTCTTTGCGAGTAAAACGTTAGCGCGCTTATAATGGAGGAAGCCATTACCTCATTCCGCATCCTTAAGTTCCTATCGAACCGCTCTACCGACTCGACCGACGATCGAACCACTTTACTTTCTATCTAACGTTCGAACTTTAGCAAAAGAAGAGGATTAAACGCAGGATACGTCATTGGAAAGATTCTAGCTCGATTGCTCATGACAAAGGTATTCATAAATTCCTCCTTCTAACGAACAAATCAGACTACATCGAATATCTTTGCGACCTCGAGAAAATGCTCGTGGCACGATAACCACTAACGCCGCCGAGTTCGAATAACATTAAAATCATTGTGACCTTATCTCCAAGCCTGCGTACTTTCACCTACTCGAAGTACGGCTCTATGTTCAAATATATGTATAATAGTTTAGCGCGCTATCCATACGATGCTTCAAATTGATGCATATATTGTATATTGTAATGATAATTAACAAGTTGAATCACATGAAAAGATCCTTTCTCTCATGCGAAAAGAAGAAGTAGGAGAAGAAGAAGAAGCAGCAGCAGCAGCAGCAGCAGCAGCAAGAATTAGAGTTACTTGAAATTATGTAATCGCTTTCTTCATGTAAATGCTTCTTACGAGCGCAATCTTTTTGCCTGATCAGTCCCTTTTAATGAAAACCCTTAGAGTTTTACGAAAAGCATGAAATTTTAACAAAAAATTCCAGGCGATCTGCAAATGTATGAAATTCCATACGTTCACCGATTTTCTCTTGTCACGACAACATAAGGTGCGCATAAGGTGAAGGTATCGATTGCGCAACATCTATATTATGCAACGAAGGCGGCTTCCTGCTGTTATCCAATCGTCCGGAGCACAGGAACTCGATATAGTTGCACAGTCGCTATTTTCATAACTTTTCTTTTTCTTAGCTTCGTCAAAGTGTTCGGATAAATCAAATTATCCACGTAATAACGAACAGGTTTTTCATTTATCCAAATATCTATAGTATATGGAATAAGCATTTTGCGAGTATTTGCATTTGCATTTAGAGAATTATTTTGGTAATGCCAAATCTCATATTCATTCTATCTATTCTATTAACAATCAATCGGAAGACTTGGTCGTATAAGAAGTGCAGAAGAATATAACGAACTTTTATAGGAAGCCGTAGCGCGCATCTGACATTTGGAACCGTTGCGAAAGCGACTGTGGGAAGTTCTACGCGAAGCTGATATTTACGCGCGAAGAAAGTAAAGGCACCAGAGCCATGATGTTTCGAGTTCGATCGATTCTCGCTTATGTCGCAAACAAGGTAAATACGATTCTTTATCAATTTGCTATTTCGATATGAAACTTTAGTCGTTGAAAGATAGTTTAATTGAGATTACTTGCATTAATAAGGGCCCTTGACAAAAATAAAAGGAGATTGAAAATAATTCGTGTGTGAAACAGCCCAGCCCATAGGAGGACGCTCGACGATCGTCCCCGTTCATATTAATGTTCGAAAACGTCGCTGATGCAATCCTGGTATTCGTAGCAAGTAGAGATAGACTATAAATCATGTATTTAACACCCTGCTCTCTCTCTCTCTCTTACCCAGCCTTGAGTCTACGTCGCACAAGCATATATCGTATTTAAGGATAGTAATCCGAACGAACGCATATCGTAGACGCGTTGTTGATTTTCTTTGCTTTTACTACGAGACAACGTAAATGCTTGAAAACTAACATAAGGCATTCTCGTTATCGCTAGCTATGTACTATCGAGGAACCTACTAGGATGTATGGATGTTGCTTTCATTAGGTTCTCAACTATCGCCAATTGACAAAAATATTTTATCAGCATTATTATCTATATGCTCGTATATGCTCGTATATGCTCGTATACATATACATTTTTGAAATAAAATGAAATGTAATTCTTTTCTGCAACAACATATAGTTATGCAGATGGTAGAATGGTAATTGCGAGAGAGAAGAAATCGTGATGTTCGTTCGCGTTGAGAAACGCTCAGTTGGATGGCAACTCGGTGGTGGATGCTATCCACTTGCACGTTCTCCAGACAGAAAAGAGAAGTAGGAGAAATTCTGGCGCGGAGCGTTACTTCCTGTTCAGTCGTCGCAGAAACTCCCGAGGGTTGGCTGGCTGGGTTGGCTGGGAGGCATTTCATTTCCTTGGCGACTTCCGGCAAACGCGACGCTTCCGCCGTATCGGGACCGGGGCCGCCGTCGGCGTCGTCGTCGTCGTCGTCGTCGTCGTCGTCTTCGTCGTCGTGGTAGTCGTGGGGTAGTCGTGGTAGTCGTCGTAGTAGTCGACGTTGGCGTCGGCGTCGGCGTCGTGTTCCTGCCCCACCCTTGTTCCGGTTCCCGTTTCATCCGCTTCTAACCCAACCACCCTTCTAGGCAACCAATCAAACGACCGACCAACCAACCAACCGACCAACCAGTCAGCTACCTACCCAGACAGCAACCAATCGGCCAACCGTCCGACCGACCGACCGACCGACCGACCAACCGACCGACAGACCAACCGACCGACCGACAGATCGACCGACCCGACCCGACTCGACCCGACCCAACCACCCTCTACGCCACCTACCCTTCCCTGCTTCTCTCACCCCTATCCTTTCCGCGCTTTCCTCTATCTGCCGCCCTTCCGCTTTTCCCTCTTCCCCGTTCCTCTCCTTCCGCTTCGTTCCTATCCACGTTGATGGTGCACAGAGCACTTCCGCCCACCCACCATCCCTTTCTCTGACATTTTCCTTTAACTTCCGTTCGTTCCTCTCCTTCGATCGTGCCTTTGCTTTTCTTTTCCAACCTTTCCACTATCTAGACAATTAATAGATGTTCTATTTTTAGAGAAAATACACATTAGTGTTTCTTTCTACGCTACTCATTAATTTCATTCAGATTTTTGTGCGATCCTCCTATATTGTTTTGCTTGCAATTTATTTCCTTTAAACTCTCTATCGTCGATTGCGAAAGACCTTCGGATATTAAATATATGTACAGATACATTTGAATAAGCTTTAGAAAAATCGATTTTAGTCGATACGTTCGACTAAAATTCTTTCTTCCATCATCCAACATCTTTGATTCCATACTTAAAATCGTCGAAAAAGGTTCGTTGGTATGCCGTTGATCGTTTGAAAATCTACTTAAACGCAACAATCGAGAATACACACACCTTGTTCTCTTTTTGTATAAAAGCCTATGGTCTTTCGAGTTGGTATTTCGTGTAACGGGAGGAATTGGTATGCTCCTTCGTGTCACGAGATTACGTATTCTCGATGAGAAACCGAGCGGTTCGTGTACTTACCCCGGATGTACGTGTGCCAGCAACTTGGAGAAGTGTGCTTTACGCACCTGTCGCGAGTTTCGATGTATCTTTTACACTGCGGTGCCAACGAACTCTACTGATCCATTCGAAATACATTCCAAACATCGTCGACATTTTTATTATCAACTAATACCATTTACCATTACTTTAGCTTATCTATTGATCTTGACTTTGTACAAATAATGAACAACTCTACTCTACTCTCTCTCTTTCTCTCTCTCTCGCAACTTGAATACACGTAAAAGCCATTCGGTTTTGATGTGAGATTTCTGTGAGCAACTCATATCATACACACACTACTGCGTAACTGTAAAGCAGTTCGAGCGCGCTGAGATGACGATTATCGACAGAAGCGAGCAAAAAAGACTACTGCACGTGTATAATGTAAAACGTAATAACCTTTCACACGACCTCGGAATTTGGATTTTCTCAAGGTTCAGTCGGGTGTTCCGTCGCGTTAAGGAATGCAACGCACCATGCAACGCACCATGCAACGCACCATGCACTATGGCTTCGCACTTACATGCGTAAGATTATTTTCATCTCTTTCTCTCAATCCCGACGCGATGATATGCGGACATTTTTGAACGAGATCGATAACGATTTGTGCATAGAAAAAGGGGAAGAGAAATGAAATAGAAGAAAGATCGAGCAGGAGTTATATGACACCCCCTCCCTCTTCGTCCGAAGCGAGCGTTTTACTATCATCCGTACATATGGGGATGGCAGTGCGGCAGATTCTAAACCACTCGGGACGTACCATCTGTGCACGTTCTGTCGCACACCCTCCTACCGTTATTTCGTCAAAAGCGACTCAAAGTCTCGCTCGCGCTCGCGAGAGAAGAATATTAGAGCGTCCTTTTAAAGGTTCAAATAAATCTTGAAAACGTATCGGTTTTATTCCTTATCCCTTTATCTTGATCGAGCAATGCTTCTTCGATCGCAATGCTGAGAAAATGAAAATATTTAGGTACGTAGCTACGCTACGGAGTGCGCAAAGTGATCTCACTCGAGACAATTGGTGCTGGCCCCATCAAGCTTCATCAGGGTGATTAGCAAACGACATACCCCGTGGGTCGCTCCTTTAGATTAGCCAGTGCCCTCGACTCGCGGATCTTCCCCACCCTTTATCTCTTTCCTACGTCCTACGTCAGCGCGTCGCCTTCTTTGTTCCTCCTCTTCTTCTCTTCGCGATCATTCCGAGCGTTCGAGCCACAAATGAACGTGACACATCGGTCAATGACACGCGTGTGCACATGCGGGTAAAGTAGCCCGGCCACGCTCGAGAGGCTTCTTCCTCCTCTGATGTCTCCTCTCCTCCTTCTTATCGTCATTATTATTATAACCATTGCTACTATAATATAATCGACAGTATCATGCACGATGTGTTCTTTAGTCCCCCTTGGTCTTTTCAAATTTTAATCATTCGACAAACGTTCTTTTGCAGATTCTCCATCTCCTCCATTGGGCTATACCTGCGTATACCAATGTCGAATCCAATACTGGACACGCAATCATGCACGTATAGATATAGTTCGAAAGAAGATAGGAGGAACCCACGCCTTATACTCACCCCCTGTGTTCGCTTCTCTACAATTCCCCTTCTTACGTCTGCCCTTACGACGGCCCTTACGTCGAAATCTGGCCACACCTCGAGAATACTCTTCCGAGTATTAGTCACTTCTAGCACAGCTGGGTTACGTCCCCGGAGTTTTTGCTGGTTCTTCCCTTCTCCATTTTCAAGACTGAATCAATCTCGGTTTATCCTAGAGAATAGCGGCAAATTTTTTCATGATTTTTCCAAGATGCGTATTGCTTATCACACAATTATTCACAATATATTGTAATATAAAAACGTAACGTGAATGAAGATTCGTTTGCTTTGCTTTTTATCCTTGCGCTTTCCTAATCGATAGCGCGTGCAATGCGTATCTAGGTTGCTCTTGTGAAAATGGGAATATAGCGAAGGGAGCTGATTTAGGAGAGAGAGAGAGAGAGAGAGAGAGAGAGAGAGAGAGAGAGGGCTGAATTTGTTTGTCGAACCGGGCTTCTCTGCTAATGCCCTAGTTAGTACTTTGGTTTCTTTTGTGCCACCCTCCGGCTACCACGTCCCCCAAATCCGTGGATTTGAACCCTCGCAGGAACGGGAAATGCACCCTTCCGCTATTCTACTACGGCTATTCTACGTTGTAGAATGCAATTTTCATTTTGCACGCAGTTCAAACGCATCGCCGACCTTTATAACGTTTTTGCTCGTCTCTCTCTCTCTCTCTCTGTTTAATAAATCTATTTTATATTTTTTTTTTTTAAATATAATAAAGTATAAGAAGACTTAGGAATTTCTTTAGTTTCTTCCTACTATCATAAGTGAGTTGTTTAGTTTTTTGATCTGTCGAATTGGAATACGTAGACCTTGTATCATATTCGTCAACGAATATAAGGGAAGCCCTTCTCACCGATGTTTCGTATTTTGAAAGCAAGCCACTCTAAATGATGAGATTTTCGATGGCATCCGTCGCGCGGCCATCCGACCCTTCGGTCGCGTTTGTTGAAAGAAACCGGAGCGCATTAAAGTATTGCTGGAGCGCTTTCGCTTTTGGCTTTGCTTTTGCTTTTGCTTTTGCTTTTGCTTTTGCTTTTGCCTTTATGGCCGCCTGGAACAATGACGAATCCCCGACGTCATTGTGGTTGCCCCTGCAGCTCCGATGAAAATACAGGAAAGGGAAAAATATAAAAGAAAGCGCGAAAGGCGAATGTAGGAAAAAAGAAAATGGAAAACAAAAAGAAAAAAAGAGCAAGGTGTGCATCAGGCAACAGTCACTCGCTCCTGATTACACGGACCATTGTGCAATAACAACAAAATCGGTATACGAGAGGATGAGTGTAAAATAATGCCTATGACTGGGGTAAGAACTAAGGGTAAGACCTAAGGGTAAGACACAGGCTACAACGGTATAGCGCAAAAAAAATAAGTAACATTTTTTCAATTAATGAAACATAAAGCAAGATATAACTTTTCCATAATGACCATCAGCAATGAAGCAATCTTCAACAATCCCCCGGATATTAATACTCCTCCAATAAGCATACATTTATAATGGCATTTCTCCAAGCCGACTTGCTAAATTGTTATTGATAATATTTTTCTATTGACAATAGGAATACAAGTAAAACCTTCTTATGGAATAGAATAGATATTTCTAAATTTTCCAATATAAAATTGTCATTTTATCGTCTTCCTCTCAGATAAATGCTGCTTTGATCAAACAAAAACCTTCATCTTTTCGTACACATTTAACAAAAATGAAATGTTCATAAAGTTACATTAATGAATCTTATGACAATACTGTATACTAAAAAGAAAAAGATTCTAGTTTTTACGTATACCACGTAAGCCGCTGTGTTACAACGAATGCACGTGCATCGGATTAAAGACTTGTCGTTGATTCTTCGCTAACCTGTCGCGGAGAAACCGGAAACGAGTTGAATTCTTACGTGGAAACGCCTTGATCCCGCAGGCCAAGCAGGTAGGACTGGTAAAACGGGTGGGGCTTCCGCTTTGAGATCGTCGATCAGGATTGATACATCGATCATTCCTCATACGTATAAAAGAACCGTACAAGTAGTTGAACAATCCTTATCACGAGTAATCTCATTAATCGCCATAAAGAGCTTTGTATTTTTTCAAAACATGACGTTCCTACGACTGATGTGAATCGTAAAAAAACATAAAAAAACTACGTAGGAAATAATTAATATACAATATATTAGGTATCGGTAAATCCTGAGCAATGTATATATATATATATTATAGTCTTTTATTTGATTTCATTAACGATTATATAAATGCGTTCCTTGGACAAAGATTTCGCTACTTTTGTAACCTTTTGCTCATGATACATAGATACGACGCGAGATCACTGAAGAACTTTAACATAAACCGCAACACAGGAGGATGAGGCAATGTTACCAAGTATCGACGTTTCGGTGTAACGATATCTTCTTTGAAGGTTTTACGTGTCTACGACCTTCTAAGGGTGCGGTTGCGATCGCGAGATTCTAACGTTATGACATTCGAACGAACGATGTCAAATGAATTTTAGTATTTGACAAAAGAAATCAAATATAAGTGCATATCGCGACAACAACGACTATGAAACTAATTTAGATAGAAAATAAATAGATTATACTTGGACGAATGTTGAATTTTGATTGAGAGTTGAACGCGCGTGAGTTATAAGCAAACGCGAGTCCTAACAACTATTTCCCACGATTCATGATACGCGTCAAAATATTCATCATCGAGTAGGGATAACGGTGCTGAGATACTTTTCGTTCGAACAGCGACTTTAAATCCCGAAGCAAGGTAGTATCGGTATTTCTTGCGGTTCTTTGTCCCGCAGGCCGTATACCAACCTCACCTCACCTGTGCCAGGCCAGTTCGTCCAAGTAACTCGATCACGCGTGGCATACCGTGTATGTGTGCGTGTGTGAGAGAGAGAGAGAGAGAGTGTGTGTGTGTGTATGTGTATGGGGTATTCCTCCCTCCTCCAACTATGGTAACATCCTTCGAAGCGTCTCCATCTTCGCACTCGCTTCATCTATTCTCACAGTACAAAGTTATCGTTTTGCTTCCATTTCTGTTTGTATTCCTTTTACGAAGAAGAAACATCGACCGAATTATTGCTAGTTGAGATTATAACAAATGATAGAGAAAAGAGGTGTTAATGTTCCAACGTATGTATCTTGATTCGATTATAGAAAAGAAAAAGCGATAAAAGGAAATAGCGTAGAAGGTATGGTGAGACGAGGTGAGACGAGAAGGGAAAAATGGCCGCACAGCAGGTCGGTCATAGACTGCTTTTTCTAAAGAGTATGAGAAGCTGGAATAACCGACCCGATGAACCGAGGTTCCGGAGGACAGAACGGTACACGATGCCTTCCTCCTCTTTCTTCTCCAACCTTCACCGAGAGGCCACCGAAGATGAGGGCCAGCAGGACCTCGGAGTTCCCACTCTTGGAATTCCTAAGTACGCTTCTGATGGACACGCGCTAGTATACGTATACGGTACTCGCGTCGTTTGTTACTTTGCCAAGGTACGCAATGTATGTATGTTTTTAAGAAAATAGTTAACGTCGTTGCACTCTTATTCGCCTTATTCTGATCGCAACCACATATAATTCTATTTTCTACTATTAAACATTATTTTCTTGCAAACATTTATCATCGTTTGCGCATCCTTTAGGCGTCTATTAGGCATCTATTACGCGTCGTTTACGCCTCGTTTACGTATTGAATATTTCAAACGAACGCGCTTGTTTCGAGTCATCCTGGAGGCAGAGCTCTACGTTGTAAGTTAAATCTCTAATTGAAATCATTTCAACTTGCTTCGCAATCTAGACGCGTTGAGAAAGTTTTGACTCTCGAGCGCAGCAACTCGGACGAAAAGTACTTGCTTGCAATAAGCAAAAAGTATCTGTCTTTTGCAACGATTGTTTATTCCACATTTCCAATTCTTATGGTATTCTTGCCATGAGAGCACTTTAATAGACGATTAAAGGTCAACGACAATTCCGAGAACACTCGACAAGTTTCATCTCGATGTTCTAAAATGACCCCAATGCTGCCTTAATTTAGACAATTTGTCGCGTGGTCCTATCTCGACGATTGCTATTATATACGCTTCTTCATCCACCTTCACAGACATATCCTCCTCACACTTTATCCTACTTTTGATCCTTATCTCTTGCAAAGCTATTACGATTTTACGATTTTACGATTTTACGATTTTACGATTTTAGTGCTTTTCCTAATTCTATCGGTAAAAGGAAAACTTCTTTTCCCTGAGACAATTCATCCAAAAAATCTCTTTGATTTTCAATTTGAAAATTCGTCAACGATACGAAAAAATGAAACGCGTAACGCGCGAGTGTTCTCCTCTATTTCCGTTGACGCTTACGTCGTAGCTCGTCGTAGCTCGTCGTAGCTCGTCGTAGCTCGTTGTAATCAGCCATAAAGACCCTCGAGTTCCTCCAAGACGAAGGCAATTCCCCGAGATGAAGCAGAAGAGAAACGATGAAACGAATGGAAGAAGAGGGCACTCCGTTATCGTTCACCTCTCATAACGGTTTCTTCGACGGAGGGCGCGATCCCACATCGCTTCGTGTCGTCGCTCAGTAAGAATGGTCCGCCGTTTATATCTTTAAGTATCTCCCTCTGTATATGCCCGTGTATTGTATCTAACCGATACGTATTCAACATATTTATTACATCAGCAGATAATCTACGCCCTGACGCAACTTAAACGAAATAAATAAAAAGCATCTACAATTTATCTCTAATATTTTATTTATTTTCAAATATTTCAAATCTTTCTAATATTGAGAGATAAAGAGAGAAAGAGAGAGAGAGAGAAAGGGAATAAAGTTACAAAGTGTAAAGGAATACGAATGTATCATTTCGTAGCTCGTCGTAATAACACCTTTGTTTCCGGTAATGGAACAAAACGCCAACTCCTTAAATGCTTTTATACCCTCGATGTAACGGCTCCTCGTGACTTCTTTGGCTTCCGGTACAAGCGAGGGTCACCGAAGACCCGGAAGTTCGTTCGACTCAGCGCATTAACTTTCCTCGGAGCCCCTCAGTATTATATACCTTTCAAGCCATTGGATACTTTGCGAATTGTAGCACGCGGAAGAATAAGTGGAAAGGCAATCTATGATACTACAATCATTTCATCTTTTATTTTTCCTTACAAACGGCATTCTAAGACCAGCAAGAGAACAACGTTGCTCTATAATAATTACTCGAATATTTAATATACAATATATCTTCTATTCTATTTCTCCAATATATAACATTAATAACTGACTTGAAGAATCAATGTACATGTATTAAGCTTAGAATTCAAACTAGTATGTGTTACAGTTCACCTACGTACATTTATATAACGAAACCAATCCAAAAGAGACATACACGCGACACCTATCCTTGCGAATGTAAAATTCGCTATATGAAGCGCCACATGTAGGAAAGATGTGGGAAGATTCAACGACAGTATTACATTACCACATTTACCCTACAATTGGCCCTAACGCGCTTGACGCCGACTCAATTAAGAGGACTCTTTCTCTCTCATTCTCTCTTTACCAGTAGGAATAAATGGACGTAAAAAGAATATAAAAAGATATAAGTACTTTCATTAGGCTACTATGACAGATTTGTCATAAGGTATAATACGTTTTTAATCTGCTAATCAAATTTCAATATTACAAAATTATCAAATTATATCAAAATTACATACGTAATTGTACTATTTCTTTATCAATCATGCGATATCATTCCAAGAAAAAGAGGGGGAGAGAGAGAGAGAGAGACTCTATAAGTATTATCTATATTTTTGTTAATACCTGTAAAAATCAGCATATTCATATATCATTAATATACAAATAACAATAAAATATTTCTTTAATATTTATTACCATACATTTTGACAGACAACTACGATTGAAATAATCCAATGATATCCTTTCAATCAACTTTTTTATTGTTTTCAGAATTTGTTGGAGATTTCGTTACCTGTAACGCAACGACATTCGATTACATAAAAAACAAAAAAAGAAAAATAGAAAAGCAGTTTTATACAAACTTATCATTCATGTATGATATACCTCTTTCTTATCAGTTGTAAATTCCCATATTTTGTCGCTTAAAGAACCAACCACACTAGAAATACTCTGACCCATATTAGCGCTCAATTCAACAAATTCCGAAAAAGTATTAGGCATTTTAAACGTCGAAATATCTGGCAGTTTAATATCTGGCAATGCTCGCTCGTCATCTCCTGGCTTCACTAAAATATGTAAGTAATATCATTTTTAAATCTATAAGATAACGACGACGAACAATTCATGATTGAACAAAATCTTGTCTATGTAAACAAAATATTGTGTATAAATAACATGCTATTTTAGAGAAGATAGATATATATATATATATAAATATAAGAAAAATCTTTCTACTCACCACCGTAAATAAAGTTATAACTAACATTAGCATAATGTTTGGCATATTCAAAACTTTCCTGAGCTTTCTTAGGATAACAAATGGCTCCAACGGTAAGAGCACCCGTACTAGAATAGACAAATTTTTTGATAATACCTCCTCTAAGTCCAAATATTAAACCTGTCAGTCCACCTATTCCAATAGCACCAAATCGTGGCATAGTATTATCTTCTTCTTGAAGATACTCTACCAAAACTAAAAAAAAAAAGATCGAACAAGCAGAAGAAATATTACATTTACAATTAGATTTTAGGAGTAAAAAGGAGTATTTGAAATAAACTAATATATTTTCTTACATTGACTATGCTCCAGTCCAGTATTTATCTTAGAAGAAATGTTATCCGATATAGTATGCCATTGCAACATAATACCTTGCAGAGATCTTCTAATCGTTCCAAATTGTTGCTCCAAGGCAGATGAATGAACATTTGAACTGCAAGTAATATCTCGAAGAATTTAAGTTTCTATACTCTATGGCATATGTATATAAATATGTATATAAATGATTACACAATATGATAGATATATAAACGCATTTCATATTGAAAAGTATTTAAAAGTACTACTTTTCCAAACCTAGGAAACCTATTACCGGTGGTTTACCATGGAATATCTTTGGAGTAAACATCTTCTAATGGATAAATAGGAAGTTCGGATGGACGAATCATATTTTCTTTCTTATGATTGCAAGATTCTGGATAATCTTGAGGAGATTGTGATTTAATTACTGGCACTGCAGCGCAAAGTCCACATGGCATTAAAAACTTTTTCACCAACTGTATAAACATAAATGGACAATACTTAACAATTTAAATTATGTGAGACAGGACAAAATACAAATAATAATAATAAGGAATAAGTCAATATGGAGGTAATATGTAATGGTACACATATTAACGACGTTTAAATATTAGAAAAAACTCAAGATATTGCCAATTACCCAACACATTTACCTTTAATCTGTTCATTATGAATGAATGTGAAATATTTGTGCATACATACAATCACAACCACAACCACAACCACAATCAGAATCAGAATCAGAATCAGAATCAGAATCAGAATCAGAATCAGAATCAGAATCAGAATCAGAATCAGAATCACTCCTATTTGGACTGTGATAAAATTCGTAATGAATATTATTACACTGAGTATAGGTTTTTAAGTGAACATTGGGATGACGTAAATTGTAACGTTTCGCTTCACCTACGGTATACGTAATCCCTCTCGTAATTCGGTAAGGAAGGTGAATGATATACCGATCGAGAAATCTTTTCAAAACTGATTTACCGACAGATTCGAATTTCTTCAAGAGGGAACAAATCAAAAATACTTAATATATCCTAAAAATAGTTCTAATATAAAACACGCATACTTTTATACTGACTCTTCCAAATTCGGTGATAATACCGGGTTGATAAATATCGCAACGATGAATAGGTTCCCGACACGTTATATCTTTTCCAAAAATATTTCCTATTGTATAATCTAAAAATTTGTGTAGAAAATCATTCATTTCCTATTGAATAATATAAAAACACTTGATATTATCTTAATTTGAATAGCCACAAAATTCGAATTGATATTTATGTATTTGAACTTGAGCATACAAAAAATAATACTTCTAGAAAGGAAACGTTGCTACGGTAACGGCCTATTATAACTTTTACAACTGTATACGGTGCTAATCGTAGTTTTCTAATCATTTTTTCTCTCCATTAATTTTCTTTATTTTGTAAAGGTGTAATATGGAGTCAGCGATCAAAGAGTGGATAGATATATATATATATATATATATATATATATATATATATATATATATATATATAATATGTTGTTGGTTGTACTCCATTTAAAACTTCTATTCAAATTGAACATGAAACCTTTTCTAAAAATATGCATTATCAAAGAGGAGCGATTTTCGTTCCATAATATGAAATATCAGACGACTTGGAAGAGATTTAACACATGGTTCAAGGTTACGTAGAGTCTACTCGATATGCTAATAATGATCATGTTAACGTCTAATCTATGAGTAGTTTGGTCGTGAACGCATGTGTTCCACGTGTTAAAGGAATTTAATAATTATTCTTATATAAATCATTGCAAGGTAATTACAAAAACTTATATAGAAATAAATAAATATTTTTTCATCATTTTTCATATATCTTATGCAAAATATACGCGTGATTGTTAATGTCAATAAAGACACTTAAAGTAGAAATATTGAATAATTAATTGCATCATTTCATATATGTAAGAGTGAAATTTGATTCATAAATAATTGTCTAATATATTATAAAAGAATGATCGTTAATAAATAATAATAATAATAATAAATATAGAGAAAGAAGAAGTTTGAGATTAAGTAGATAAAATGTGTGGAATTTGGGCATTATTTGGTCTAGACGCGAAGCCTATAACTTGTATCTGTGAAAATTTTGAAAAAATATCTCATCGTGGTCCAGAAGCATTTCGGCTTGAATTTGATAATAGAGTTAAGGTATGTGATGATTATTTTCAAATAATACAATGAAAAATAATATTTTATTAGACTTGTATTTAAAGCGTTCAAAATATTATTTTGTAGAATGGATATCTTGCGTTTCATAGATTAGCCATTGTGGATTGTCTTAATGGGATGCAACCTATGAGGCTTAACCAATACCCATATTTATTTTTACTTTGCAATGGCGAGATCTATAACTGTAATAAGGTAAACCTACTAAAAATTATTAAAAAATAACATATTACATGTTATCAACTTTTGTGTGTGTGTGTGTGTGATTTTTGTAACCTTACAGCTAGGAGAGCAATACAATTTTAAATATACAACCAAGTGCGACGTAGAAGTAATTTTGCACTTATATGCCCAAGGTGGATCGGATAATGTTGCACGATCTCTAGATGGTGTATTTGCATTTTGCTTACTGGATATCGAAAAGAAAAAAATCATTCTTGGTAGAGATCCGTACGGTGTTAGACCCTTATTCAAATTATATTCAAATGCTGGACATTTGGGGATATCTTCCGAAAGCAAAGTAACATTAAAGCTACCTTTTTTAAATATCTATCTTTCTAATATACTTAATAATACATCACATCATCATATGTATATTTATGCAGGGACTTATTAATATATCCAAACGTATAGAAGAAAAGTACACGTTGCAACCATTTGTACCTGGTAATTACGAGGAATATGATCTTTTAAATGACGGCCGAACGAAATTTGTGCAAACCATCAATTACCACAAGCCTGGAGACAAACCTCATTTTCTAGCTTATACGCCTTGGAATAGTATGTTAGACACAACAATATAAAGTTCAATCATTTCTCATATTTATTTGATGTACATAACAATTCGATAAAATATCTACATTTTTATAGCGTTAAGTAATAACGACGTACACGAGAACATTAGAAAGTTATTTTCTGCGGCTGTAGAAAAACGCTTGTTGGCAGATAGACGAATAGGTTGTTTGTTGTCCGGTGGATTAGATTCCAGCTTAGTTGCAGCTACTCTTGTACAGCATGCACAGAAACATAATTTACCATACAAAATACAAAGTTTTGCAATAGGCATGGGAGATAGTCCAGATATTATTGCAGCAAGACAAGTAACTCACCTACTACTCATGCCTTTTTCCTATTCTTATTGTTTATATGTTTTTACATGTTTTTACATGTTTTTATACGTTTTTTTATATACCAGGTCGCAGACTATATAGGAACTGAACATCATGAAATTATTTTCTCTCCCGAAGATGTAGCTGAAATTTTGGATCAAGTTATTTATCATTTAGAAACATTTGACATTACAACAATACGAGCTTCTATCGGGTAAAATATTTCATATGTTTCATATATTTTTTTATATTTTTTATTGGAAGATAACTGCATCGAATGATAAATATTATTTATCATCTATTTTAGGATGTATATTATATCAAGATACATTTCCCAAAATACAGAAACAACAGTTATATTTAGCGGAGAAGGTGCTGATGAATTAGCACAAGGATATATTTATTTTAGGGATGCTCCTACAGCTATGGATGCGCACAACGAATCAATTAGATTATTAAAGGACATTTATCTTTATGATGGTTTAAGAGCTGATAGGACAACTAGTGCATTCAGTTTAGAACTTAGAGTTCCATTTCTTGATTTACAATTTACTAATTATTATTTATCACTTGATGCTGCCATTAGACAACCGCAAAGTAATTAAAAAAGTTATCATTGTTTCAATTATTTTACACACCTAGATCATGTATTTTGCTTCTCAGAATGAAATTCTGATGAAATTCATTTCAATTCTTCTTTAATACAGATGGCATAGAAAAATATTTATTAAGATCTGCATTTGATGGCACTGGCATACTACCATCTAACATACTTTGGCGGCATAAAGAAGCCTTCAGCGATGGCGTTACTTCCATTAAAAAATCTCTTTTTCAAATCGTTCAAGATATTGTAGAAGATAAAGTACAAGATGAAGATTTAGCAAAGGCACACGTTAAATATCCCCATTGTACACCAAAGACTAAAGAAGCCTTTTATTATAGGTGGGCGATTTTCAAACATTTTAATTTATTGATATATTTTTGTTTACATCATCATCATCATCATCGAAAATCAACGATCTAAATGATGAATGTTTCTCATTTTGAACAGAAATTTATTTGAATCATATTACGGTGGTCAAGCAGAAGTTTTCACTCCATACTTTTGGATGCCACGTTGGGTAAAAGACATTGCGGATCCGTCTGCACGATTTATTAAACATTATTCTGCAGATGTAAATAATGATAACGATCAACAGGAAACAATCTCTAAGATTGAAAAATGAAGATGGAATTATATAAAAAGATTTTCATATGATACATATATAGGAAATATGTAATATTCCTATACTTAATAATATAATATATAATTGTTAATTTGTGCGAAATAAATTTTGTGTGAAACATTCTTTCTTTTCTACTCCGATCTTATAAAAGAATTATGTGCTTTTATAAATATACTTAATCTTTTATGTGAAAAATTATTTAACAGGGGGACTAAATATTTGTTAATTATTATATATATATATATATGCAATGACAGTTCTCACTTAATTGCACGCCTGTAATAAGAGATTAAAAAACATATCTTTTGTTAACTTGTTGATAATACTAAAAGAAAGAATGAAAAAAAAATATATTTATACCCCTGGTGGGACTCGAACCCACAATCCCCGGTTTAGGAGACCGATGCCTTATCCATTAGGCCACAGGGGCTTACAACTTTCAAACAATTATTAATATAAATTGTGGTGGAAATCAAATTTTAATAAATATTGTAAAAACATTGATTAATTATCCATTTATTTCGTAATAACAGTATACAATAGGTTATATTTAAACACAATCAAATATAAAGTAAAATATTTTATGACAAAATGCTTTTCGTTATAATGTTTTAAAAGTTAGAAAATATATATATATATAAAATGATAATTATATTATACATAATATATATTGTTAAGAGATAAATTTTCTATGAAAAAAATACGCCGTCAGAATTAAAGAATAATATAAAGAAATTTGATAGGATTTGACTGTTACAGTCACCCACGTGTTTGATATTGTTTTGTTTACATGATAGCATTGACATCTAGTGATCTGGCGCGAAACTTCTTAGTAGTGGGTTACTACTGCCCTCTGTCCTTTTTTGCAAGAAACAAATAGCCAAGTTTTCTATCTTATAATTATACAATTGACATTTATTTAGAAAGAAAATGCAGTATAAACATTTATATTCTCTAAGAGTGCCGACAAAACATTGTAATTTCTGTTTTTTGAAATTAACAAAGTCATACAAAAATCAGGTGAAAACTTTACACGATGCTGCTAAAGATAAAAATAATAAAAAATATAGCAAAACTATTATATTACCTAAAACTGACTTTCAATTACGACTAAGTGGAAAAAAGCGAGTGGATATGGATAAATATTTGCAAGAAGTAAATATTGTTTTTATTTTATTTTATTTTAATAAGCAACATTATAACTCTTATAACTGTTTGAATGACAGAAACCTTAACATTTGAAACTTTTATAGAAATGTAGATTTTTAAATTTATATCATTGGCAAAGAGAACATTTAGCAGGACCGGATTTTGTTTTGCACGATGGACCACCTTATGCCAATGGGGATCTTCACATGGGCCATGCAGTCAATAAGGTTTTCATTATTTCGATGGATGATCCTCTTAAATGAAGCATTTTCTAAGTTGACTATATTTTCATTATTATACCATTATTATTCATTTGCAAATTGACAGATTTTAAAAGACATTACTCTGCGACATAAAATAATGAAAGGTCAGCGAGTACATTATGTACCAGGTTGGGATTGTCATGGTTTACCAATTGAACTTAAAGCGATTAAAAACCTTAATACTGAAAACGAAACGTCAGATCCTTTAGAAATTCGACATAAAGGTAAATAATATCGCCTTGTATTAATAATACAATATAGGATACTAAGAAAATTGATGTTACACGAAAATTGATTTTTAGCACGTATATTTGCTGAAGATGCTATTATAAAACAAAGAGAAGTATTCTCTTCGTGGGGTATAATGGCTGATTGGAAGGAAAGTGGATGTTATTTTACAAATCGACCTTCATATATTCAAAATCAGTTACAGCAATTTATAAATTTGTATGAGAAAAAGCTTATTTTTCGAGATTTTAAACCAGTCTATTGGTCTCCTTCCTCTAGGTATAATCAATTATTTTTAGTTACTCGAATGGAGGTCTAAGTTTATTTATTACAATCATTAACATTGACATTATAAACAATGTTTATTTTTCACAGAACAGCCTTAGCAGAAGCTGAATTGATGTATAATGAAAAACACGAAAGCAAATGTGCCATTATTCGTTTACAAATGTGCGACGTACCATTGAAGTTGAAAAGATTTACTAATAATACGATATATGCGCTCGCATGGACAACTACCCCTTGGACATTAGTAGCTAATCAAGCATTAGCATTTTCTGCTAATTCTGAATATTGTTTGGTGCAAGACTCTCATGGGAATTTTTACATTATTGCCGAAGCATTGGTGAAAGATATTGAATTGAAAATTGGTCATTTAAAGTCGATAGCAAGCATTAATGGTAAACATTATTTCTACAGACTAGAAATAAATGAAGAAAAAAAAAAAAAAAAAAAATAAGCTATAATTAGTGTATTTTATTGTAGGAAATGAATTGAGCAATGCCAAGTATTTACATCCGATCAGAAAAGAAAGTCTACCATTTTTACCAGGAGAACATGTTACAATGAATCTTGGTACTGGATTAGTACATACAGCTCCTGCACACGGTCCCGAGGATTTTCTTCTCGCGCTTCGATATAACATACCAGTTGTAAGAATAGAGCATGTATTTCAAGAAGAAATGCTGTAGAAGGCAATAATTAAGAAGATTCATTGTTAACTAACTTTGATCACTATCTTATCAGCTATCCGTAGTTGATCAAAATGGTCGATATACGGAAGCGGCTGGTATTGAATTTGCAGGTTTGAAAGTTTTAGACGAAGGCACTGAAAAAGTTTTACAACATTTGAACCAAGACATTGTACATATTGAGTTTATTAAGCACAGTTATCCATATGATTGGCGAACAAAGAAGCCAGTTATTATTCGAGCAAGTCATCAATGGTTCGTCGATATTAATTCCATTAAAACAAAAGCTCTCGTAAGTTATGGATTTGGTTTTTTTGTGTTTACCTAATAAAGCTCTAAAGCATTACAAATATTAAACTTGTAATGAAAATTGTCATTGTTATTATTAGGAAATGTTGGATAGCATAGAAATATTTCCAGAAAAAAACCGATTGCCCTTTCTAAATAGCTTGTATGCGCAAATTATGAAACGACCCTTTTGGTGTATTTCTCGGCAACGATCTTGGGGAACACCTATTCCTGCTTTGTATTTCAAAAATACTGGACAAGTATTTACGAATAGGTAATTATTCCACGTGTGTGTAATAATATCACTTTTATATATATATATATATATATATATATATATATATATATATATATATATATGTTATCATCTGATTACTTAATCTTTCGCTTATAGAGAATGGATAAATAGACTATGTGATCTTATAGAAAAAAATGGCATAGATTGTTGGTGGAAATGGTCAACGGAAGAATTAGTAGGAGAAGAAATTCTGAACAAATTTAAACTCGATAAAAGTAATTTGAAGAAGGGTGAAGTAAGTACGAGAAGACAAATATTATTTATTAAAGCTATAATTATGATAACATTATAATTATCCTTTTATTTGCCATTTTCCGAATGTTACAGGATATTATGGATATTTGGTTTGATAGTGGCATTTCGTGGTCTGCAATTTTACCAGAAAAAAAGGCAGATTTATATTTGGAAGGACAAGATCAACTTACTGGCTGGTTTCAGTCCTCTTTGTTAACTTCCGTTGCACTTCAGAACTCTTCTCCGTACAAGTATGTAGAGTTAAAATGACATAATAATTATAGCTAATTGTAATAACATTTATGGATATACATGTTGTATATAATGTTTCTAACGTTTAAAGTTCATTGTTCGTACATGGATTCGTGGTAGATGAGAATGCTGCTAAAATGTCCAAGTCACAAGGTAATATTATACATCCGGATGATATTACAAAGGGTAGTAAGAAGAGTGATAAAAGTGGCTCAGAAAAAAATGCATGCGGAGTTGATACATTAAGGTAATGAAACAATACTTTGATATTGTGTATATATTTTGAATTTCATCCAATATCATTTTAATATCATTTTTTGTTATACTTTTGTTAGATGGTGGGTCAGTAGTCATGGTTGTCAACACACTCAAATACGTGTAACGCAAGAAATATTGCAAGAAAGTAAAGAATCTATAGAAAAACTTAGATTAATATTACGTTTCTTGTTGGGCGTTTTAAATTCTAATGCAGAATCCAAATTAGTAATAGATCCAAAGTTTCTGCATCTTGATTGGTACATGCTACATAGCATATATCATTATAATAAACAAGTAAGTATCTAAAAAGAAAGATGGAGAAAAGAAAGAAAGAAAGAAAGAAAGAAATACAATACACTTTTTGTTGAAAATAATTGAAAGAGAAATCAATTTGATTGATTTTTGTCTAGATACAGAATCTCTATGATAATTATCAATATCATAACGTATGTAGACTGGTCAAAAATTGGACGACAAACGACGTGTCGTCAATATATTGTCATTTAAATAAAGATAAGCTTTATTGTGATCCAATAACATCAGCATATCGTGCTGCTACTATCCAAGTTATAGATGCAATACTGACTGTTGTATTGAGAAGTATTGCACCAATTGTACCTCATTTAGCAGAAGAAGCTTGGTTACATCGCACTAAAAATGCCAATACTGGTAAACAAATCTCTAATATAATCTCTCTAATATTATTAACTTGTTTCTTATTGTTGTCAAATAAATGCAATTTTGCTTTATTACTATTATAGAATACATACCACTTCATTATACAAGTTATACCATACCAGAAAGTTGGAATCAATCGCAAAGCATTGAATGTATAGAAGCTGCATTATGTTTAAGAAGTAAAGTTAATAAACTCGCAACTCGTAATACGTGGGAATTAGCGACTACAATAATGAGTACTAAACAAGATTATCAATTATTATCGGTAAGTACCAATTAGTATCATTTATAAGTATCAATTAGTTATGTAATCATTTTATTAATAATTTCGATGATACTTGCGCTTTTGTAGATTCTTCAAAAAGAAAAGGAATCTTCTTTTTCCGAACTATGTGATATTTTACAAGTTTCACAAATAACTCTTATAGAAAATGATACTCTTACTGAAACGCAAATTCATTTAAATTCTATAGATAGACAACTATGTAAACGTTGTCGAAGACATCCTGAAAATGACGGAACTGAAATATGTGAACGTTGTATTAATATACTCGATAGAAACAATATCATCTCAGCAACGGCATTTACTTGAATAATCTTATTATTCTCTTATAAAGTACAATAGTGGTGTATGTGAATAACAATAAATGTATTTAAAGATGATATCTTTACAGAAAGATTAAGTAAATAAATTACTCTCTAGCAGGAACAATCGTTATTTACGATAACGTTATTTTCTACAAAACATATTTATGTACATAGATACATAAATAAAGATAATATATAATATATAAGAGAGAAAAAAAAAAGTATGAAATAAGTATACAAGTGCGATTATTTGATATCCTTGCAAACGATATCCAAAGATCACAGTAATTGTATTTATTTAATGGAAATGATTTTTTAACAATCTAAAACTAGGATGACTTTTCTGTTAAATCGTACATATAATTTATATTTAAAGTATTAAGAAAATGTATTAAATGCGGCTGATATCCGCTGATAGTTAATTTATGAGCTATACGAGATAGATACGTACGTAATTCACAGAAAACCTCATACATTTGTTCTAATTTGTTAAAATTAGGATGAGTGTAACCTTCTGAATTAAAAATCCAGTTTTGAGATCTTAATCGGTTGTGAAATTTTAATATAACTTTACAAATGTTACCCAAACATGTTCGCATTTTTTCTCCACGAGTATTAAGAATACACCTGCAAATGATTTAATAAGCATTCCTATTACTTCGTATCTCTCATATACATACATATATATATATATATATAAAATATGTTCATCACGGAGAAGTTTATAGATTTACCTTGATAAAATTCTTTTAATATAATTTACATGTGAAAATCTCACTTGATCCAGAGTCAAAGAGTTACACAAATCTTTCTCAAATTCGATCCAACTTGCATGTAATACGCTACAAGTTATATAATTATGAAGTGCACTGACAAACTGTGTCATCGAATGTCTGTACAGTTGAAGCTATCAAATAAGAAATGAAGAAATTAAAAAGAGATAGAAAAGAAGGTAATTAAGAATAGTAATAAGTAATATGAAAGTGTAAGAAGAAGAGTGATAAATACCTTATGATATTGTTCCGACATGGATGCTTTTTGTTCAACTCTCATCATACGAAAATCTTCTTGCAATACCCAGAGTACTCTACCAATCATCAATAAAAATTTAAACACCTTACTATATTGTAGCATCACTGCGTCGTCCAAGATAATATTCAAAGGCCATGAAATTTTGTAACTAAGGCACAGACAATCCAAAGCATAAGGATCAGAAATCTGCGATAATAAAAAAAATAACATTTAACATGTTAAACGTTACATCATATCCTCCCTAATTGTAGAATATTGAAACGTACATGTAATTGCATCGGTATATCAATGGCTGAAAGGCTAAGCAATTCCGAATTCATGTAATTACTGCTGAAAGAACTAATAAGTGCTCGCTCCAATACATTTGTTAAAGTGGCCGAATTGAAGAGTTCTACTGGTACGGATATTTCGTATAGACGAGCGTATAAAGAATTAGTTAGGCATTTGGCAAATTCTCCATTTAATAAAAAGAAATAACTTCTCAAACTTTGCAAATGTAAAAGCATATTATGCTCATTTAATAAATATTTAATAAGAGCATCGTTAACGATATGACTTTGTATCTGCAATGGTATAATAATTGATTTTTCCAGATAAACCTGCAGAGATGTATTATCTATTAATTCAACATCAGCTATAGTTAATGATGTAAAATCGGAACAATTAACATTATCATTTGAAGTCGAGGGCGTGGAAATGTTGACATTGTAATATCCTGGAAATACGGAAGAGATGTCACCATTTAATTTCGAGTTTGACGACGAAGACAAACTATTGATATCTAAAGGAGAAACGTCTTCAAAAGTTGGTAAATTTGACATAAGACTATTTACAGACGATACTAAATTATCCGTGATGGAAGAAATTTGTGCAATTTCGTTGATATTATTGATTTGACCAACAATTTCATCCTTGGAATTCTTATCGTTATTAGTTTTAACTACTACTATTTCACTACTATTCCGTCTAATACTTTCCATTGCATCGATGCATTTTGTTTGATCGTTAACTGTATTATTGGTAACATCATCACTTGACGCATAATTTTTATTATCATCTTGAATTGTTCTCCTTTCCATAAAAAATAAATTCGATTGATTGTTATTATTTGGCGTTACGCCAAATTCATGTTTCAACATTTTTATTTTATTGCGCTGCGCTTCTGTCATGTTATCAAATTTGTCTATTTCCAGAATTTTAGGCCTCTTTACAATTTTGTTCTCGTTATTATTTCCAATTGTAACATCATTTTCCAATCGTAATTCTTTGGATACTTCGCTTCGTAAAAACTCTTGCAAACTACTTCTCTCATTATTCCGTTTATAAATATTGTTCATATTCGTTGGATCTTCTAAACGAGTATCTAAATCTCTACTCTGTGTATCCGAAATAACCGTAAACGATTTATTTGTCTTCTTATTATCAGGAATATTTGCTAAGGTACTTGTCGTCTCATTGTCAGACTGAATAACAATATTGATATTTGATGACTTTAACGCTTCTATCTCTACAACAAGTTCTACTTCTTCAAAATTACTATTTTCATCTTGTTGCGCTATATTGTCGGATAATGTATTTGACTCGTTATTATTTAAAACGTGTTGTTGAACATTATATATATTTCCCTCGGTTTCATTGTCTTTTAGATTCTGCAATACTTCGTGTTCATCCGATACACGAGTACATTTCCATATATCTTCCTCCATTAATGCAGCTACCCTTTCATCAAAATATTTCATTCTCTTGTTACACCACTGCATGCGCGTCTGTTGCTTCTGAATAGTAGCGTCAAGATCGGTGTAATACTTTTGTAAATAAGCACTAGAAGAGATAAATGAATAATGATCCAGCCACCCTATTAATTATGATATATGAAAGTTCTCAGTATAAGAATAATAATGAAATAAGAAATAATATTTCTTTTACCGTTCGGAGATATTTCTGTTGTATAATTCTTCTTCTCTCTGATTATTTTGTTCCATAAGTAATCTATCAGTTAACATTTCAGCTTCCTTTTCTTTTGCTTTATATAAATTAGCTTCAATAGCTTGCTCCTTTAGTACTTTTAAAAGTTCTCTTTTGTTTTCTATCGTTGTCTTCAAAAATTCTTCTTGCTCTCCTATGAAAATAATGATTCCCAACAATAATTTATACAATATAATACAACAACGATACTAAATAGTGAAATACTAACTCTTGATTCTCAGTAATGTATCCTGTTGCGCATTAATGACTAATTTGGCTTTTTCTATTTCAGCATTTTTTTGATCCTGAATTGCCACTGAAAGCGATATAGGTCGACCTAGAGCTTCTTCTCCTCTACGTTTATATTCTTTACATTTGATCAACTGTTCGCGTAACATCGTAACACTCAAGCATACTTTTAATTCCGGTTGGAAAGCATTAAAAACATTGCACACGGGATTCTACGTTAATAGAGAGTTCTATAATTAGAATAATATTTTCATACACGTAAATGATGTTAATAATGAGATTACTTTGGGTTTGTTGTTTATTGTGTTACCTTAGGATCACAGATTTTCAAAAGTCTTACTGCTTTGCCACACTGTAATATAGATTCTGTTAACCGAGTTAGAAAGCTTGGAACCGACTCGTGATGTACGGTAAAACTTTTGGTCCAAAATTTAGGACCTTTGCTACGTAGAAACTGTGAATGTTCTTTAATCATAAATTCACCATAAATGTCATGGCATATACCTTCAAATAGCCATTTCTGTAAAAATCTATATAATGAAAATTATAGAAAATTACTAAGAAATGAAATAAAAATGTAATGAACATTTAATTAATAGGTATACATACCGGAAATAAACTTCACAGCAGGATTTTAAAATGGTATACAAAACAAAGGCGATTTTGGGAAGGGTAACTTTTGTAATCATTTTGTTAACTACAGCAAAAATATTGCTATTTTCACCCATTTTTCCATTTTCCTTACTGCATCGACAGAGCTTAGTTACTTCTGTTAATAAGAGACCCACCGGTTGAATTTTACTCAAAACATTCAGTAATCCTGTAGGCTCGTTAATATGTTCAAAAATACGCAGAAGAGCAGCTTTGTAATGGAGAAGTATTTCTTTGATACTCGTACACATTGCCTGAAAATATCAAACAAACAAAATACTTTTGTTATATACTTGTGCAATGTATACAAAAATTTTTATATTATTATATTATTTATATCGTTAAAAGGTACTTTACCTTAAATATAAGACCTTCTTGCAGCAACTTTCCGTCGTGCGAATTTGGTGTAGTCAAGTTTGTTAAGTATTTGAAACAATTACCCCAAGATAGAAATCTTTGACAAATATTGGTCAATGTTTCATTGTCAATACCATAAATAACAATATTTTCACACATGTAAAATCCCATCTAAATCATGAATTATATTATTATTATTATTATTATTATTATACATTATTACCAGTTGATTAACTATGCCAATAATTGATATCATCCTACCTTGTTGTTATATTTAAAAGATTTGCTTTCTGTTCCCATTAATAATAATTTAATATTCTTTACAAACTCTTTAGTTGAGATTTCTTCTGGAAAATCTATATTATTGATAACCTGCGTGAGAAATAATTATATTAGATATCACACGTCGTCATATCACACGCTATGATGGTAGAGATGTATGTTATCCTTACCCTTTTTGGAAGTAGCAACAAAATACAAATCTCCTTTATTCTTGTCAAATGGGACATGGCATTTGGAGTATCCGTTAAAAAATGATACTGCTTTGGAAATTCTAATTCTCCCAATGTTTCCCATGTATGATAATTGAAGATGAAAGTATTTTTCATATCTATGCTATTCCATATCTCTTCGTAGAAGTCTTTAACATTTACAATTTCGTTATGAAGGCTTTCATTGGACAATCTCCATGTGCAATCAGTAATATTAGGCATATTATCCTCTTCTACTTCGGTTTCTTTTTCACATTTATCCATATAATTTGTATTATAATTCATGTCTGTCTAATTATAAAATCAAATATGTTTATTAAATGTAATGTAGTAGTATTATATGACTAGTAGTATATCACTAAACGAACGCTTACCATTGTCTGTGGTAAAAAGTATGAAATAGTATCTCTGGAGCAGGAATCGGTTATACACTTTGGTATGGAAAACCAACCGATGTCAGTTCTAAAATTCCGTTAATATTCCGTTATTATTATTATTTAAATATATCATTATATGTAGATTTTATGTTACCATTTGATTTTACCTAGAAGACTCTACTTTATTCGAATATTTCAATAGATTCTGATTATATAAGTATGATCTATTAACGGAGTTAGCAGTTGTTTGTTGGATAATATAACATTTTTGAATATCTAGCATGGCATCCAATTTATTCGATAATATAAATGTTTCTATAGGATATATTGGAAATTGCGATACATTTTCTAACGTTTGAAGTGGTTCCAATAAAGCAGGATTGCTACTCGAGTAGTAAAAGATGTTCTGCAATAGAAAGATTTGAATGAAAAAATGTACTATTGTAAGAGATGGAAAATACATTGACCAAATGGCAATAATAAACTTACTAAATCAGGCTCTTGATCATTATGATAGTTTAGTAATTTCGTAAGCAATTGCAAAACCGAATATACCATACTTTCTGTTTGTAAATCGTTAACGTTCAAATCATCCAGGAGGTTTTCTAATAATACACCATCCGATACGCGTCTCATGTTAAGTTTTAATACAAATGCATACTTGTATATCTCTATTACAGGATCTTTCTTCGTCTCCTCTTCTGCAAATGTTCAATATAGAATATGTAAAATATGTAGAATATATAATATGTATATAATGTTATTGTAAATAACCATAATCGAGGCCATACCATCGGCATGTTGCGTTATCTTGCTCTTATTTAATAGGATCTCAAAAGCTTTACTTCTTAATTTTTTAATTTTACCAACATCATTAACACTCTGCACTAGATATGGATGTTCTAATGACACACATTGTTTTTGAAATATTTGTTTACTTAGTTCTGTTATAAGATGGTAAACGTCTGAATTTTCTTTTTTCAAATTCATGATTAACTCAATACTCAACAATTATAGTAAAAAATGTGACAACTGACATTTCTCTTATTCCACATTCATACAACACACACACACACACAACAAATATAAATAATATAATATTAGTTATTTTTGGACAAGCTAACCATACACAGTGTGTACAGTTATGTAGGAGCATATTAAGGCTGTTTCTCAAGAAACATAAAAAAAAAAAAAAAAAACAAGTGTGCCCTCTACATATGTGCATGTTATCATGTTATTTTGTCCAAACGGACAAATGTATCAGAGTTAGAAATCTTCTTATAGTTCTTGGTCATTGAAAAAGAACGTTCGTCGTTCCCCTTCTGAGAAAGGTAAGGTTAAGAGAATCGCGTGTGTTGGAATAATCTTCTTGGACTACTTTGCTACTCTTCTTTGACATTATGTACGAGGATTATAATGAGGTAAAAATAAATAGTCAGAAGAAATAATAACTTGTTGTTATTTTGTTTTGATTTTGTTTTGATTTTGTATTGAATGTGATTTTTAGTACGAACCCTATGACGAATATGGACCGGCGGATGTACACACCGAGCCATACGATAGATTAAGCTATCGTCAAGTACCCGAAGTGGTACGAAAGTTTCTCGTCTATTTGAGAAATTGCATTAACGAAGGAATGATTTTTGAAATTCAAAATTTATACGAGTCATCCTTTCCAAAGATTTCGGAACAATTGTTTGATAAATCATCTTGGCCGGATGCATCGAGTATTGCTCACATCGTTGACAATGATTTAGTATTTCTAATTCTTTATAAGGAACTTTATTATCGTCATATCTATGCTAGAATGCAAGGACCAACGTTGGAGCAACGTTTTGCATCTTTCTATAATTACTGCGATTTATTTAATTACATAGTATCTCCAGATACACCCGTTCAATTGGAATTGCCCGATCAATGGTTGTGGGAGCTTATTGATGAATTTGTTTATCAATTTCAATCGTTCACGCAATACCGTGCAAATTTATCCAACAAAACGCCCGATGAAATAGAAAATTTAAATGCCAACAGTAAAATATGGGATGTTCTGTGCGTTTTAAACGTTCTTCATTATTTAGTAGAAAAGTCAAATATAAAGAGACAATTGGAAGTATATGCGAGCGGAGGGGATCCCGATTCTGTAGCAGGAATCTTTGGCAAACACTCGTTGTACAAGATGTTGGGCTATTTCTCCCTCGTTGGTCTTTTAAGATTACATTCTTTACTGGGAGATTACTATCAGGCAATTAAAGTTTTAGAAAACGTCGAGCTGTATAAAAAAAGTGCTTACTCTCATGTACCAGGTTGTCAAATATCAACTGCTTATTACGTTGGATTTGCTTATATGATGATGCGTAGATACGCAGATGCCATTAGAACCTTCTCTGGTATTTTACTTTATATTCAACGCACCAAACAATTGTTTGCAACACGAAGTTATCAAAATGATCAAATTAATAAGCAAACGGAACAAATGTATCATCTCCTGGCTATTTGTCTCGTTCTTCATCCGCAGTGTATAGATGAAGGTTTGCAGCAAGCATTGAGGGATAAAAATTATCACGAAAAGATGTATAAAATGCAATATGGAGATCTTACTGAATTTGAATCGTGTTTCTTATTCGCGTGTCCTAGATTTTTATCTTTGACACCATCTAATCCTGATAATTTGCATGAAGACTATGTTAGAGAAGCCATTAGACATCAAACTCAAGTGTTTATGGATGAAGTCGTGCAACAAAAAATGTTACCTACAATACGTTCTTATTTGAAATTATATACGACTTTACCTTTAAGCAAATTAGCTACTTTCATGGGCAGTGCCACTAGGCAAGACGATAGCTGGGATTTGGATAAAGAAGTTAACATGCTGACCATTCATTTGTTATGTTTCAAACATAAGATGAAAAATATTGTCTGGACAAAAGGTGCATCGGGATTAGATGGCAAATTTCAATCCGGCTCTGAGGTATATTCATATTTTTTTATTAATGCACGCGAATGCACGCGAAATCTATGAAGTAATATAATAGTTAGCAATTTAATAATGATATAAATAAATATTTTTACAGTTGGATTTCTATATAGATCACGACATGATTCACATTGCGGATACAAAGGTAGCACATAGATATGGAGATTTTTTCATCCGTAAAATTTTAAAATTTGAAGAATTAAATCGCAAATTACATCACATCAAAATTTAATTACAACAACAATTCATTATATGGAAAAGTAAGAAGGATAATAAAATGTCATAATAAAGAAAATATATGTACTTTTGTTATTAATTCTTATAAGGCACTATTGCTATTGTTTACTTATTTCTAAAACCTAATCTACTCTGCCTCCTAGATTAGACCTCCTAGACGAAAATCAAAATGATTATTATACTTAACATAGAAGAAGAATAAAATCATTAGTTAGTGCCTACGTTCTTTGCGGTGATTGATCCATTTTATATTTATATATTTATATGTAATACAATGATATCTTTCACGTAATAATAGTCGAGCGTAATATAACTTAAACTTATTTCTAATATAATGAAGAAGTGCATTTTGTTTGATCTAAACAACATTACTGAATGTTACAAATCTCGTAAATGATGGGTGCATTTTTAAACTAATTTCATATTATTCTTAAAAGGAGAATGGAATAATTAATATATTTTAGTTATACGAAGAGAATCATCTTTCAAAGAGAGAGTGTATATAAATATATAAATATTAAACAATTTCTAACAGAGTTTTGTTCTTAAGAAAAATAGTAGTCATGGATTTATTTCCATTTTTCTTAATAAACATTCATTTATCTAATATAATCCATTTATATATTATGATATCGTATCATGATTTCTCTTGTAGCATTTTACACGCAGCCGATAAAATATTCGATTTTGTCGACAAAGTTGGCAATTTGAAGCCACTAAGATAATGAAAAAATCTATTACCTCTTTTAATATACGACGCACTTCGATATTCTTCCATTCTACATATTGTTCTAACACATGGTAAGTAATCTAAGGATATACATCGATTGTCTAAAATATGAGATGTAATTTGCGATAAAGCGCTATCGACTCCTTCATTTAATTGCTTTTTTAGGCTTAATCTGTCTTGATATTGGATTCTATTTTTACCAATTAAGTGATTGTCCTTAATTATTTTTTGACTAATCCATTCTCCTATTTCTAAACTAATACTTTGTGAAACAGAGTATGGCGTTGTGTCTTCTGTTAGAGATAAACTGGACTGCGGTTTGGTACATACTATATCGAGCGCAGGATCATTAATCTCAATTAAGGATGATAACAACGATAAGTAATCTAACTGACTGCTTAAATTATTTAATATATTTCCATTATTATTATTCGTTACGCAGTCTTTCGCCGCCTTCCGTTTTTTCGTTTCTTTTATAGCCGGCTGGTACAGATAATACTTCATGTCTTGCCAAACAAAGCTTCTCGAATTAAAAGGATATTTACTCAGATGCGCGAAACCTGAAACTAGCAGATACTGCAATTGCAGTAAAGCTTTTCTCAAATCCCCATTCTGTAAGAGTTCCTAAACAAATGTCAATTATCTTATTAATTATTTGCTCTTTTCAGTACAAATGAACAATATATGTGTACATGATGTATATGATGATGATGATGATGAAATACTTACTGCTAAACATTCGCACGAAATTTGACAGCCTGTTTCTGCTAAGGAAATTAATTTGAGTAAAGTTAATGCTCTATTGCCAACTACTTTTTGGAAATAAATTCGTTGTTGTTCGGGAGCCATTTTATTTAAATGAGGGCAAACATTTTTGCACGTCATTACAATAGGACGTTTCGTCTTTGACACCAATTGGGATATAGCAGATATAAATCCTTCATCTTCTTCAAATATTATGTCAATATCTTCTAAAAGAATTAAAGAATTTTGTGATGAATTATTTGCCTCTTGCAAAACTGGCCTGAATAACGATTTGTTGTTTCCATTTTTTTTAATTCGATGCGATTTAGTTGCTTCGTCGAGTTCTTTGACAATTTTTTTTCCCGTTCTTCTAGACGAAGCATTAACTTCCAATACGCTGTAAACACATAAAAAATCTCGTAAATGCCCTCGCAGATTCAAAAAAAAAAAAAAAACAAAAGAAAACTGTTTAATCTACAAACCTATAACCAAGCTCTTCCGTAACGGCGTAAACAGCAGCAGTTTTACCGCTTCCATGTGGCCCCAATAATACAGCTACTTGATTATTTTTCTGTTTGCTCGTAAAACTACAATCTGATGAATAAAATTCATCCCCGCTGCTACTAGCTTCTTCTTTATGTACAAACGATCTCCAGCGACTTAACCAATCTCTTAACTTTCTTGCAGCATTTTCGTTTCCAACTATTTGACAACTACTAGTCGGTTTATATTTTTGTGTCCAAATATTGTTTACAAATACCTGCTTTTTGTCGCATTCTTTCATTAGATCTTTTTTTAATTTCTTACTTTTGGATTTTTCCGATTGTACTACGTTAAACTTATTCTTTGCTATAGAATTAATAGTTTCCCATATATTTCTGGTATCTGAGCAATGCTGTTCTATTTCTGCCAATACTTCCTCCTCTGTATTTTCTTCAACCGATGCATTTGTAATTATCTGAGACTTACTTGATGATTCAAAACATTGAGAAATATATTTATAATTATCACCATTAAATATCATCGGTGGTATATAATTAATATCTGATTTTAATCGAATTTTATGTGTATATAGTTCGTCGTTCGTAGTTTGAATTTCATTATTCAATTGTTTGATATGACTAAATTTTGGAAAAGGAAGATAAGTCAAATTGCAAGTAGGTACCTTTTTCTCCATATATTTACTATTATCATTAATCGTGTCCGATTTAAAAAATGAACATCTTGTTGCCTCGGTTACAACGTTTTGCTTAGATTGTCTTAAAAAAAGAGGTGCTAGTTTTTTATAAGGTTCTCTTTTTAAAGTGTTACTATCTACAATTTGCGAATCCTTGGAAACATCCTTCGTATTAGTATTACTATAGTTCTCATTAAGATTTCTATATTTGTTATTAATGCATGTTAATTGTTTGATTTCTTTTTCGAATATAATATCGTCGGTTTGGTCGTCAGTTTGGTCGTCGGTTTGGTCCTCATTTGGCGTCCCATGGTTAAGAGAAGTAATCACTTTGTCAGATTTATTTCTTCGACCATTCATTTTCAAAGATAATCTTGCGCATTCGTTGCCATTATTATTATTATTTGATGTTTTAGACATTTTTTTATCTTCCATCTTACGTTTGTTTTTACTTATTGGAGAATATAACACTTCTTCGTCGGTATCTGCAATTCAAAATAATGAAGTATAATAACGCAAGTTGATATGTTCATAGAAATACATTTCTAATGGAAATAAAATCAGAGATCAAAGTGTCAAAAATATCATTGCCATCGACCAAATATTATTTGGGAGACTCCAATGAAATATTTCATCATTGATAATTACATACAAAGATACAAATTGTGTATTTTGGAAACTGAATATAATAAAGGCCTTTCTTACCGGATGAAGATTCCTTACTTTTTGAAGATAACATTTTAATTCTTAAAGACCATTTAGGTTTATCACGTTGCAATAATCGTGATGGATTGAATGGATTTTCCTCTACGCAGGAATTTTCTTTTATTTCATCCAATTCTATGAAATCGATTTTATCTACATTTGAATATTCTGATTGAATATTTTTATTAGCCATTTTCTTGCATAGAAAATCTGATTTAGTTTTTGCTACGTTGGTTAATGAATTTACCACCATTTCTGGTTCTTCTGACATATGTACATCTGCTTCTACAACTATAGTAGACGTGTTAACTTCTATCTTATCCTTTTTTTCTACTCCTAGTCTAGCCGATTTGCTTTATACGTAATCGAAATGGAAAGGAAACAAAATTCAATAAATTATAAATACTTCAAATATATTATATTACAAAATGAATCAAATTAAATGTAATTAGTTACCTGAGAAAATGTAATAAATTATTTGAACTAGGATTCTGCTTATTACTGGTAGAATAATTATTTTTCTTTGTATCTTCTTTAAATCGTTTCAAGCGTTTTTCTGCAATTTCTTCTATTTTCTTGTCATCTTCCGTGTTGCTAAGTTTTCTCTTTGAATGACTTTTAATATCTTTCATAAGTAATAATTTGTCCTGGCAACATTTAGATTCAGAGGAAGAAGAGGAGGAATTTTTTAACGAATGCTGCACACACGAAATATTGTCTATCGATTTATTTGAACTCATAAGAACTTGAAATGCATTACATTGTTTATGATCATTAATAGACTCATTAATAGGCTCACAAACGATATCTGCTTCCATTTTTTCCTTGTTCACTTGATTATCGCTGCTAGGTGCAGTATTACATTGAAATTCATTTGAATTTTCTACACTACATTCCATTTGAGATTGAATTGATTGAATTTTGTTGTCCATAGATAAAGAAAGATTATCATTTACCACCTCGTTTTCTAAAGTTTCAGTCTCCTCATCCGATTCTATTAATATACAATTAATATTAACTTTTGAAAGTATTTGTTCGTTCTTTTTTCCAGTACTATCTTCTTCATTTTCTTTCTCCTTAACCTCTGTCGTCGACCTTTCACTGCTAGAAGTTCTTTCTTTTTTTCCCAACGATTTAGAAAATGGACTTGGAGTTTTATCAATTAAATCGTTTTTATTCTCAATGATATTGCATACCCTGCTATTCGAATTTCTACGAGATATCTTTATTTTGACACGAGTACGTTTTTTTCTACAAGAATATTCAGATTCATCCTTTAATTTGATATTCAATTCGGACGAGTTTTGGCATGGTTCACATTTGGATTTGACACTGTCTTGAAAATAATGGGTAAGATCCTTCATCGTCGAGACCATATTTACAAATTTACTACATATATCTATATATATTATATTTCATTGAAATAATTCTAAATAATATTAATTAAAACTCGGGCCAACTGTGCTGCTAACGTCTACAACTTTTTGGCGGCAAAACGCGCTACCAATTTTAATTGCCATGTTTATTTTTATATAGAGAGCGCTCGCATCTATATTTTCACGCAAGACAGTTTACAATTAACTTCAAAACATTATACCAACGCGAACCAATCACGCTAACTCAAATGATGTAGTATTCTTATAAGCCGATAGCTGGCGTTGTTAACGTTGTTGACATTGTTGACATTACACTCACTCCCTACTCTATAATCCACATATGTAATCCTACAACGTGTCATCGCGACATGAAATCCGTGTTGTGTCGATCGTTATTCAAATAATATTGCTAAATAATTATTTTATTGTAGTATTTTAAAACAAGAATCTCTATAATACATTATATCAATTTCTCAAATATGTTGGTAAAAAAACTAGGAAGAAGATTTTTTTTCGTAAAAAATTGGGAATCGATGAGATGGAATGAGAAATGTATTAGCATGTACAATTTTTGTGTCTTCTTTTTCCTCCTCCTCCTGCCCAGCCCCATCATAATATTTTAATGAAAATTTACTTTTTAACAATTTGTATAACATCTTCGTCGTGCATAATATGTTGTAATCCAACTCTTTGAGGAGAATATTTGGTACTAGTACCCTGTTCGACAAAAAATCTATTTTAGACAAATTGATAGAAATTGATGAAGACATGTTGAATATAAAATGAAACAATATACGTACCCAGACGAGAGCATATTTGAACTGTTGGGCTAGTGTACGATGAATAGAATGACAGACGTGTTCTACCGTGACGCCTTTTCTCAGAATTAATCCATCTTCAAAGTCAGGCGGTTGACCAGGTTTCTTTGTATATACTCTTATTAAAGATAAATATTCCCAGAGAGTTTCCAGTAAGAAATCAAGATTTAACTTCATATTACAACTGAAGAGAAGAATATGTGTGTGTGTATACGATTAAATAGAATTAATGAAATAGTAGAATGAAAATGAGTTTATTTACCTGACTACAACGCTGTTTGGTTGTCTTGCAATCCTGTCTACTTCTTCTATCGATATTTGATCTATTTTATTATATACATAAAGACACGGTAGATATACTCTATTTGCATTAATAACATCGATCAATTCGTCAGCGCTGCAGTCCTCGCGAAACAATACTTCTGCATTAAAAATTTTATACTCGTGTAATATCATATGGACTAATTTTTCATCGACTTTGGTCAATGGGCACGTTGAATTAAAAGCCATTCCTCCTCCTTTTTTTATTTTAAAATATATATTGGGTTTTTTCTTATTAAGTCGTATGCCAACGGATTCCAATTCTTTCTCCAACAATTGTCGCTGTACATCTTGTTTAGTAGCATCCAACATCATTAAAACTAAATCCGCCGTTCTGGCAACAGCTATAACTTGTCTGCCTCTTCCTTTACCCTGAGCAGCTCCCTCAATGATACCCGGTAGATCGAGCAATTGAATGTTTGCACCTTTATACTCTATAACTCCAGGAATACAAGTTAAAGTAGTAAATTCATAAGATGCGGCTTCGGACTCTGTATGCGTTAATGTACTCAGTAACGTAGACTTTCCCACAGAGGGGAAGCCAATTAATGCTACTCTTGCATCACCCGACTTTAATACATCGAAACCTTCTCCTTTTTCCGACTTTTTAGTAGGTTCCAACAATTGCGATCTATATTTCGCTAATTTAGCTTTTAAAAGTCCTAAGTGGTATTCCGTTGCTAGAAAAAAGAAAAAAACATAAATATGGTTAGGAGAGAATCCAAATCTCATTTGACAAATGAAAGACAAACCTTTGTTCTTTTGCGTTCTTGCAATTTCCTTTTCAATTTCAGATATTTTCTCTAATATACCCATTGTTCAAAGAAATATTATTGACTATGTTAAAAAGTATACATTCATTTATAGTAGCAATATACTAATTCCGGTCTGTGTTTCAGGTGCACGCGACTATCTATAGCTTACACAGATACACGCATACATCTATACAAAGGTGTATGTCAAGAAATAAAGCGTCATTCGCATTTAAGGATATCTCCTCGAGAAGTTATTCTACATGGAAAGAAGACTACATGGGACGACGACATATCGAGCAATCGTTGTGTCGATTATTATTTGACATCGTTACATGTTGCAATTAAATCAAGCTAATAACAAGTGAGAGAGAAAGAGAAAACGCTAAGGGGAATAAAAGGCAATGTACAATGTGGATTTGTCAATCTTGTTTTGTTATGATTTCGCTTGGAAATCTGAAACAGTTAACGGCGGGATAGATGTAGTCAAATCGAATTTCTACGGCGTGTTGGAAAAAAACAAACATCAAGACGACGAAATGTCAATGTTATAAGAGTATTCAAAGAATATCATTAATCTTACGTGTTATTTATCGTCAATCTAACCTAACTTGAAGGGAAACGCAACGCAACGCAACGCAACGCACGCAACGCAACGCAACGCAACGCAAAAGGGGCGAGCATTGCTCAGAGGGCCTTGTGCAGTATGCTCTGGGTTTATAATAGAAAGGTATTATGGCTACAGGTGAGGCCAGCACGGCTAAGCCTCGTCAAGAAAAGCAATACGATTACTTGTTAAAATTCTTGTTGGTCGGTGACAGCGATGTTGGGAAACAAGAAATACTAAGTGGTCTTGAAGACGGTGCCGCCGAATCACCCTTTTGCAGTGGCAGTGGTATTTCTCTAATACTAAAATACTAAATCTATTTCTAACCTGTAATCACATATACATGCCTCCTTGTGTATTGCTTTCAGCATACAAAACTACGACTATCCTGCTGGATGGGAAAAGAGTTAAATTACAATTATGGGATACATCTGGACAAGGTAGATTTTGTACTATTATCAGGTCTTATTCACGTGGAGCACAAGGCATACTTTTGGTTTATGATATTACCAATAGATGGTCCTTTGATGGTATCGATAGGTGGTTAAAAGAAGTCGAAGAGGTATACCACGTAAAGCGTTGAAACTATTCACATATGTAATATGTCATAATAAGAATTATAACTTATTTACAATTTATTATACGCTTTCTTTTTACAACGATTACATCTAGCATGCACCTGGTATACCAAAAATATTAGTTGGCAATCGGCTTCATTTGGCATTTAAAAGAAAAGTTGGAGAACGTGATGCGGAAGCATATGCAGCTAAAAATCGAATGGCATTTTTTGAAGTCTCACCTCTGTGCGATTTTAATGTAAGAGAAAGTTTCTCCGAGCTGTCACGCATGGCTTTGCATCGTAACGGTATGGAGAGGCTGTGGAGATCGAACAAAGGTACTTATCTATCATCTACTATTCCCTCCCTACAAGACCTAGCTACCTATTTACATGTACCTTTGTATATATATGTAAGATATATTATACTTTTTTTGACACAGTACCCACTCTTCAAGAACTCGCATGCCGTGCGATAGTTGCTAGAACAACGGTATATGGAATAGATCAACTTCCATTACCTAAATCTATTATATCGCATTTGAAATCATATGCAATGACTACAACCTCGCGACATCGGTATAATGGCACTCGTACCCGTAGCACCAGTAAAAGCTTAAGTTCTCATCAAAGAAAATTACGTTTTGTTGGGGTTGGCCATAATGGAATATCCACGCCAGGTAACTCCCCTGGCAGTATGACAGACTCTCGGACAAGCTGTGTAGGTCGCAATTCTTGCACAATATCTTGAGATTAAAGCTCGGGTTGCAGTTATGTTGAAACATGCAACGTGATATCAAAGTTCTTCCATTCCTGTTACATTACAACTTATCCTGTTCCGATTAAGAATATGGCAATGTAACGTTGTGCAGAATGAGATATAAATACATCATTGATGGGATATCTCTTAGATGAAAACAATGAGAAGAGATGAAAAACCTCATTTTAATGTTATTATTAACTATTGTTGTTATTCGTACAAACAAAGGTTTTGGTGTCCTATACACCATGTCAAATTTGCACTTTACCAAAATATCTCTAATGGTAACATCGAGCTTAAATGACGATGACGACGACGACGACGACGGTGTAATACGAATAATTACTATATATCAGGGTGCCATTTGTTAAATGAACCTGACAAAATTCCAAGAGAATTTGATGACATTTTTAAATGAGGAGCGAGCGAGCGAGCGAGCGAGCGAGCGAGACAGACTAAACACCATATATATATATATATGTTGACGAACACGCTCTTTGAGTATATCTTCTTATATATATTTTTATTAATAAGTCAATTTTATTGTATTTTTGGCTGTTGATATGAAATTTACTTTTTCAGAAAGACATCTATGCATAAAACTTTTGTTAAGATAAAATAGCGTCATTATAAAGGATACCTAATATATAGAAATATATTGTTAAAAAGAACATTTTTTAAATAATAATTTTAAATATATTCTCTCTAACTACACAACAACATACTTTTGATAAATAATATTGATGTAAACTATACGTATTTTTTAACAAATTGTAATATTCGTGCATGATTATATTCATAATCTAAGATGATATTGATAAAATCAATAATGTAATTGTTTTTGGGATGAAATGATTGGAGAAAGATCGATAAAAAATGAAAATCTTACGTCTTATGATTAGCAGCTGCAATGTGTACATTGTATTTTTTTCTTACTAATTTCTTTATTCTAGGATACAGTGTGAAATATATTTATATTATATATAGGATTTAACTAAATTATGTATATACATATAAAATGACTATACACGATTTAACATTATTTTATATATAAATCTAATTTTTGTGTTTCACTGTCTGCTGAGAGATTGTAATAAAAAAAAAAAAAAACAAACAAACTAGTGATACAACATATACATTTTAACACAACAGACATATTTATACCTACAATAATATCAACTACTTAGAAAATATATTATTTTCCCAATCTGAAAGATAAAAACGTTCATTGTTCTTCGATTGTAAAAACGTATTCGTCAAAGAATTATATTATTGTAAATCGACAAAATAGAGTTGACTGTATTATTATTGTATATATTTGGTTGTAGGATAATAAATCATTAATAGTGATAACAAGATTTATTGAGAGGTGGGTGGTATTTAAAGGGACCACAAAGAAAGAAGAAAAAAACAAACGAGGTGATCGTCACAGGGTGATCGTCACAGGGTGATCACAGGGTGAACAGAATCCTACTATTCTTGGTAGGAGCCTCTAATCACCCTCATTAACACTAGATTGCCCGAGATTTCTTGTATAGCTATATTGCCCAAAAACAGTCAAAATGACTGCATTGTGAAAAAATAACTAATGTGTAAACAAATTTGTTTAAAATTAATTTTTAATATTTCTTATATTATTTACAGTTATACAACAAGTTATTAGTAAATATTAACAATAAAAACCAAATTCTAAGAAATTGTGTCATTATATACATAATTGTTTTTCTAATTGAAAATAAAAAACAGTCAAAATGACTGCCTTGGGCAATCTAGTGTTAAATATCCAGCTGTATAAAAGAAATATGACTTATGGATGATTATTTTGTTGCCTCCTATTTATTTTTATTTTTAAATCAAAATCTACAATGAAATAAGATGCATAAATATTTATGTGCGCAACTATCGAATCAATGTCAATAGTTGTTTAATAAAAGTGTGCATTTAAAACAGTGCCATTAAACACTTGACGAATCATTTGTAACTTTCTTTCCTTCTACAACATCGGTTTTAACTTATGTTATTATAGTTGTAGTAATAGCAACTGTTCTCCAAAACAATAACTTCATTTGTTTCATGCGTAGAGTTATGGTTTGTAAAAAAACCTATTTCATCATCTGCAATAGATTGGAATTTTCGTATTTTTGTATTGCAACAAAACAATGGTGTGTGTGTGCATTTAAATTGATTTAGAAGAATTTGTATTATGTCTACGCTGGAAGAAGGACATGTCGACGAAGAAAGTATTTCACGTTTGTCTACTCAAGAAGAATACGATCCTCTACCAGCACAATTGAAAAAAGTCGATGAACTATTAAAATCCATAAGTACACAGTTGGAAGATTGTGCTTTAAACTGGCAAGCCAAAGTTTCGCATGAGCAATGGAAAATATTTAGTTCAAAGACTCTTATAAAAAAACCTTGGGAAGAATCTCTATTGGCTAGAACATTTTTTTCCGACAAAATTTTAGATGAGACCTTTCAAAACTTACTCTCGAGCAATAAATCTTTCTCGAAGCAACTTAACGATTTCATCTGTAAATGAATGTCATCATTACAATGATTTAAGCAGTTGTTATATTTAATATGTACAAATGAATATACAGATATTTTTTCTAGTGCTCCTACAAAATAAGCAGCCTGCTGCTAATTCATCGATTTCTGAAAAAGAAAGTGTAGCAAAGTACTGCCCGGATATAACTGCTAATGAAGAAATATCAATGTCCAAGCAAATCGCAGAAGCACTCAATTTCTCCTTACCAAAGTATACTAATTCTAGTGTTTTGAGAAAAAAAGGGAACATATTGCATACTCATTTGCTTGCTATTAACAGTTCGTTTGCTGACGTTATCAAAGCTAAAGTCAATTTTGATACCAAGTTTTTAGGATTCGAAGCAGTCTTGCATAAGACATCGACTACACCACCACCCAATGATGTTTCTTGTTTTTGCAAAAGTCTTTCAAATGTAATAATCATGAAAAAAAAAAAAAAAAAGAAAAAACATTGCAAATATGACTAATCATTATTTTTTACATATTATATGAATTTAACAATAGGGTAGCGTAAGACAGAAGAGAAAGATAGGAAAATTGACATTGGATAAGAAAGAAAGAAAAATAGCAAAGAAGAAACGATCAACTAGATGTAGAAGTTTCAATCGAAGAAAAACAAAGAATCAGTCTGCATCTGTTGGCGACGGTGATCGATCGAATGCAATATATAAAAGCAAGAACAAAATCACGCCGCTATAATTACATATATATATATAATATACTTCTATACGTATATTATTTACATATATACATTATTTGATATATATATATATATATATATATATACATAGTCTATGGAATAATGTGAAATAAAGAGGAAATTCAGTAAATAAGAAAATAATACTTTTTAAGATGTATTTTTATTAAATTTTTGTGAAAATTATGGGCAATTTTACATCAGGATAATCCACATAACACTCTGTTATACATTTAAAAAATTATGATTTTCTACTATTATGCTAGAAACTAATTCTTCTTATTTATGCAATAGCATTAGTTCAATTCATTTGTTAACAATGAAGAAATTGTAGCGCTACGTCTACGTATACAGATTTTTATCAATCCAATTATTTTTTGTAGGTTTTGATTGTTTCATTTAAAATTGCAATTTACACACGACGAATATTTCAATAATTATATTACAAAACAATATCCTTTATTTCATAAGCATAAAATTGTCTCAATGAAATAAACAAGTATTGTCAAAATCACATATAAATTAGGAATAAAATACGAGCATTTAAAAATTATTTCAATCATTTTTTTTGTCAATGATATTATTTTGTAAAATAGTATGCCAAAATCACTCAGAGGTATACAAGGAGAAACCGAAAGAGATTCTTCTACTAAACATATTTTTCTTGGCATATACTATTCCATATATAAATTTGGACTTTGTAAGATAAAATATTAAAAAAAAAAAAAAAAAAACAAAAAAAAAAAAAATATATATAAATACAAATAAATATTTAAAGAATATATAAAACCAAATATAAGCCAAATATAACGGATGTGGATGTAACATTTTAGGGGACATATTTGTTTTTAACGAGATAATATAAATTAAATAAAATAAAATAAAATAAAATAAAATAAAAGAGATAAGAAAAAAAAACTAATAGAATAACAATAATAAAGTATTTCGAAAAAAATAACAGAAAATGTTTGAATGTGTGCATTTTTGCAACTTATCGATTTTCTAATATAATTGTTTTGTTATTAAACACAAACATCTTCTGCCATATATTACGTATAAATAATAGAATTTGTTGTTATTGCTACTTTTGAAAAATACACCTTCTAAGTACAACCATAAATAAGACACACTTCTCGCGGTCGTGTCTAAAATGGAAATTTTTCTATAGGAAAATGATCTTTCAAAAGAACTTTTAAAAGTGGAAGAGTAGAAGATAAAAGAGGCATTTTCCAATTAAAAGGCACATTTAATGATACATCGACGATGACAAAATAATTGTAAATTTTTAACAAGTATGATTATATAGTGTTTTTATAATTGGAAAATGCCTAAAGATACTAAAGATACGTTTTGTCTAAAAACATTTGTTTAAGAGTAACAAGTAATTAGAAATTTTGTTATATGTTTTGTAATCTCAAAAATGTAATAAAAGAGAAATATCTGACAAAGAAAGGTTGCTAATGCTTAACTTTCTATGTAACACTACAAAGAAAAATGATCATCATTATTAGCATCGGTTAATATTTCATTTGGACAATAAGAGAAATCTTTTTTCATTGTCTCTTCAACATTGCGATGATGCAGATCATCATCTAAGCAACCTTTTTTCGCTCAAGTATTTTCCGATTTTTATACCAATAAACTATGAATAGAATCAAATATTTATCATCATATATATATGCACATGGATGTTTAGAATGACTGAAATTAAATGTACTCTTATGTACTACTCTTAGCTTTCCTTGGCTTCTTTTTACAGATTAGATGTCATTCATTCAAATGTAAATCAAATATTACACTCTCATCTCATATCTATTTGAGCAAGCAGATCTCATAAATGCTCCTATAAAAGAATAAACGATAAATTTGACATTGGTAACAAAACAAAACAAAGGGGGGAGGGGGGCAAGCAGTTTTGCAGTTTTGTAGTTTTAACGTTGAAAAGCTATAAGAATAAAACTTGTAACACACTTGAAACAAAAACCAAACTGCATAATAGGCATTCTATATAATTCTAAATGTATATATATATATATATATAAGTATTACTTTTATATCTGCTTTAAAGAATTTCCAAAGAATAGATTAAATAACAATAAACGTAGCAGCATTTGACGAGATTATTTCATGCAACAATGACAAAGAAGTTAGCCTTCGTTGTAGAATATATATGAATATATCAAATAATTAACAACAATGATTTTAATTGACAAAAAGTATCAATTAATTTATTTCATTAAAGTACCTCACACAATGAATATATATATATATATATATATATATATATATATATAAATAATTGTTCGAATGAAATGCCTTATCATAGAGGCACTCTATATGTATATATATATATATATATATCTCTATAATTTTGATAATTATACCAATCAATATAATACAAATGATTTATTATATGTCGTCAAAATTAAAAATCATCATATTCGTTCACTCGCGTGCATGGATGCATTGTGTGTGGAAATTGATAGTGCGAGCATAACTCAAATTTAAATATAAAATTAATAAATATATCTTATAGAAATGAATATCAAGGACATTTATGAGATCTGTATGCTGGGACAGAAAACATACGAATTTAGAGAGGCAATATAGTAAAAGCATGGATTTCACCTGAATTCATAGATTTGTATACTGTGTTCTGGAACGTGCCTTAAATTCAATGATTGATACCTACAATAATAATAATAATAATAATAAATAATCTAATATAACAGTATCATCGAATAGGGAACGTATTTTGTTGAGCTATCTAACTAAAGTATACGCACGTTTATGTTTACTTACCATTCAGAGCTTCGATGATAATAAAAACCTTCGATTGTTGAAGCAGACTTTTGGAAGCAAATATAATAAAAGCCTGCGAATGAAGCTCCATTAATGTCTTTGATAGTATGGTCAGGAACTAAAAAATGTTCCTTCCATCTCATAAACACAAAGTCTGTTCCTTTTAATGCCTCGTAATCAAATGTGTCAGAGTTAAAAGTTTTGGCGTATTGACAGAAAGATTCAAATTTACTCTGAAATAATATAAAGTCAATAATTAACGTTTGCTAAATTTATATATATATATATATGTATATATACAGGTATATATGACGACGACAACAAACAAACCCAATGTTTCTTATCGACATCTTCATCTGCATCCCATTTACGAGTTAAAAATGGATATTTTTTGGATATAATTTCACCATCAAAGAACGTCGTTAACGTGGGGAATTCTTCTGTAAGACCTTTTATTTTAAGATAACCACATAAGTAGCTGTTTTCCTCATCCACATGCTAAAAACATTAATAACAATGCAAACTTATGGAAAGGAGATATGACATTGTTGACATCCTTGGGTGTTTTATTCCAAAATAAATATTAGAAAAATAACGTATCAGTATAGTAGAGAGATAATATGAACTTTCTCCAAAGGGCCAAGATAATTACACTAATTATTACACTAACACTTTCATTTGATTTGCCATTTAAAAATAAAGTAAGATAATAAAAATAAAGATAAGAAAGAGAAGGTAGACGAAAAAGTTGACGCGTAATAAAGTTTGGCAAAATTTGTCATGTAATTTAGAGAAAAATGAATAACTAACCTGTAAAACAACTTCAACGTCGTAACTATTGCCCTTGGACTTTTGTGATCCTTGAAAGCGCGAACCGTTGTAGAGCAAAGATTTGGTAACACCCGGCTGCTTCGAATTAGCAGGCGGCGGTGGAATTACATCGACTTTCACCGGCATTCTCGGCCAAAGTGAATGCTTTCTCAATACTTCTTCTTGTTGACCGAAGAACTCTACATCACAAGATTCGCGCAATGACTGCCGGTAATTTGCAGAATATGGCTGTATTTATATGAAGCCTCGAACCCAGTTCTACTTTCGCGAATTTGTCCGGTTTTTCTTTTTTTTTTTTTCTCTCTTACTTTTTTCATTATTCTTATTACGATATTTTAATTCTACACATTTTCTTATTTACCCTCACCATTTTTTACATTTAAACATCGTTCAATACATTCTCCATTTTCTCAATGATATGTTTGATATGCCAATTTTACTATAGGATATGTGTGCTAAAAGTTAACTCAAAATGGCGGGATTCGACAAATTATTTAAATTATTTACAAGTTACAGCACGATATAGTATAATACAATCTTTATTATTATTATTATTATTAAAAATACTCTTATTTACAATATTTTATTTCAGATTTTAGATCTTGTGAATTATACAGTGATGATAATACTTTAATTACATAGATTTATTATTTACTTATTTCTAAATACGAATACTGTGTAACATAGATTTATATATACACCAACTTATTCATTATTTTCAATATTGCTATATACAATATACTGCGGATAAACAAATAGATTTTGGTGAAAATACAAATTCTCTATTATACCTTTAACTAATTGTACGCAATTGTACTAATTGTGAATTATTAATAGCTGAATTCTTCAAATTTAGCCAAGATTTAGAGTTGCAGATGTTAAGCTTCTTTCAACGGTAAACTGTAATATAAATGTTGTGATATTAGTAGAATAATTTGATAGATGTACAGTGAAAGTAAGTCAGTTATCTTACTTTCGCATTTAGTTACCTAAGTTCGCATTTTCCTTTATATCCATTGTGCGGTATCATCTTTAAGAATTGTATATAACTATCAGGAAGTTGACTTTCTTGAGCACCTTTTATAATTGTTTCTCTGAAAAAAAAAAAAACAAAAAAAAAAACAAAGAAATAGAATAGAAAAATAGAATATAGATAGGCAGAGGAGGGAGAAGAAAATAGTGATAAAATAATACATACAAATAAAGAGGCGATGGTAGTCTCTCGATTGGCAATAACATTGGTTTGATATAGTTAGCTGGTACATTAGTTTGTTGATATACTCTACATTTGAGAATAGCACCACTGGGAGTTTCAACGTCAACAGTTAATGGAAAGTATATATTATCCATAACACCCTCTTGACAATCTAACGTAGAAAGATTACATTGATTTAATTCCCAAATTGCACCCCATACAGAAGAGTTTTCTGTAGGAACTATCGTTGCTGCTGCTCCAGCCCATCTTTTAGAGTACGTTATAAAATCAAGTCTGTAATTCTAGAATATTTGGAAAAATAGTAACAACTGCTAGATCATCCTCTCAAATGTTTTTACATATCTTATACAGACGTATACAATGTATTTGCTGAATTTACTTTTAAGCAACCAATATCCTTTCGTACTGCTGTTGGATTATTGAAGTGAATTCTTTTCATTAACAAGTTGCTGCCATAAGCAAAGTATAAGAATGTACTTGCCATTTTGCGATGATATTAGATCGGACAGAATTACAAGGGATAAATCGGATAATTAATGCAAAATAAATATGCTATGACGAGAAACATTGAGCGCTAATTAAAACGGCGAGTAAACAACAAACGGAGGAAGATAAGGAGTTACAATTAATGTTACCTTAAGTGCCACCTAACGGCCAAACTTCACAATTTTCGATTCTTTCGAATGTTTATTAATGGTGCACCGTGCATTTCGTGTGCAAAAATGTCAGATAAAAACAATAGGAAATCTCGACGAGTATATTTCGCTACGGAAAAAAGTACGGTAAGTATATCTATATACATCACATTCAATTATAATCAATTATATTAGATTTTTGTTTTGTTTTACAGAAACAAGCTGTTGAATTGATACAAAATAGGTTAAGTAATAATAAGCGAAGTTGGGATAATGAAAATGATGAAAAGAATCAGAAAATGAGACAGCATTGCACAAGTACGACATTACAAAGGATATCGGATTATATGTCTTTTATAGGATTTTCTAAAAGCTTATTTATGTTAGAAATTAAGTCACATTTAGGAAAACAAAACTGGAAGCATATACAACATCTATATCCACTCTTATTAGATTATTCGAATGATATTGAATATGTAATCTGGCGTTACGCGCTAATTATTTTTTTGTATAGCCCCAATAGCGATTCATCCAACTTGCAACAATTTTTAGAAATTTGTGTTGGTAATCATAGACTCAATGATAGAAAAGAATTGGAAAGATTATTACTATTAGAATGTAGGAACTCGATCAATTCATAAATGAAAGTATTAACCAAAAAAAAAAGACCTATTTATCTATCATAGTGAAATATAAAATGGGAATTTATGTAATTGTGCAAAAGTATTGTAATAGTCTGGACATAAATTCATAACGAGGAATTACAAGAGAAGGACACGTAAAAGCAATATATCTTTATGCATTGTTTTTTTAATATTATTTTATAAACAGAAATATTTGTAATAAACTAAAAAAACTTATAAATTTGTTCATATTTGAAATATCACATTTCCTTTTTGAATTCTTCTTTAATCGCGGTAGTAGGATAGATAGGAAAATTTGTCTAATGCACTGTAAAAAAGAGATCAAAGATACTTCTTCTTTATAATTTGTAACTTACACATGTTATATTTTTTCTAAGCACCGTTTATGCGTCATCTGATTGTTTTCTGTCCCTTTTTCGAACGAACGAGATCCCAAGACATCGATGACACGTCAGACTTTGTACACAGATCCATGATAATTGTTGCCTTTTGACTAGCTCGTAAAGCTCCCAAGCATGTACCAATTGCCGTATTGTAAATAGGTGTTCCATTCTAAACATAAATAGAAGTATATATTAACAAGAAATATGAACAATAGAAAAAGTGATTAGCGTTTGTATTTACAGAGCCTTTATGTCGCCATTCTTGATTTCCGCCCATTTCATGGCACTTGCCAAGCTTTGGTACCCTTCCTGCTCCTTCCATGCACAACATTTGTCCAAGTATCAATTCATGTTTTGCCGTTTCATACCACATCTAAATAAAATCATCATTAAGAAAACAACTATTGTTAACAACTATTGTCGCTTGACAATTGTCACATTTTTCAATTCTTACCTGCGATTTGATTCTTAAACATGGGACTAAAATGAGTTTGGAACCTCTAGTTTTGATATCTCTTTCGCTTTGAATGCACAATGTGGAATTAGACAGTCTGATTTGATATTGATCGACGTAATTTCTTTTTCTCGAATGCCAAGGTTGCATCAGTTTTTGATCTAACTTTGACCATTTGTCCTTTAGCTGATTTTTATTATCATCCGGTAACACTAATTCGGGATAAACAACTTTGAGATACCAAGCGAAACTCTTGCAGTTTAACTGTTTTCTTAAAGCAACTCTACTAGAAATATCGCCGTAATCTATTTTTTTGACATTTTGTATAAAATAATCTTTGTACTCATCCATCCATACATGGGCAACACGTAGAGAATTTTTCAACATTGTATCATATTGTTGATTACTACCATACGGCCTGCGTCTTCTAAATACATGGCCCACTCTAGAACATGGTATGAGTTCAATACTTCCACCGCACATCCATATCTACAAATAAAATCCATATCTACATTATTTGACAATATTTCTAATTTGTCTAATATAATCATTCGAACTCTGCTACATCGACGACTAATATACACATCTATAGATCATCATCTTACTCTGAAGGAGATTTCTAAATTTTCACCACCCCAAATGTCCATGCCAGGGTCATATTCTCCTAATTCCATAAAATATGATCTGTCAATAGCAAATAGTCCCCCTGCCATAGTTGGTGATCTGTCGATAATAATTTGTAATAATAACACAAATAATGTTTATTGTTAATAGCTATTCAATAGGTATTTTCTTTTTACTTGATAGGTTTTACAAAATCTTCCTCATTGGTTAATGTACCAACAGGCAAATTGTCCCATTTAAAGTGCAGTCCCCAATTAAAACCACCTCTGACCAAAGGACTACCGGAATATTGGAATGTGTCTGCATTTATAATATCTATAACTGGCATGGGCACGATAGTTCTTGAATATGCTATTCTTGAAAGAAGAGGTTCTATCCATTCTTTATTTACTTCAATATGACTGTCTAAAAATATTAAAACGTTTCCTGTTGCCTTTCTCGCACCAAACATTCTTGCTCTAATCAATCCTTCCCTTTTTTCAGTTTTGAACAATTTAACTTTGCCATTAAATTGATCAATGTAACGTTTTATTTGTTCGTGCAACATATCACTCTCGCTATAATCGTTCACTAAAATAATTTCATGTAATAATGACATTGGCGTTCTTACGATCAAAGATTGTAAAGATCTTATGAGCGTTGTATAATGTTCATTATAGAAACAAATGACGATGCTAGCATTTGGCAAATTATTTGCATACTTTTGCGTTTGACATAATTTATATCTTGTGTCTAGTATGTCTCTATAAAAACCAATATTATCCGACACCAAGATGTTAAAGGAATAATTTTTATATCCTTCATCTCTTTTTCGTTGATCTTCCATATTCCTCACCATTCCTAAAGTATCCAATCCTAAAGAAATTAAACAATTAATGATATTATTATTTAACAATTAATGATATACAAAAGATGTGCAAGTATTATCTTACCATCGCCTAATGTTATAGCAGGTTTAAGTGAGACAGCTTGTAAATGGTGCAACAGCTTGTCGCTGTTTTCATAATTATTTATGCCTAACAAAATGCAAATAGATATCTATATATTATTTACTATTATTATTTATTTATTTATTTATTGTTTATTATTATACCTTTACTCAAATTTTGAGTGTTTGTTAAGGCTTGTAGAAAATTGAATGCAGGTAACGATGATCCAATATTTTTATTTCCTTCATTATGGGAGAGTAGAGAATAAAGGTATAAGCTCAATATCCATGTCAGAGATGCCATCAAAACTCCGGTTAGAAATGCAGTGTACGTCGTCGGCATAATCTAACGTTGACGATTAAATATTTGTTTGTTTGTTTTTTTAATAGACACAATACATTTCATTACTATATTATTCCTATTTTACTTACTGCAATAGAATATCACCTTATACATATGTATTACTTCGTAAGGATTACATTGAAATACATATTTTCAGGTTATGTATAGATAAAAAGATTGTACAAGAATTGGCACGAAAATGGACATTACAAATAGAAAATAGAGAATAGAAAATAGAAAAATATCAATATGACATGTGGATATGAGAAAATATGTTACAGTGCACCATAATATTATTCTCTTATTTTCATTATTTCTGAATACTTCATAAAAAGATTTCAGCGCATGCGTAGCGACACAACATTGACAGTTTGTCGATAGATATCGATAGTACGAATGATCGATCATTTTTCATTGTGTAAAAGATACTTTATGTATTTATTATAAAGTTTTTAGTAATAACAATGTATAAAACAATATTATAGATACATCGCTATTAAAATATAAATATTCATTATTTGTATAATCTAACCAACATTTGTGTAACATCGTTACATGTATACAAAATCCGTAAAATACGTATCGAAATATGCTATGTGTATGTATGTATGATTATATGAATGTATGCAATATAATAATAGTTATGTCAAGGGTATTTCGATTGTCGGGTGTTGTTAGGTTGTTTTGTTTTAATAAGCGATACGTTCGGAACTGTTAAACTATCGCTAGGTTCTTGAAAACTTATTCCAGATGAATTAGTAGGAAGAGAGTTAGATTTATCGGTGTTAGAATTCGAATTTTGTAACTTGGGCGTCGAGGTTCTACCTTTAAATAGAACCGCTTGTTCCGTACTTTTACTAGCTTCTTTGATAGATATAGAAGATACATCGCTAAAATCGAATAAATTTACAAGCTTAGGATCAACGTGTTTTTTATTTGGAGAAATGATTCTCCTAGCAGTATTTAAAGGGGTTACGTCCGAATTAGAGGATGAACTTAGAGCACTTGCTTCTCGTGTTTTTTTCAAAGTAGTTATAGCCCAACTAAGACCTAATTGTTTTAGCGCTGTTTCCATTTCCTCGGACGAAGCGTATTTAAGTAAACTCGAGGATGGTGTACTAGTAATTTCCGAAATTCCAGATAATTCGCAAAAACTATTTGAACTGGTAGAAGACGCTTTATTATCTTTTTCGAATCTTTCTTGTAACACCCCTTTTGTTTCTTTGTCAGACGTATTGCACTGTAATTGTTTGTTAACTTTCTCTTTAACCGAATCTTCCAATTCAATCGCATTATCTGTCGCATTATCTGTCGCATTATCTGTCGCATTATCTGTCGCATCATCTGTCGCATTATCTGTCCTTCGATATTCTAGATGCATCTCCTCATTTGTTGGTGTTCTTCGCGAAAGATTTGTCGTCTGTTCGTCTTCTTGCAATGTAGAAGTGAACATCTCTCCAGTCGACTTTTTTGTGAAACAACATGAAGAAGCTTGACCAATTTTCTTATCTAAAGGACCTTGAATGGATAAGGGTGCTACGTGAATAGATGGTTTAACAGTGACCGATGATTTCGTTGTTTGTACTTCCACTGATTTTTTAATTGCTGATTTTTCTCTCTGCAATTCGTCCGTCACTAATGATTTGGCCATACAACTTTTCATAGTCATGTGACTTTTATTCCCTGTATCCGGCGTATCAAATTCTATTATCGTTGACAATTCATGGCCTATAGATTCGATTTCTGTTCTACAATTTGAATAAACAAATTGAAATAAATTGAATGAAAGACAAATTCATAAATTTCATCAATTAATAAGACATCCAATATATACAATAATATATTTAACATACTTATAAAGTCCAGTGTGTAAGGTAACCGGTGGCTTATCTCTTCCATTTGTACGATGTCCACAGGCCAAAGATGGTAACATTTTAGGTATACCAACAGGTTCAGATTCGAAAACTACATCTTTCTCCGACTAGAAAAATATATACATACATTTTGATGTAAAAATCATTTCATTAAGTCAACTATTGAAATTTACCTCGACAATAATGTCAGTAGTTTGCGCCGGAATATTATTCCTCCCATTTTTGGAAGGACTACCAGTCGACTTGGAACTATCAGATTTTGTAGGTAAAGATATATCTGTATTTTTATATTGAGCAATTTTTCTAAATACAGGCATGCCAGTCGATTTACTTCTACTTTGTTCTAAAATCTCTTTTGAAAGTTCTTCGATTGTATTATCGTCTTGAGTTGGAATTTTAACTGGAGGCCACGAATTACGTTCTGGTATTACAGTTGTCATAGTTGCCGATGATTTATGAGGCATTTGAAATCTGTTCAGCTTTATATTTACTTTTTCATCTTTTAATATTCGTGGCTTAGACGATGATATTATAGCTTTAGACGAGGTAAGTTTATCGCTGATATGTTCAACGGTTGTACTTACCGAATGATCCAATTTACTTTTACTTTGGAAATGTACTGATTGATTTTCTCTATGTTTAAGTAGATCTTTATTAATAGCTTCACCTTTCATAATAGCATTCTGTGATTCATTAAGAGTTTTAGCAAGTTGATGATGTATTGCTTCTATATTTTCTACCAATCTTTCAACGTTCTTTATGCTACTTTGCATTTCTGGATGTATCTTTGTAGAATTCATTTCATCTCGAGGACTTATTACAGAAAGTTCCATACCTAAAAAGAAGAAAATTAGTAAAGGTTTAAGAAAGAAAAGAAAAGAAAAGAAAAGAAAAAAAGGCAAATGAAATAATCACCTCTTTGCTCGCTTCGAACTTTTTCTATAAGATCAGTCAAAGAAGCTATTCTCTTGGTATAAGTATTTTGAAGATCTTCATATTTCTTTAGAATTTCTGGACAATTCTTGAGAGCAAAATCTTGAATATCTTCAAGTTTAACGTGTAATAATTTACATTGAGGATTTTGACAAGTACACGATTTAGATAAAGTTGGTAAATATTGCGGATAAAGATCTTGCGCTGATGACATATCTTTCTGTTTTTCATAAATAGGCGAATAAGTATCTTTGTTGGTAAAAGATGTTGTTGTAGTTGTTGTTGTTGTTGTTGTAGTTGTTTCGTCAAGTTCCTCGCCATATCTAAGTACCTTACCAATTTTCTCAGTATGAGGTATATTGGAAGGTATCCTCATAGTGCGAGGAGAAGGAGTTTCTGGTGTCGATACAGGACTGATATCTCTTTTTGCTCTCTCTATAGCACTGAGCGTTGAAAAATCTAACATTTCTAAAATTGGTGTAATACTACTTGCAGTACCGACTGGTCTCTTAGGTGCCAAAGGTGGTGGACTAGCAAATGACGTAGAAGTATCTGAAATATCTCTTACTTTGATTACTTTTTTAGATTTCATAACGGGAATGTCGTATGGTTCACGTACAGATGAATTTTGTGTATTTAATGAAGAATACATTGCAGAACTATCCGTGCTACTGTCTATTATTGGTTTTTTGTCTTTAGGAGGATCTACCTTAATCAAATCCAAATCCTTATTTTTCAAATGAATATTCATTTTGCGTGGACTGCTACGACACGAGCTGGGTAAGGATTTAGAAGATTTTTTGACGGGAGAAGAAGTTTTACTCGGTGGCACCGAGTGCGATTTTTCCATTGCCCTCATTGACGTTCGTTTAGATAATTTCAATGAGCGTTTCTTTTTCTTTGGGGTAACTTTGACCTCTTTATTATCGATGTCAATGATTACGCCAGTAATCATAGAATTATTAGAACCACTACTACTATTTTCTACTTCTTCAGGATTAATGACTGTAATTATTGGCTCTATCGGATAATGTTTAGTAGAAAGTTCTTCGTTAGTGCTTAATGCACTGGTTGCATCGTTGCACGTAGATTTGATTTCTACTTGAATACCTTTATCCTCAGAAATACCAGCATCTTCTAATGTTGATGTTTGTACAGCCATTTCACATTTTGTTGTTTCGCTCCTTTTTTTCACTTTCTTACTGACCTCATTATTATTTTCTCCATTGGACATGTTTATTAATGTTACTTCGGGAGATAAACACGTCTCTCGTTGTATTTTCTTCTGAGGCTCGTCAGATTTGTCAGGTTCGGTCAAGGATGTCATACTTGCATAATAAATGTCATCTGGCAAGCTCGCACCAAATTCTTTTAACAATAACATCTTTTGTCTCTCAACTTTTTTCAACATATTCAGTATTAATTCGTCGCGTGATATTTCTCGCCTTTTATCCTTGCTTTTTGGTGACTTAACTACTGGTACACGAGGCTCAACAAAATGTGCTTCTTTCCAAACACCTTCTCCCTTTTTATTATGATTTTCAGATTGTTTATCTGTTTCAAGGGTAATTATTCTCTCCATAAGATTTGGACAATGGCTTGCGCAGCAACTTTTTTCTGCCATAGCTTCAAATTTTCGATGTAACTTTTTTTTCTGTTCTTTTTGTAACTCTTTCCTACGAAATGTTCGTAACTCTACATCATTCATCTATCAAACAAACCGATTATACTTACAATTAATATATATAGACAGAGAGAAAGAGAGAGGGATAGAAGTAATACTTACTGGATCACGTTGAACATCGCTGGCTTTTAATTTTCTTTCTTCGGACGAGAGATGATCTAAACTTTTCATAAGCGTTTGGTAGTCGGATCGTACTTTTTCTCGTAAAATTGCATCATCACCTCGTTTCTGAGAAGCTAGTTTGTAAGTTTCAGTCGCATGAGATTCAATACTTTCTTTACGTTCTACCTCTTTAGCTGCATCTATTGCATTTGGCTATAAAATATATAACTATTGGTATCAAAACAAACACTATATAGTATGTATGGTACTAGGTTATGAAGTAAACCTAAAATGTTAAATTTAATCTTAACGCACAGACCTCGTTTCTTATATCTAATCTTTCGACTACGTCCAGAGGTCTATTATAATTGTTTCTTTGACGTGTACTATGATCATACAATTGCACTTTACTATCTCTTAAGGATGTATGATGTTTCGGAGTTCTAATACAAGTTGATTGATCGCACACATCAGAAAAATATGAAGAGTCATCGCTTAGCGAAGGACTGTCATTGCTTAGTAAATCCGATGAATCTTGTACGTAATCTCCTGGGTTATATCTTAAATATAAAGCAAAATTTCACACTTGTTTTCTTTCAATGTTCTTTCAATGTTCTTTCAAAGAAAATATTGTACATATATTAAAACGTACTTTGTTAATTTTTGTGCTTTCGTAGAAATGGTTAAGATAGGTACCGTCTCACGTGGACTTTTATCGTCCTGAGTTATATGATCCGTATGTTCAATATTATCAATATTTTGTAATTTTTTGTCAGATTTACTGGTAATAACGCATTGTTGCGATGCTTCATTTTGCAGGTGAATTTTTTGTCTAGGTGAAAGACTTCCTTGAGATTCTTTGTTAATCTATAAAAACAAGAAAATTATGCATGTAGATACTAATAAAAACTATAAATGAAACAAGTATAATACCTTATCGTTGATTCTGGTTTTTTTTACAGGAGATTTATTAGAAGTAAGTCTTTTAAGTTTTTTCTTTTTAGCAGATTTATTTAGATTTTCACAAGTTTGATCTTGTTGACAAGACGTTCCATTCTCTTGACTCAAATTTCTACACGAATCGTCCTGGCTGGCAGACTTTTTAGACAGTTCAGCTACTAAAGATGATCTTTTATTTTCCAATTCTCTAACCTGCTGCAATCTTTGTCGATGCATAGCATGTTGGTCATCCTTTTACACAGGTGTTATTTAATGTTTATAATAGCCTTTACACGATAAGTTATCAAAACATTTTAATGCTCTGCGTTGAAATATGAAATAATGCAAAAATATATTATTTACCTTTGGCACTTTTTTCAATAGTTCTAAAGCTTCCTTGCCTCTTTTCAATGCAGCTTCCCTATTTCTATCAGTTTCATCTTCTAAATCTGCAAGCGTTTCTGATTCTAAAACAGCAGCCAAGTGTGCCTGACCGATATTTTCCATATCTTCTTGATACTTTTCTTGAATCTCCATAATTTTTCTCTCGTGAAGACGTTTGAGTTCGTATTTGTCATCTTTTTCTAATTTTCCCAACTCTTGTTGCGCAATATTTTTGGCTCTTTCCAAAAGTCTATTAGATATTTCTTTCGATTGCTGTCTAACCTATACAGAAACGTTATCATACATATATATATATATATATAGAAATAAACATACGTCGTAACATACGTAGTAAGTAAACATAGGAAAAATAGGATAGTAGATAAACATGTAAAAAAGATTAATCGTTATAAATATAAATAATGTTTAGTGAGGTGATTGATCCTTAACGCACTTGTTCTAGACGCAATCTTCGTCTACGGTCGCGTTCATTTTTCTTAATTTGGTCTAAATCCGACAATACTACTCTTCCACGGCGTATATTTATGGGATTTCCACTGACGGTAACGTTTATTGACATCTTTTTACCATAAACAATTGAATGTAATCATTAAACTGTTGGAGATCATGAAATCTGACATACACAACACAGCGTTACTTCCTTCTTATTCGCATTCAAATGAATACTATTTGAAATGATAAAAAGTTATAATCTAAACGATCGTTCTCACCTTCGTCCAATGAACGATGCGGTGGTATTTATTATTTCGGTAAACGGACCAATCAGACAAACGGACTAAAAGAAGTTAACTCAATTCTATTGGACGAGAAAACTTCTCTACTTGAATTTCTTTCAAATGAAAAAATGCTGCTTCATGTAACCTTGCAATTTTTCTTCAAATTCGATTGGTTGAAATTACGGTGCATCTTTTTTTCAAACAGAGTTTTGTCTTTTAAAGAAGTATTTTTCATGATATTAATCTCTAATAATTTGGTTGAATAGTTTTTCTTTTAGATGCTTAGTTGCATCGGGATTTAATTCGAAGATTTCATTTAAAATATTACACATATTCATAATTACACATACTAAATGGATTATTAACCGAGGTATTACTCTTTCAAATCATTTCGAAATAGTTTATTTAAACATTCCAAAACTTTTGTTTTTAAACTTTGATACAAGATGGCATAAGATGATTAGATAACATAGAGTATATTAGCAAAATGCATGAAAGGACGTAGAGTCGTAGATATATATCTTCCCTTCGATCACAAATGAGAACAGTACAGATGAAACAATACCGATACAATCATCTACCTCGTTACATTTACTTTGCTTCATTTTCAGATTATCTTGTGTGTGCGGTTCCAAATACAAACTCACAACGGCGTCTAATCAAACCTCGAACGAGAGTACGTAATATATACATATAAAAAATATATACATATATATATATATATATGTTATATAATTTCCATAAGCATTTTACACGACATTTATGTTGGTATATTACTACCTACTACTACTACTACTACTACTACACTACTACTACTACTGCTACCACCACCACTATTGCATATCGCTTTTTTCTCGTTGCTGCATTCTTACTGTACAATCATGATTAAACATGATATTTGACATTTGCAAAAATGCTATTCGTTGACAAACAAAAAGATAAATCTAAAGAAATATGGAATTGCTGAAGCTTTTATATTATAAAAATAATAAAGTAATAAAAGAGTGTAGTACGATAGGTAAGGTGCATTCGAGTGCACGTTCCAGCGCATATAGATGTGCACGTGGTACACGTGCAAACATACAAGTTTCTACATTGAAGTTCTAGGTCATCATGCAAGAGACAAGATCACGTTCAAGACTCGATACGAGGACTGCACTAATCGTATTAATCCTAGCTACATTATTATATCATTCGTATTATTTTATAAGTAAGGGTAAATTTGTTCTATCTATAAACATACGTTTGCCCATCACGAAAATCGAAATTGCCACAATCTTCAATAAAGATCATTGTGTATTTATGAAAGTTCTACTGTTACGTCACTATCTATAAATAAAATTGCTAATGTTTGGATTATGAGACGATTAAACGACCTATATATGATATACTCAAGGCAATACGTTTCTATGATATGATATGTTAACCTTTTGCAAATCTTTATTTATATTTATCTATTTACTTTTAATTTATGAAGAGTTTTCTAAAAGCAATACGCGATTATCGTATCTTATTAAGTGATTAGATAGTGTTCGAAAGCAATTATTTTTATCTTCTTCTTTTAGTGAGATTATTAACGTTTTAAAAGTTTAATTGTTGTTACGCCACTTTATTATTGTATATTATATAGTTGCTAACGTTTCAATTGTGAAATAATTCAATAAATTACGTGAACACGATCAATGCTTATAATATGAATATTATGAATATTATAAATGATTACAAATATTTCTTTATTTTTACGAAATTTTCTTAAAGCAATGATAAAATTATCTTTCGATTTTTAAGTACATGCTACGATAGATAATAAAATATTAATGTTATAAAATAGATAAACCACGGTAGTACGTGTCCGAGCACTACGCGATCAGGAACACTTTTAACACTTTATCGTTAATCTTTAATTATCGTGTGTTAATTGTCGAGTTAATTATCGCGGGATGTACTTCATTAAAGCAGGATTAACGATCTATTTATTTTTATTATTAATTTCTTGTGCTTTCTCAGGTAAACCCAACGAATATCGTTTGGAACTCGTACAAGTGGTAAATATTATATATATTTATATATATTTCTATTTATTTTAGTTCAAATAAAAACGGTCATTATTTGAACAAAAATATAAATAATTGAACTCTAGTTCGTAATTGTCGCGTATTAAATTGTTAATACAAATTTGTTTCGTAATTATGTATAGTTATTTAGACATGGAGAACGAGCGCCACTTGCTAAAGAAATGTACCCCAAAGATCCTCACCAAGGGTCTTCTTACGAACCATGGGGGGTCGCTCAGTTGACAAACGTAAGTATTTATTAAATATATATTTTGGACTTTCAAGTTTTCATATGGAAAACAAAATAATAATAATAATAATAAATAAATTTGTCTTACGTATTATCGCTAGGAAGGAAAAATGCGAGAATATTCGATCGGGAAAATGTTGAGGCAACGCTACAATGATTTTTTGGGCGACTTATATCATCCTAAAGACGTATACGCTCGTAGCACAGATATCGATCGGACTAAAATGTCTCTGCAATTGGTTTTAGCAGGTCTTTATCCACCATCGAATAAACAGAACTGGAACTCGAATTTACCATGGTTAGCTATTCCTACGCACTATGCACCAGAAAGAGTGGATAATTTGTTGAGGCCTCAAGCTTGTCCAATGTTGGTATTTTCATGACATTGCGTTATACGAAATTCAATGAAATACGAAAATATATATTTTCGTATTTCATTGAATTATACGTACGTTGCAGGTACGAAGAAGCTTTAGAAGAAGTAAGGCAATTAAAAGAAATACGCGATAAAAGTGAAGCTTATACGGATGTATTGAAATATCTTACAAACAACACTGGTATGAATGTTAAAACTCTCACTGCGGCTTACGAAATTTTTAATTTATTGACAGCACAGGTAATATTTCATTTATAATTCAATCGCGTTCACATATTGCTTACACACATTATTATGTTATCTTATTTCTATTCAGAAAGCTATGAATCTAACGTTACCAGAATGGTGCACCGAGAATATTTATACAAAGATGGAGGATATCGTGTTTCTTGAATATGAAATTCGCTCATATACAGCGACATTAAAACGTTTAACTGGTGGCATGTTGATCAGACAATTTATAGAAAATATGAATATAAACGAGGAACGAACGAATCCTAGGAAAATTTATCTTTATAGTGGTCATGAAATTAATATAGCAGCTTTTACGAGAGCACACGATATTCATATACCCAAGTTACCTAGTTATGGTTCAACGATTATAGTAGAAAAATTACGTAATGCCGAAGGAAAACTTTTTATTAAGGTGATATTATATTTCCTTACTATCCTGAAACTTCTAATAGATTGCTATCAATATTTTTCTAATTATATTTTATTTCATTAATAGATGCTTTTGTGGACCGGCGTGAGCGAGCAATTAATTACGCTTAAACTTAAAAACTGTGATGAGATTTGTCCAATAGATACATATCTAGATATAGTGAAAGACGTTATTCCTTCCGATGATGACATCAATTGCTATTGGGATAGGATAACAAAAGAAGAATTGAAAAATCTATTTGTCGAGAAAATATATCTTAATTAAAATGATTTTATCCTATTGCAATATTATCATCGATTAAGAAAGAATATCCAATTCTCAATGTTCGTTTATTCATTATTGATAATTAATTTCATTCAATATTTTCTTGTTATTTATTTTTTCAACTTTTAATCTAGATTAATATTATACAATTTAAAACAAACAAAAAAAATATATTATGTTACTCAATCGGTATTATCATTAATTATTGCAAACCAGTGATGTCAAGACGTGTATTTTTCTCGCGCATGCGTACGCACATACCTAACTCATGCGCATGCGCATAGGTACGAAGGCTCCCACGTGGGAGAAATGTCATATTCTGGCTTCGCTGTTTCGTGCATTAGTTTACGTATGCATAACCTTTTTTTAATAATATCAATTAAATGAAATTGATGAATAAGATAAAATCGAGTGGAAAGGAATTAGCAGAATAAATAACACACATTTCGTCTTATCAAAGAATCTATCTTATCATGTTTACAATATCCTTATCCAATGTGTCAAAATATTCCTACCACGATAACAGACCGTATGTTACTAATTTATTACGAAACTATTTTAATCAATTTCATTCAAATGATTATATCATAGAATGAATATACATTTACGAATGCGTTATTATTATGTGCAAGTGTTATTAACAATTATTGTATCATAGTCTCGAAACGTTGATCAATTTATTTTCAGGTTAGGAAGTATAATTTGAATGAATATGGACAAGAATAGATAGGATTTTTGATCGAGAAATAATATTACATGTGCATCTTCCACATGATGTATTTTCCAGCAAATTTGAAGACATTTTTATTCCTACTTTTATGGAGATTAATTTCTGTTTTCGTTGTACAAACTGCACACGTGCCAGACGAATACTGGCAATCTTTGGAAGTTGCCCATCGTCTTGCCTTTGGATATGGATTTCTCACCTGGGAATGGACTGCGAAAATCCGTAGCTATGTCTACCCATTCTTGATAAGTTTTTTATATCGGATATTAGCTAATTTTTCTATAGACTCTGTTATTACTTTAACGCTATTACCAAGATTATTCCAAGCTACGATCAGTGCTTATGCTGATTATAGATTTTATAAGTGGACCAAGAACAAATGGATGTTGTATAGTTTATGTATTAATTGGTATTGGTATTACTGTGCTACACGGACACTTATTAATTCATTAGAAACCGCTTGTACTATCATAGCTTTATCCATGTTTCCATGGCGCAACGCTTATATCAAAAGTGTTAGATATCTATGGATAGTTGGTTTCCTTTGTACAATAAGACCAACTGCTGCTATCGTGTGGGTACCCTTATGTATATATCATTTATCTACTAGTTTACAAAACAAAATATTATTAATTTGTCAGTACAGCGCTATTGGTATTATATATCTATTAGGTTCTGCGATATTAGATAGTTATTGTTATAAAAGTTTGACGATATCTTGGTGGGAATTTTTCCGTTTAAATGTACTACAAGCGATAGGCGATACGTATGGAAGAGAACATACATTGTGGTATATATTTTCTGCATTACCGGTTCTTCTAGGATTTCATTGTGTTACATTCTTAGGAATACTTCCGCAAATAATTAAACGTCCTAAACAATTTCATAGAGAGGCGGTAATGTTAGTAGTCATTGGATGGACGCTTGGTGTTTATTCTTTATTGTCTCACAAAGAGTTTCGCTTTTTATTACCACTTTTGCCAATGTTTATATACATAAGTACAAGTTGTACCATTCATGTCAAAATCATTTCTAGAGAATTATTGAGAAAGATTTTTTTATTTATTTTAACAATAACCAATCTAATTCCTGGACTTTATTTTTCTTTGATCCATCAACGTGGAACGTTAGACATTATGAATATCTTACAAAACGATTTGACTAATGAAAATTGTACATCTGTAAATATATTATTTCTTACACCGTGTCACGCCACACCTTTATACAGCCATTTGCACATCAATGTGCCCACTAGATTTTTGACTTGCGAACCTAATTTTACTAATTCCAATGACTACGTAGATGAAGCGGATCAATTTTTTCAAAATCCAATGCTTTGGATTAGAAATAATGATTTACAGAAGCATGGAGTAATACCAAGTCATTTAATAATGTTTGATAATATTCCATCAAAGATACAAGATTTTCTTTTAAATTATAAGTTATTAAGCAAAGTTTTTCACACTCATTTTCCACAATCGAATTATGGAAAATATATAATGTTATACAAACGTAAACGATTATTTACTTGAAATGTAAAGTAAACGTAAATGTATATTCAAAATAAAACATAATTTCACTTTAGGAATAATATTAAAATTACATATTATATCATATGTGGAATAATATTTTCGCTTTTCGAATGTTGTAACTTTGAATTTAACTACAGAGTAAATCCGATAATAGTCACGAATAGAACTTTCGAATAATTATTACGGGAGAATGTGGTGGTAAAAGTTTCGATTTATTTGATCGTAGCACGATGTACATTATATATACGCTATATATACGCTATTTATTATTACGCGAAGAAAAATTGTTCGAGACGCAATAAGGTAAGAAACGCAATGACATTTGTATGCGTTTATTTTTGAGTTAGACTAGGATACACCTTTTTTTGGTTTGTTTTGCTTTTTTTAATATTACGAATAGACAATTTGAAAGATTTACATTTTATAATTTGTGCTTTTCCATGACCGAAATGATGCGCGTTCGAATGCGGATGAGCAAAGTACGTGAGTACCGTTAGTTCAGAGAAGGAAAGAGAGAGAATTTCGAATCTGAAAGACCTGTCGTAGGAACGATAATGTTTTTAACGGTATTCACGGTAGCATCGAATACGCCTAAACTTGTGATTAATCAACGATTTTTATTCTCTTATTATCGAAGCTAGCAATAATCCTTCCTTTTTCTTCTTACTCGATGTTTATAGAAATTGAAAAATTATTATTTCTTATCTTAAATGGATTTGGATGTTTAGCCGTGTACGAACGAACACGCGCATTCGACTTTAAAATATAATATTATTGTATAAAAGACGTGTACAAATATCATAATATGACAGAACAGAGAACGCATATCGCCATCTTTTACGTTCGCTTACTCGAACGGCATTTTCTCATCATAACTGGATCGAAGGTAACCCGTTATTACTTTTTTCTCTCTTTTTCTTGTTTCTTTCGGAATAAATTCCATGCACGATTTCAACAAGTTTTACGCGCGCGCTCAGAAACGATAAGAAAGTCCATTCCAATTTATATTCAAGTTGAATTTGTATAAGTATTTTTTCTATCTTTTAGGAGAATAACATTCGCTACATAATAACTGAATGAATAGAGAAAGATGAATAATTTATTGTTTGCTTTTGCAATGAGAAAAAAACAAAAAAAAAAAACAAAACAGTTGACATACGACCAATTATGCTTTCTATAATTTCATTTTCATCTTTTTTTCCTAAGATTTACAATATGGCTGTTGCGACTGGAAAAGATATGCAAGAAAAGAATGTAAGATAGAGAGAGAGAGAGAGAGAGAGAGAGAGAACAGTCATAATTTTTCGTCGCGTTAAGAAGAGGGAGGAGCGGCTCGACTAGAAAATGAAAGAGAGGAAAATGGATTTGACGAAGAGGAGGAGGAAGAAGAAGAAGAAGAAGAAGAAGAAATAGCAAAGGTAGGACACGATCATTAACTATCGCGGATGGAACGGATGAGACGAAGCAAAGTAAGGTAAGGTATCTCGCTCGCGGTCTTATGCTCGTAATCGAAGGTACAGTAAGGTGGTGCAAGCGGGATAGAAGAAAATATAAAGAGGGGACTGACTACATGGAGTCAACGTTCCGAACGGGTCACCGACCACACACTCCCTTTCTCTCTCCATCCTTCTACCATCCTTCTACCTCCCTTCTACCTCCCTTCTACCTCCCTTCTACGTTCACCGTTCCTTCTATCTCTCTCTCTCTTTTCTCTTCTCTTCCTATCACGCTCGCTTCCTCAGGAATACTACTACTCATCGTACATACCATTCTTTATAAAACTTCATTTCAAATGTATCCCTACTTTGTAAAGATCTGAATCGAGAGCACGGCCTTTCGTCTATGTCCCTTCTTCTAATAATTCTTTGACGTTTCTCAATATCTGCTATACACATATATGTAAAGGACAAACTCGTAGACACCTACTCATGAAATTGTGCTTATAACGTTAGGTGCGGTTTTATTGAATGGCTGTTTGGAAGACGAGTGTCTAAAACAACGAATTAAAATCATTATTTTGTAGCTCATCATTTTTCTAGACATCCATTTTCAATGGCAATTGATTTCATTTCACCAATGGAAAAAGATAGAGAGTATATTATAAAGTTACAATTAGTAATAATGATTCGAAAGCGCTATATACAGAAGGTAGTAACACGAAAGATACATAAATATATCTACGAAGAGAAAGTTTCGGTGCAATGTTGGTGAATCCGTTCTCCTTATATACTTCCATGGCATCCGAAGCGGATTCACTCAAGAGTATAGTTTCGTAGTTCTTAGAGAAGGCTCATCCTTTGGACGTTGATTCTAGTCCTTCCATTTTGTCGTTATTATCATTAATATTTCGTTATATTTGCACGCCGGTTTCCTTGTCGAACACCCCTTTTTGATGACTTTGAACACATAGTTTGTTTCTTGGCTAGGTATTGCAAACGAAATAGTTGAAAAATTGCGCAATTTCAATGACGTAAAACGGAGTCCCTTTCTCCCAGAGTCTCACTGTCGATATCCTTGATCCATCTACCTAGCCTTCACCGTGCGCGCCTTCGTTAGTTAATTGTCAATGCTAAATCGTTCACGTTGAGAGATCTTTATTTCATTGGCGGGATATCTCGTTTTACATGATCCCCATGAAATGCACTAAGTGTACTCGTACGGTAGTGTACTTTGGAAGGATCCAATACTACTTGTGCTATGTTTGTTTGTTTCCCCCTCCCCCCCCAATATTATCGGGAATGATTATAATATTATTAACATTTGAGATTATAATTTTAAATAAGAGAGCGTAAATGATGAAATGTGAGCAAGTTGATTTAAGTAGCGATATATAAGAAGCGATGTACTTGGGCGAGGCAGTCCAGAGTCCGGCTATAGTAGAGAAAACCGGCTTCTCGATGACACCGTCATAAGACTTTGCACTCGGAAATTAGACTTTGATCTTAGCTCGTACGATTAGCTTCTCCGCTTATTCTGCGCTTTTATCGAAATTAACGAATCACGAATTACGAAGAAAATGAATAAATACAAAAAAGATATGCATAAGATAAATAAAAAAAAAAAAAAAAAAACAAAGAAAACAATGTTAGAGTTGGAAATAAAAGAATATGCGAAAGAAGGAAAGTTTGAACATACATAGGATCGAGAGAGGAAAGATATTTTTGAAATTTGCACTTTTCTCATTGCTTTTGCCATCGCGTTAGATTTTATGGACCACTCGAGGATGCACTTGTCTATTTCTAAACAGTCGTTACACGCAACCTTTTCGTGCTCGACCAATCGTAGTTGGGGAGCAACAGGTGAATGACCAATCGGGTGCCGCCGTCATAGGCGTAACGATACCACCGGCTTTACTTGCCAAGCGCCAAGTACTTAACTTCCAAAGACGTTTTACACCAGTTCCCTCTCTCTCTTTCTTTAAATATACACCTATGTGTGTATGTAGTTATAGGTATATCAAATATTCATCTATCTGCTTCTTTTTGCTTCTTTAGCTTGACTCGAGTTCATTCAATCGTTCGCTTTCTCGATTCTACTCTGCCCTTTCCCTATAGACTCTTGAAAGGAAAGGCGTCATACCAACAACCTGTTGCTCGCTAGCTTTTCCTATTTCTTTTGAACAAGCGTTAATGCATATCGAACATTATTTACGAGAAGTCGAATTTTCTCGTAGCTTCCAAAATACTCGCATACGTGATCGATCTAATTGATGTACTTTTAATTAAGCGTGTACAAATATATTATGCAACTGGATGGAATTGCAATTTCTTTCTTTTATTATTATTGTTATCATCAAGATTTCCCAAATAGAATTTTTTGAGAAATACAAAGGGAAATATAAGAAGAGAAGATCAGCCAGCAAGGTCGGCATTGCGCGCTCACAAGAATATTGAACAACGTGCAGCTGCTTTCACTGTGCCTTTCATCTATGTGTATAATACATACACACATTTCTGAAAAGTATTTACACTTATATACGTGCACGTTTTACGAATACATGAGCAAGCGTGAACGAGTATGCGTAGGTAGAACCTGTTGATAAAATTGGCGCGCAGCTATTTATGAAAAAGGATGAAGAAAAAAAAATAGAAAAAAAAAAGTATCATACAACACAAACGATTAGAGAATAAAATGAAGAAGAACCGGAAAAAACCACTATTTTACAAAAATTTACGACGTTGTTGCTTAAAATCTTGTCTTTTTCATTACAAATTTCATCTCGCCATTGTAATTTTGGCTATCGCATTCTGAAAGAGGTAGAAATACAAAGAGAGAGAGAGAGAGAAAGAGAGCCGGATGTTAGAAGCAATGAAGATGAAGAAGAGGAATGGTTGCTTAAAGTGGAAGGGATAGAAGCCATGGAAGATATGTACCTGCGACATTGGGGAGCTTCCTATCCGTTGAGAACGCCGCTGAGAACGCCACCGAGAACGCCGCCACGTTTTCGATCGCCATTTTGTCTTGGAAGACGAATTCTTTCCCTCTTACTTTGAGCGTGGAAAATCGGCAGCCTTTCGAGCGTCCCTGCGGCATTTGTTCTTTCTCTCTCTCTCTCCAAAAAAATAAGCAAAAGAAAGAAAGAGTTTAGACAAGAAATAAGGAAAGGAAAGAGAAGAAAAGGGGAAGATTAGAAATTGTACGCTAGGATAATCTTCTAACGGATCGTTAGCCTTGCCGAGAATCGAGTTGAAACGTCTAAGAAGCACCTGGCAGCTTAATCATTGCCTTTCCCTTCGAATTTTCAAATTTCAATGCATCGATATCAAAGTAACGTTAACTTGTCCTCGATCAAAATGCAAGAGAGGAGAAATGAGTAAAACTTATTTCCATGCGTCAAATTTCCGCGGTTTCGATTCCCCTACCTTCCTGTAATATCCGTCTCACGCATATATTGTAAGGAGGGAAAAGAGTGGGGTAGAAGGTAGCAGAATGAGATAGGTAAGCTAGAGTGGGGAGGAAGAGGAACGATGTGGTCTTGGCAATAGAGTAGCGCTCGGGCGCGCAGTCGCCAGGTGAGCCAACGACGACGTGCGCGTTACTGCGACGACGTACGGGGTTGGCCATTGTTCTCTTTCTCTCTCTCTCTCTCTCTCTCTTTATTCCTCTCTCTCTCTCTCTCTCTCTCTCTTGTTGTTGTCGCTGCCGCCGTCGCCGTCGTCGTCATCGTCGTCGTCGTCGTCGTCGTCGTCGTCGATCATGCCGTTCGTTCGTTCATTTACTTATTCGTTAAACAAAAAGAGAGAGAGGGAAATAAAAATATACGTATAGGAATATTTTCCGCATAGAAAGAGCGAGGACAGTAGAGATTTTGTTACCTTAACAAGGACTGGAAAGTGTGCTGACACAAGTTGTGAAGGGTGCACGCGCTACTACGAATTGACTGCTTGCATTCGTCTTCCTTGTTTTTCTTTAATATTTCCGAGTTATCATAATTTTCAATTAGAAAGTTGACAGAAAAGAATGGACATGTCGTGGTTGTTGTTGGATATCGAGTACCTGTGAAAGGATCGACGAGTGGAAACCCGGTTCGTCGTCGTCGTCGTCAACGTTTCTCTCTATTTCTATTTATCTTCTTTTTTCCTTTTCTTTCTTTTTCTGTCTGTCTGTCTGTCTCTCTCTCTTCCTCTCTCCCTCTCTCCCCCTATTTCTCTCTCAAATCTTTGTTCATCGTGGGAACGAGGAGAGGAGAGAAAAAGATAGATAAATAGATAGGAAGGAGGACGTGTTTCCGCGAGTGTTAAGCTTTTATTACCGTGTTTCACCGATTGTTATTGTGTTGTTGTTGTTGTTGTTGTGTTGTTGTTGTGTTGTTGTTGTTATTGTTCCTATAATTGTTATTCATTGATCAAAATTGTAAAAAGAATAAGAAGAAGAAGAAAGAAGAAATAAGAGAAATAATATCGAAGGGATATATGGGCGGTCGACGGTGCCGCGAGGAGGACAGTATGCAGAGCGTTGCTACGAGAGGGCCGACTCACCTGGTCGCCCTGTACGTGGCGACCGCCGGCCTTCAGAACAACTCGCTTGGTTCCGACGAGGGACAGATCACGTTGCTCGTTTACGTACTTCTCGATGTACTTCAAAATAAGGTGAGTTCTGAGTGAGATCTAACGACACACCGATACACGCTGTCACCATCACTACTATCACTACCATTACTACCACTACCACCATACCACCAGCACCACCACCACCACCAGCACCACCACCACCACCAGCACCACCTGTGGGATCGTCGCGCTTCGCTTCCGTCGGATCTCTTTCTTCAATATTTTCTAACGTTAAAACCTCGTCTATTCTGAAGTAATTACATTTCGATATTGCAATTGTTCTTTTCTTTCGTTCTACTATTTCTTTTCTAGCAATAAAATAGTCATGCCCGTTTCTAAGAAGTAGGAGAAGTAGACTTCCGCGTAATCAGATAAATGATTTCCTTCGTTTTATTCAACGATAAACTATTTTTTGTTATATTGAAAAATAAAGAAAGAAACGTTTGGAAGGAATTTCGATAGAGCTATTTAATGTCTTTTTTTTTTTTTTTACGTAGGATTGATGCGCGAAAGGAAATAACGACAGCACGAATAAATTGTAGCTTTTATTGCATTTTTATATAAATATTTACTTATCGTACTTACACTTATCTATGTCTCGTCATGCTCGCAAAATAACGAAGCTAACGTAAGGTGGTAACTTGAGCGTTCATTGGACGTCCTCTACATAAATATGCCATGATTGGTCGATTTGATATATCTCTCTCTTTCTCTCTCAAAACGTAATCACGTCAGGTGAATTTGTAATAGTTCAGAAGCGAGCTAAGATAATAATGTACGATTTTAATAGACGATTCGACGAAGATATTTTGCCTACTTATCGACTCTTGACAATGAATCTTTCTATCGCTTCATCGGTCTATCGGTCTATCGGTCTATCGGTCTATCGGCCATTGACGAACGTCGTATCGAGATTAACAAATAAAATCGTTATCGCTGTTCTCGACGATGACGAAGAAATCAACGTAGAAATTCAATAAAATGATATCTATTGAAATATATATATCGCGTTAATCGTCTTGTCCCCTTTTTTTTTTTTTGTCTTTCTCGTATCGAGGTATATTTGTAGGAAAAACAGCTTTTTGCGCCTTGTTTATTGCTGACCTTTCGCGACCAAGAAGAGGATAAAAAAGACCGGTCGTCTAACGTTCGACTTTAATCCTGCACGATTTAATACGACTCTCTTTGACGTTATTAAATGCTTGTCATCGTTGTCGTCACCGTTATTTCGTAATCGTCATTAAGAAACACAGGCGACTTCGTCTAACGTGTTCCAAACTATTATTTATGTATTTATTTATTTATTTATTTATTTATTTATTTATAGAAGCATAGAAGATTGGCAAATGTATTTTCATTCGCGGATAGTTGAAACACTTAGCGGGTTGAGAGGGAGGGGTGCGGTGGCACTCGAGCGTGTCGTTGGCTGCCTTTGTTTCTCGAATTATCCGCTGGGGGCGGAGCGTCGCGCCCTCGAAAGGTCGTCCCATTACTTCCAGCTTCACCGTCGCTTTCGTCAGTCCTCCTCTCACCACCCTTTCTTTTACCGTTTTCCGCCCGCCTTCTTATAACGAATTACAACGAACATTGCATTTTTCTTAACCTTTTGTTAATCCCCTTCTGAAGATTATTCCAGGAAGAAGAGACGGAAAGAGAGACGGAAAGAGAGAAAGAAAAAAGAAAGTTCTCGAGGCACGACAGGTGTTGTGCCTCCTTTTTCTCCTTCTTTTTTCTTTATGCGTTCTTAACAACCCATACCTTCCAGGTGGTGGTCGATCATTTCCGCTTTCTGTTCGACTCTCGCATGCTTCCTATTATTTTTGATCGAGAACAATGTCCACTAAATTTATTCTTCGATTCTTCGATTTCGTCAAATCAATCCATTTAAATCCAATTCTATTAACGATATATGGAAATTAGAAAGTCGTTAATTCTGTATATAAATGTATACAATTATAGCACTATTATACATATTATACACGCATTATAGAAGTAGGTGCTTGAGAAACGAAGCCACTGTCGTTGGCCACGGGAATTATGTGAATCTTTGCGTCGATTCTGAGATTTCTAATGATCAAATATAAAAACTCGTTACGTGCTCGGTCCTTTTTTCTTCTTAGCTTCGTATCGGCTTGTCATATTTTTTCTTTTTCTATTTCTTTTTTTTTTTTTTTCTTCACATTATGCAACTTTCCCCAGAACCATCTTTCTCATTCTTTCTCATTACACGTAGCACCGTCCTAAGATTACGATCGCGTGCATCGTTGTTACCTTGGAAGAATGAACATGTATATATGCATGTATGTAGTTATCTACAGACATAAGTGGATGTAGAAACCTACTTATTCATTTATTTCCTTTGCTCGTTGAACCGATTTCCTGGAATAATCTTGTAAAACAACGGTCGAAATGATGTTTCATCTTCCTTCCCTGTATGTTCTTAACCATTGCAATGACCGGTTCATTTCCGCTTAAACTACGAAATTCCATGTTTTTCGATAGCAAACGATTCACTCATTACGATGAAAAACTTTCATGGAAAAACTTGACACAATCTACAGGTACACACGTAACGCTATAACCCCTTATCATTTTATATATATATATATATATGTATATGATTATATAGAATATTATATAATGTTTGGAATGGTACTTGATAAATTTCTTTATCTGAATTAATTCCACGAAATTGATCAATTTATCTCGTGTCAAATCATTTATTATTATTAGATATATATTATATAAAGTAAGTGATATTTATCTGATATATTCTACGCGTATATAAAACTGAACTTTGAACTTTAAGCCCAACTAGTGTGAGGCCAAGAAAATGTTTTCCTCAAACACTGAATTTTCCAAGTCTGATCGTTTTATAATTCTGTTTCATAATATAGTTGATGTTGTTGTTGATTGCGCATACGGTGAATATTATTCACGTTTCAGCACGCATCCGCCCTATTCTTTCTTTTTATTTGTATTTTTATTGTTGGTCATTCGATGGACAAAGTGTCGTCGTATGTTGGCCTGTTACTCTTTCGAATGTTGTAAGAGCCCTGCCCTGAACCTTGACCCTCCGTCGTCTGCCTTTCTCTATCTCTTTTTTTATTACGTTGCGCGTGACGAAATTTGCAATTTATAAGGACTCGATTTACTTAGAATCGATCAAACGTGTGCATATTTATGACCATTTCGTTCAATCTAAAATGTACAATTCAAATTCATATGATCCAAAAATCGTCCTTTACCTTTCAGTAATTCAATTTACTTTCCTTGTAAATATGTTTGTCATTATAGAACATTATCAATATTATTATGTTTTATTCATGGTTAGTATCATACGATAAAAAGGAAAAAAAAGTCATAACATGGAAATGCATGAGGTGACCTGGGATTGACTGGGGGGAGGATAAGGGGGTAGAGGTGGCAGGTAATCGTCCAAGTAGGCGGTTCGTTATTTTTAATATATTCTATCGTTTGAAAATGAGTGCGATAAAGGAACGTATCGATGACGAAAGTTCTAGCATTCGAGAATATTGGCAATTACGTACAAGTTTGAAATGACGAGGCATTTTCAACATGCATATATATATAAATATATAATCACGCATTATGCATCCTATGTGCAAGTCAGTAAGTAAGTACAAAAGTTATTCGAATATATAATAATATACGTTGAACGAATATGATAACGATATTTCTATGTACCTACACTCGAGAAAGAACATGGAAGAAATAATATTTGTACCTAATTGTGTAAGTACACACATAGTTTGTTTTGCGAGAAATGGAAAACTTTCTTATACAAATATGATATATAAAATAATATATTGTTTTCTTGCACGCGTCGCGATTATTAATGTCGGTTGAAAAAATGGTCGTAAGAAGGACTCGAAGAAGACGGGGGTGATGGGGGGGGGGGTCGATTGAAACGATCGTACCGAACTACCTTGATCCGTAAACCTCACGTTAGTAAACCTGCCTATTAAGTTTCTTCTGTGTGTACGTGTACGCTAGTAGTATATGTATATGGACGATAAGGAATAGTTGGTATGTCATCGTTGCAACGATGGTTCGTGAACGTGTATTATAAGTAGATAGACAGACGGATAAACAGGTAGTTGGCATAATGCTAGCCAAATTATACTATTATAATGCACAGCCATCTTATCGGACTTATATTACGCTATTTCAATTTTCTTTATTTCCCCAAATACACAATATGTTTTGTCATTTGACGTACATTTAAGTTTCAGTACTTGTACGAAACACGAGTTCAAAGTTCCCTTTATGCAATTTTCTAAATCAATTATTCTTAAGTCATCGATTTATTGTCTCGCGAATAGATTCAACTTTCTATTAGATATTGAAGACGAGTAGAATATATTTTCAGTGTATTCACTGTTTTATTAAACAGAAAGGAAAAGAAAGAAGAAGAAGAAGAAGAAGAAGAAGAAGAAAAGAAGGAAAGGAAGAGGAAGAGGAGAATCGAAAAATGGCGAAATGGACGAGTGTTGTTCGTTAAACTGAGATTATCGGAGAAACGATCTTTACGAGCTGCAATTAGCGTCATAGCTTTAACTAACGATGGATCGCTTAATTACTTTCGGTAATCGGTATATTTCCCACAAACGTTCGCATCTATATTATCGCGTGCGAATGTATTTTTGCGTGCGTTGATTGATCTCTCTGGAAAAAATTCGTGCATACATTTTTCTATAAAATTGAATAAAGTTCAATTAAATAAGAAGAAGATTGATTACCCGCATGATACAATTTCGCAGGTGCAATGTTCACAGACAAATAACAATAATACAATAGTAACGAATAATTTAGGAGATATGTGCCGTTTAATTTATGCGCGTACAGGAAGACCGTAGAAAATGCGGTTAAATTCGATCAATTAAGAAAGAGAAAAATTCAATATAGTATGCAACTCCTAGGAGATGCAACTGTTTCGACAGTTCTTCAGCATCGTCACGTTGAGCAATTATGGCACGTCGGTCGTTAATGATAACACGCGTTATCATTTATTTTAATTGTGCTTGGGATGATTTTGTTTCAGGTATTGGGTAGAGAACAATACATAGTTTGTCCAAAGATAACGGACGATGGTTGTACACCGGGAAGTGGTAGTGACAATTCATCGGTCACCGGAAGTAGCGCAATCATTAGCGAGTTGGCATTAGCACATGCTCCAGCCTTGACCGAACGTACCCTTCGAGAACACGGGATTCCTTTGGAACAAGCTCTAGAACAGGTACATTTTATTATTTACATTGCTCCTTCTGCAAATTGATAAGTTTGATCATTTGATTTTTGTGTGTTGATTTTTGATTTCTGTCCCAAGTTCGAAGGATGGTGGTCGTCCATGTCCTGCGTAACCGGTGGAGGTGAGCCTCGTTTCGTCGTTGACGGACAAGCACCGATGAGACAATGTTTGCATCCTGAAGCTTGCAAAAAGGATATCGAATTGCCAAGCCATTACAATGTCTTTCACGATCTTCGCAAGGAATTTGTTGGCTGTTACTCATCGCACGGCGAGTTAGCAACACTTGGAATACAAGAAATGATTCAATGTATCCTTTAATCTACACATTTTCTTTATCTTTTTCATTGATATTACTTTGCAAATGAATTAATCCGATAACGAACATTTTTAATAGAGCTCAAATTAACCAGCCCAATAAGAGATGTACCTAGGAGTGTTGATCCTAATGATCTACGTAGGGTTGCGACAGGGTTGCGTGTTTATAATAAAAATTGATGATCGATAGGCGGATCGATAGGCGGATCGAGACGCATCGAACGAAAACAGTAAATGAATCGATGTGTAGAATATTTAAGTTAGTAATTATTGAAGTGATTGCCGTCAGGAGGCGCGGAAGAGGTCGAAATAAGATTTTCGAGACGCACTGCCGTCAGGCGGCGTTGAATCTTGAGGAGCAAGCAAATAAGCAAAGGAAAGCATACTGGCAGTCCGCAGTCGTAGAATGCCCCCGTATCGTGTAACCGTGTTTCCCTTTACTGCTACGTAATCGCCACAGGGATTTTTATATCGTGTCACCAATAACATCGTACGCGCGGACTCTGAACTTGTCTGGCTGGTACCGGGAAAAAACGCGTTAAAAGTGCTCGAGTCACCTTCATCGTCGAACCTTTTCTTCTATAATAAAGTCAAGATATCAAAGTGAAACAAAAGATTTGCTTATCGGCCTGCGTGACTTTAATGCCTCTTCGTCTGATTTAAACTTATTCAGGTACGCTGACGTTTCTTCTTTTTCTTTCTTTTATAATTGCCCGATAACACGGTCTTATATTATCCTTTTATTCGATTAAAAAAAAAAAAACCAAACTTTACTAATAAATTTGCAAAATCAAAGAAAAAGCTTTTTCTAATCAAAGAGTAGACTTTGCGAATTGAAATCCATATCTAGATCGTTTTAAATGATTTTCTTATTTAACAGGTCGTCGTTAAACAGAAATTACAACGGTCAAGGATAATAAAAAAAAATGTCGATAAATTTTTACAAGGTACCGCAATATTTTGTCGACTTGTTATTGTCGCGTGAACGAAGAAAATTCCTTTACAGGAACGTTATTATTCGACTTTGAGTTTATATTATTTTTCTTTTTCTTCATCATGCTAACAAACGCACGTTAGACGATACTTGTGATACCGTAAAATGTCGAATTCTTATTCCGAAACACGGCAATATATATGTATATAGTTGGAACGAGTGAATGTAAGGGGGGAGGGAGAGAGGGAGAGAGAGAGAGAGAGAGAGAGAGAGAGAAAGGCATTCACATAATCTCGATCCTTCCTCGGCATAAACTCGAGCTGCTGGCCACAATGGCTTACCACCTTATGTGCTTACCTTCTCTCTCCTTCTCTCTATATCCACCGTGTCGTGTTGTATCAACTGAACGCTAATAAAACAAAACCACCTGTGGCGACTGACAACACATATATATGTATATATATATATATATATATGATATGTGGGTGTATACACATATATATCGATCGGCATACTCGCGTGTGTATATTCTCGTGTCGATCGGCACCTCGAGCAACACGGATTTGTCATTTTTCTTTCTTTGCCAGATTGTTTTCATCCTTTTCCTCTAATTTTTCATGAAAAACTTAGATGATTACCAACTGATTACACGCGTTTTATATCTTTTGACTTTGAGAGAGAGACTTTTGATTTTTATCAGTAAGATAAAATCTTTGAACGAACGCGAATGCACAATTGGGCCTCGTTACCAAGGAAGGTAACGATAAGAATTTCGTCGAATCTTTTTTTTCCTTTTTTTTCCTTTTTTTTTTTTTCTTAAAGTCATTACCTAATTTTAAAGTTACTTTTGTAAAAAGTGTAATCTCATGAATACGCGACGTTACGTCTTCCTTCGAATTGGCCAATAATTTACGAGGTGTTTTTATTGAAAGAGACATAGAGAGAGAGACGGGGGGAGGGGGAGGGGTGACAGCTTAAATATGTACGTTCTTTTGAAATATATTATAGCAGAGAATTAGCTTTTCGTAAATTACGAAAACTAGTTTGTGAAAAAAAAAGTGATTACGTAGTAGGATGAAGAAAAAAGAGAGAGGAAAGGAGAGGATAGGGTCAGGGGGTTAGGAGGGAGGACAAGTTGAATCGAACGTTCGAGTTTAGAAGGCAAGCGCCTCGAGAAAGCCTCAGCTGACCAACCAACCGGCCTTATCGCCTGCGGAACATGGTTTAAAGGTCAACCCGGTGAAGATATTGGTAACGACTTGACGACCCATCGAGATATATTATTATACGCACAAAAGTCTTTCTTTCAATAACGTTTAATTCCCGACAACTTTTTAAAATAAAATTCAATTACTCTTTTAAGGGTAATATAATAAGGATAGTATGTATGCGTTTCGTACTATGTCAATCGATAAATAAAATAGTTCGTTTATCGTGATTATTGGATAAAATAATTTCATGCAATGCGTCAAATTTTCGTAGTATATATTATCCTTGACAATAGATGATTAGATTTTGGGCTACAACCTGATACGGACAACGATTATCATGTCAAAGAAATACAAGACATGATTAGCGTGATACAGAGGATGATCAAAGATGGTAAGAAAGAAATTTGTCTAGGCTTGATGTATTTCTTTGACTTTGATCTAGTCTAATGATCATGTAGAATTATCTTCTTTCCTCGATATTTTCTTCTACGATATTTCGCGTAGACTCGCACATATACTCGCACATATACTCGCACATATACTCGACCGATTTCCTATTCATATATGTATCTATAAACAATACTAGCGAACCTTGACCATATAACAGACACATTTAAGATTAACGTTGAAGCGATAAAAGCTCTTCCAAAAAATCCACTATTCGTTCGATTATAATTATATATATATAATATTGCTTCAATATAGTATACATATTATTTATTATAATTTCCAAATGTGTGGAAAAAACATATTGACATGTTTTAATAATGTCCAGGGTAAGATGAGTATACGATCGCATTTTTCGTTCGTTACGTAGCACACGTATATATGTTGTTTATACGTGTATAACTGTGTGCTGTATGCTGAGTTTCGCAGCGATTTAGATATGCGTGCAAGTATACGCGATGGCCATGCTATATAAATATTTCTTATCGCTCAGTGATACCCAACTAGCAACAATACATTTTTCATATTTTTATTCAAAGAAAAGAGAACATGAAAAATTGATCTTTCTCTTCTATTGAAATAGTAGTAGACATTTTGAATATATCGTTAGAAAAAATATATTCTTTTCTCTTAAGGAAAAAATTGTTTACCCGATTGATTGCCGATATATACGACAGGAGGATATATGTATATTATGTATACAAGTACATACATAATATACATATATGAAATTCAATAAGTACGATGATTTTGAAATCAGTCGATTCATTTCGCATAATACGAGTGTTCCTTGCAAGAAATACAAAGTAGTTTCGCCGAAGCAACTAATCGAATAAGCACTTTGTCCTCAAGTACGAGAAATAGGAGACAAAACGAAGCATATAGTATTACGACGATGAAGGAAGCGTCAGAAACTTAGCAATGTGTTGTCTTGCAAAATGTCTTTTTTTTCTTTTTTTTCCTTTTTTTCAATTATGAAATAAGAAGTTACACTAAATCACTCTCGATTCGATAAAGCGACATAACGTTTAATGTAATATTTTTTCTTGATAATGGATGTTCATTGGGTATCGATTTGTATTTTTCATAAAAAAAGAAAAACAAAGCGTAATATCATTTGCATTTGATCGTTAGTACGTGACTCGAGCATTAAATTGAATAATTGTTTATATTAGATTTATTAAATATTTCGATGCTCTCTCAAGACCATTTTAAAATGAAGCAAACGAAGATATCGCCGCAGTCGACGCATGCGCCGACATGTTTCCAGTCACGTCCAAATTTCTCCTCGTGCGCGCTTCTTTTTTTTCTTCATCTCTCTCTCTCTCTCTCTCTCCCTCTCTGTCTCTTTCTTTAAGCATAATCCACAAGCAAAAAGAAGTACTTAACTGGAAAGAAAGACATTTAAATGCGTTGGAAGTTTACAATAGGAGTTTTGTTTAAAAGTAAAAGTCCGTATCGCACGTGATTTATATATATATATATAGAATATAAAGGAAGAAGCAATGTAGAGGAATGAACAAATTGTTAAAGTTTTTCCGCCAAGTCAGCAGTGTCGCGTTCGGTAGCAAGCAACCAACCTGTTGATTCAACGGGACGAGAAACGTTTTGAATGATTTCAAAGAAATAATGTCATTAGAGACAAAATCATCAGAAAGTAATGTATTTTTGCAACAAAAGCCATATATTTCCTTGATGGAAGCACTATGTCGAGGTTATTTATTACAATTATTTTCATAACCGTCTAAAGATAAAACTTAAATATAATAACAGTTATCTAATAAAATATATATAATTATTTACGATTAACACAGATGATTGAATTGTTTTTATTGTTTTTATTGTTTTAATTTCTTTTCTTTTCTTTTCAGGTCACGTCTTCCAAACACCAGAGATAGTAAATATAGTTTTAGAACCAGGAATATGGTAAGTAGTTAAAAGTTCTCTATTGGTAGGTTATGCTCGACTTAAAACTGTCGTTAGAATATATAATTATAATAATCATATGATAATTTGGCTACTTGTAGTTCCAAGGACGAAGAAGTAGACAACGATTGCGTAGTTAGAGCAAGAGGCCTTCCTTGGCAATCATCGGATCAAGATATTGCCAAATTTTTCCGTGGTCTGAATGTCGCAAAGTAAGTACACTATTTTTTTCTTGTATAGCATCTAAATACTTTTTACAAATAAGTAATAATATATAATATAAATGTATTATTTAACTAACTTGAATATTATTATACAAGCCACTTGGAATCACATAAAGAAGGTAGGTAATTGGTCAGGCAGCCAGGCAGGCAGCCAGGCAGGCAGGCAGGCCTTGTTTTTCAATGAATTATATTATTATATTTTTGTATGAGTTATAAATCATTCATTTATGTGGCTACCATTGATATCATGCATCTATTCTCAATAATGATTTGTTTTCCTAATCAGCATGGTCATGCGTTTATGATAAGCATTATCTGTGGGTCATATAGATGATTTGTGTCTTATAATCTTATGATCAGATCATCGCTTATCATATAAATAAGTATAATTAGTGTTATGCATCAAATAGTACAAGCTTTTAAGTTGAAGTTAAAGCTGAAGACTTTTACAAAGAAAAACAATGGTTAGATGATATTATTGTTTATTTTTTTAGGGGTGGCGTAGCACTTTGTTTGAGTCATATGGGCAGGCGTAACGGAGAAGCTTTAGTACGCTTTGTTAATAAAGAACACAGAGATATGGCACTGAAAAGGCATAAACATCATATGGGAGCACGGTACATAGAAGTATATAAAGCTTCTGGAGAAGATTTTGTTGGGGTTGCTGGTGGTACTACTAGCGAAGCGCATGCTTTCCTTTCAAGAGGGGCTCAGGTTATTGTTAGAATGAGAGGATTACCTTATGATTGCGTTGCCAAGCAAGTGGTACGTACTAAATTCTATATTATAGGTTAATAGAGATTAAAATAGATTAGACAATGGCAAAATAACATAACTATACGTCTTTCTTCTAAAGATTGACTTTTTCTTATCCGGACAAAAATCTTGTCACGTATTGGACGGAGAGGACGGTGTATTATTTGTAAAAAAGCCAGATGGTCGTGCGACCGGAGACGCGTTTGTCCTTTTTGCTCAAGAGGAAGATGCTGTGAAAGCATTGAGTAAGCACAGAGACTGCATTGGCAGTAGGTATATTGAACTATTTAGGAGTACAACGGCGGAAGTACAACAGGTTCGTAAAAGCTAAACGAAATCTATTTTTATTTCTAATCATGTTATTTTGTCAATAACAATATTTGTCGTTGTCGTTGTTACTCATAGGTCCTGAATAGGGCGGTCGATCCAAAGCCGTTCGTTCTTCAAGTACCATCAATACAACCACTGCAATTTCCTCCATTACTTCCTCAACATATAATTACATCCGGCACGCGTAAAGATTGCGTGAGGCTACGTGGGCTTCCTTACGAAGCACTTGTAGAACATATATTAGAATTCATGGGAGAACATTCGAAAAATATTATCTACCAAGGTGTTCATATGGTGTACAATGCACAGGTAAGAATGGAATAAGATAACTGATGAAAAAAAAGATGTGAAAAATGAAAAGAGATATATGATATCATTATATATATATATATATGTCATTAGGGTCAACCGTCCGGAGAAGCGTTCATACAAATGGACAGTGAAAGTTCGGCGCACGCGTGCGCAACTCAACGGCACCATCGATTCATGGTATTCGGAAAGAAACAACGTTACATCGAAGTCTTCCAGTGTAGCGGGGAAGATATGAATCTGGTATTGACAGGTGCTCCGCCGTCAACGAAGGCTCTACTATCACCCGGTACGTTGAGCACTCAATCACCCGCATCTCTGACACATTCGGGTCCGGCGACGCCGGTACCGATGCCGCCGGTACCGACGGCGCAGCCTCCCCTCTGGGACATACAGGCGCTCGTACAGGCACAGGCCCAAGCACAGGCAGCGCAAGTTCAAGCTCATGCTCAGGCTCAGGCGCAGGCTCAGGCCCAGGCCCAGGCCATTAGGACTCAGGACTTTTGGCTGATGGCCTTGGCATCTAACGCATCCCCCACCTCGACGACTCCAGCCTCGCCTACCTCCTCGGCGACTAGTAAGACCTTGGCCCTTACCGCGCCCAATCCACCACCTCATCAAATCCCTGCGTACGCGATGACACCTCAGGCAGCGGCCGCGGCTGTGGCTGCGCTTCATGCTCAACAACCAACTCCAGCGCCCTTATTCCTCTTTCCTCCACGTTTAATAAGGGCACCGAGCTCTCATGGGATTTTTGCACCCATCGTCGCGCAAACCGCTCCTATTAATCCGGCTGCATTGATGGGCCTGAAAAGAACCTGGGAAAGCGCCTTTCCTAACGATACACCTGCTACGGTACACGCCAAGCGTGCTGCCTGGCACCCACAAGCGCCAGCTTTTCATGCCCATGCTCCTACCGCCGCTCCTGCCTTGCCCTATACCGCCCAATTTTATCCTCAAATTTGATACAAATCCATCCATCCATCCATCCATCCATCCATCCATCCATCTACTTGCTATCTATCTATCTATCTGCCATTACAATTATTTCCTTTTTACACTTTTTCACTCGAATCTTCTATATATTCTATATATTCTTTTATTTTTATTTACATAATTATACACCATTTGCTTCCTAAATAGTTCGACGAATGCATTTTCGAACGATTCCAAACGACAAATTTATTCGAGAATGTTGTGATAAGCAGTTGTACTTATGTAGTTTACTTTGAGAACAATTATTTGAATATCAATCACTGGCAGCATGCAATTAAGACTTTCTCGAACGATCGTTTTATTTTTCTTCGTTTATTAGATTTTAGAATAATATGTAGGATTTAAAATCGTCGCGATTACGATTAATACTACTAAGAAGTAGTATTAGTGGAGTATAAACTCGTAAAACGATTGATACACACATTAGTAGTATTTTTTTACGTTGACGAAATGATTTGAAGACACTTCGCTCAAGAGCGTATTTTACTAAAGGGCTATACATATATATGTATATAAATAATAATATACATAAATTCATATATTTTGCTAGAAATATTTGTATCAGTTGTTTAAGGACATGGACATTCCGTCCAATGTTATATAGACGTAAGTTCTAATTCTACAAATATTAATTATTGTTTTGTTTTTCTCTATCGTTTATTCTTGCGCACGTCTCGCAATAATATTTGCAACGTTTTAAATTAGCGCACGATCGTGTTCTCCGTTTGAATGAAAAAAAGAAAAAACCAAAAAAAAAAAAAGGACGTGCGAGTGATTACGTCATATTTCAGTTTTTTTTCTTTCTTCTAAATTGTAGCAACAAAGTACAATAGAATAATTGTCTATTTCACTGCCAATCTTAAAATCATCAGTTGTTTATTTTACATTTCCTATTATTGTTTTCAACTTCATTTCTTCTTGCCATACTTTTTTACTTTAATATTGTAGACTATAGGAGAGAAATAGAAAGAGGGTCGATCGCGCAACTATAATATACATGTAGAATAGGAAACGTTAACGAAATGATTGCATGTTGTTGTTGTGTTTTATAGAAGAGACGTGCGTATAAGTACCTGTTAATATTTTTCTTCCTATTTCTTTGATCCTTTCCACGAAACAGGAGGATGACACACAACCTGCCTACTCCATTCTATTATCTTTTTCCGATTCTTTTTCTCAATCATAATCACCTACACTGCATACATTGTATCTAGTAGTTGTTTCCTTCTTTGTGCTCGTTGTTCTCCCCCATGTCTTTTTGTTGTTTCGTTATCACATTCCATTTTCAATCCGTCATTCCCAGCAACTTATAACTATTTTCTTGGTATAATAATAATATTAATATTAATAATAATAATAATAATAATAATAAATAATAAATAATAATAATAATAGTAATAATAATAATAATAATAATAGTTTTTGTCCTTATGTATAGATAATTCTTTTTTAAATGACTCGTTTACATGTGTGTAGATCTTACAATTATCTCATCAGCTACAAGCCTATATATTTGTTTGACAGGATGCGGTAGCATATTATATGGAATCGAGTAGCATTGTTTTTTCACTATTTTCTTTTTTTGTTTTTTTGTTTTTTTTTTTTTCTTTTGTTACCTTGGGTAACGCCGGACGTTCGCGTGTTTTAAGAAAAACTAAAAAATGGTAGTCGTTAATAATCATTGTACTTAGAAAAGAGACATAGATGAGGACATTTTGTGGTCGTATTACAAGAAGCGGGTGTCCGACGTTACCGATGTGAGAATAACTTACATAGATTGAAAAATCGGGTTTGTCTGCCGACGCTTAAAGTCGGAATTGCGCTTCCTGATTCGGCTTTATATAGCATTAATATTACATTAATTAGATATAGGCTCGAATATAACGTTTCGAGATGAAAAATCAATTGAATGAATTTAATGAGAGGAGCTCTTTTAACAAAGGTATTTTGTTATTTTCGTCATTTATCGTGATTTTCGTCTCGAATCGTTTTAGAACCACGGGTACATCTTGGAGAATGCGTCGATGATCGATTAGAATCGCTCGAGTTGAGAAACCGTTGTCGTTGCCAACTCGAGCATCCTACTCACATATCCCTAAGCTGGTACTTATTTAGATCGTATGTTTTAATGGTTAACGATGATAACAGAAGGATGTGCGGCCCATATGCATCGAGAAATCGACATATATGCGTGTATATTACATGTCTCGTATCACAGTTTTTTTGCCGTTAGCTTTCGCTGGGAACTCTCACGCGACTTTGCCGCGAGACTTTCATACGGCCACTTTTTCTACTTAATATTACCTTTTCATTTTTCTCTTTGTTTGTTTGTCAGTTAATGTATAGAGAGAATGAATGGATGAATGAAAAGTTACAATTATTTGCTCCTTCCCTCCTTGCATTATTATAACATGTGCAAGCACCACCCGCATACGTATCTTATTTTTTGTATTATTATCTTTCTCTCCAACTAACTCCCAAAGCTGCATCTTAGATATTGTGGCATTATCTCATTACGTTTTTAATGTCTTTGTTGTTATTTGTGAATTGCTAACACGGTGACTGACACGGTGACTGACACAGTGTCCGTTTCTTTTACGAATTACTTTCTTCTAACTCTCAGCCTTTATATTTTGTCATTATATGATTTTATTTCTTATTCATTAGCAAATTTAGAAACGGCACGATCTATTTTCCCTACCTAATTAAAAGAGTTCAATGATTTAGATCCATGTCTCGCGATAAGATCGTCGATTGTCCCGGCGAAAGCTGACACGTGTTATTTCACGCATTATTATTTCACGCATATTCGTTGACACAGCGTGGGACAACATTATCTTTCTTCTTCTTCTTCTTCTTTTGTTTTCCTTGATTTATTATTTTTCTCTTATTTTCCTTCCTTTTTCTTTTTTAAATGGATTCTATGCGACCGTGTGTACGGTATTTACGTTTCTTCCTCTTCCCTAGTACTTTTTTTTTTATTTTCTTGCGAAAGGTGTGCCCTTTTTTTAAATAGCGTTTTTTTTTTTTTTACTGGGATGCAGGACATTTACTCACATATACATGGAAAGGTGGTACAGTAGTACACATATGCACACATTTGCACACATATGCACACATTGCATATATACACTTCCATATATATTTCCATATATATACATAAAAACATAACTACACGTACATACACATAAATCCTTTTTTTACATCTTGTATACACTCTCTTGTATTATCGATTATTACATCGATGTACATGTTTAATAAATGTGCCTTGTGGACATATAGATCTTTTTGCTTGGCGGGTTGGTGGACTCTTACCCTGATTATTATTACCTTACACGGTGTTTATACTTTTTGCCAACATACAACAATTGTTTTTCAACATTTCATGTAATTTTCAATCTATTTATTTTCCTTAACACCACCATTATTTGTCTTGCACAATGTTGTTTGTTCAAATTCAAGTGCGAAAAGTGTAATCACCGTTTCTTGTTACGTTCTGTATATTTTTTTTTTCACTGGGCTCGCAGGTATCTTTGGTGTCTACGGATCAAGTTGGAGATTTTTCTGTGTCGTAATTCTTGGTTCTCTCTTTATCTTCCTTACAGGGTTTTTTTTTCTCTCCCTCTTTCCCTTTCTCACTCTCTCTCTACGTATGTCTCTGTTTCTCTCTCTCTCTCTTTCTCTCCCCGCGTCTCTTTCTGTCTATGTATCTGTCTCTCAATCTCTCACTCTCTGTTCTTTTCTTTTTTTTAGATACACATACTCATTTCTCGACTCTGCGTTTATGTCTCTTCTGATAATCTCCCTTTTTAGTTTTATTTTACTCTCTTGGTCACTCTTGATCCGTCTTTCTGTTGTTAACTCTCTTCCCTCTACACCACCGTAATGATTGTGCCATGATTGTGCCATGATTGTGCCATGGCAACAACTTTTTCTTTCATGTATCAAAGAGTAGAGTAGTAACAATTCAATCGGAAACGTTACGAATAAAAAAGAGAAAGAGAGAGAGAGAGAGAGAGAGAGAGAGAGAGAGAGGAACAGAGGGAGAGAGAGAAGAAATGAGAGATAAAGAGAGGAGAGAGAGAAAGAGAAAGGGTATGATAAAGAGGGATTATATTAAGAGAGAAAGAGATAGAAAAATAGAAAGGGAGAGAATCTAAGTAAAACTCTGATAATTTGGAAGAGGGGCGGAATCGCAAGTTGGTGCTGCGTACATATATATAAAACATGTGCAGTGTCGATTGCTGTATGGTAGCGGGATCTACAAATACTAACTTCTGTGCTTAAGGTAGGCCAATTCCAATTCATTTATTCCTTTGAAAAATGTGCGGTTAATGTACGGTTATTGCGAATAATGTTATTGCAATCTTGAATGTAATCTTTTTTTTAACATAATGATGATTTTTAACATCATTTTCGAATGCCGAAACCGTACACATACCGTCTATTTAAAAGCATTATCGTGCATATCTTGCAATACAACATATACAAAATGCAATATGAAAAGAAAAAAACGGAAGAAATGCACGATATTGCAAATGTCACGATTGTGTTGCATAATGGGCATTTTTCTTTAATGTACATACATAAAAGGCAGGAAACATACATAAAAAGGCCATGGGGCATAGTGATTTTTTTGTATTAATGAATTAATTAATGAATGCTGATTGATTTAGAAACGTTTCGTATTTGGATCGATTTTTGTTTTGACATTTATTATTTTAAATGATTAACATCGAACGTTCATTGTCATTTATCTAACATTTATTATTATTAGTATATAAGAAAAAAGAAAAGAAAATAATGGTAGTTTAATTTTGATTTATTTAGGAGGCACAATATTGCCGACGCCGCCGCCACCGCCGCCGCCGCCATCATTCGTAACAAGTGCAATCTTCTCTCCAACGACCGCGATGCTACCACGAGGACCACCCCAATTCGCTGGCCCATACCCACCACCACCAATTTTTTATTGGCCCTATCCTTCACCTCCCGTTAGTCCAACTAATTATTATAATCCGGCGAGCGTCGGTGGCATCGCGCCGATACATCAACAAGCAACACTGGTAACATTTATCTATTTATTCAAATAGGCTTCTAGCTATTTGCATTCGAACTATTATTTCTTCCACCTGAAATTTCCAACAAAAACTTCCATTGTTTCCAACTAATTCACGTGCATGTATATATATTTATGCTCCAAGATGATTACAATATGTGTCAAATATATATATACAATTGTTTTTTGACTCTAATAAATTATATTTTATCACTATTTTTACTTATTTCAAAGAAACATTTTAAATGTTTATATATATATATATATATATATGTCAATCTGAAAACAAAGTATCGTATTAATCATTGAATTGTATTTTTTTTAGTTGACACCTGCCGAGTGCTTACAATTGGGACCAGGAACCGCGGCAGTGACTACGGCAACGTCACCATCCGCGGAACCTCGTCTCGATGCAACTTTGACACGCGTGGAGACAGAAAAACGTATTGCCTTACCGGGTCATCATCACCAACCACCAGAATGCACTCCCTTCGTCGAAGTTTTTATGGTCTGACCATGAGCTGACAATAATCTTTAGCAAATCCCTTTTTTGCTCCTCCTATTTACATGCGTATGCTTCCTATATACGCACTCAAATTCCCTAAACTTTTTTCCTCTTCGTCATTTGGGCATCGCTTTTTCTTTTTTTCTAGTCCAAAGAGACAGAGACACGAGTGATCCTAAAACATAGCGCAAACTTTCTTCTCTATCTTTTTGTTTCCCCCCCCCCCCTTGGGTTCGTATTCTCTCTCGACATTTCTTTTAGATTCCAATCGTTATGAAATAATTGTTATGTCGTTAAAAAAGATATATATATATAAATGCCTGAAAGAGAAGTTTCTTTTTCTCTTTCCACTTCTTTATGTTATTATTTATATATATACAAATCGTCTCGTTAATAACGTTGCAGCATGTGATAACGTTGATCGACGATGTTCCTTATCTTTAAGAGATTAGGCGTTACGTTTTTATTTAAAAATATATATTTAAAGTATATAAGAAAGTGATCGACGGATGAAACGAAGAAGCTGTGTGAGAGCTATGAATTTGAAATCCTTCTGTTGAAATTCGTTTCGAATGACGTTCGTGCAACAGCTTGCCTATTATTATATTGCATTAGTTATCGTTTTTATTCGAAGGAATTTACGAATTGCGTGACAATCGCATTTATTTATCCTCTTATACGTTAAGATGAATTTTTCTTAGCAACAAATATCACAAATGTCTTCCGATTATTATTAACTATATATGCCTTCTTTTGGTTCAACCGCTTTGTATATTGATTATTAGTTTTCTTTTAAAATAGAGACATGCACACGTACATACATACATACATACATACATACATACATACGTACTAGAGCTCTTACTATTGGAATATTTGAATTTGAAGATTCGTAAATCCTAGTAATAGTAAGAACCCTAATGGCATACGCATGTACATAAGATGATAATGATGACGACGACGACAATGATATTTTATGATAGTTTTTCATAAGGTGCTGAGACAAAAACTAGCATAATAGTGACAATCTTGGAGAATTTCATCTCGTATTCTTCGAAATCCCATATCCAAGCGACTGCCATTGCCACGCGATTCCTCCTTCCTTCGTTCTTCAGCGATTTGTTTTCCTACTAAACGTGATGGAAGTGATCAAGTTCGAAGCAGACTCAATTATTATTACTCGTGCATTATTCGCACGATCGGTGCAATAATTAATGTTTTATTTTATTTTAGTTAAGTTTAATTGTTCCCTTTCCCTTTCCTCCTAATGTAACAAAGTTACAATAGAGATCAAATGAACGTATTTTCGATGCCACAAAGCAAAGTCATAAAGTAGTACAAATTGAATATTCATCAGATTGCTCTTCTCCAAGATGATAAATCCAAATCTCTTGTTGCTTTTTTTTTTTTTCTTTTTAAATAAACTGAATCTAATCTTGTTAACAAAAAAAAAAAAAAAATAACTAATACACGATTTCTGTGTGAGCAACGAAATTACTCGCGTTTTTAGCTTGATCTCGACGCGAGCTTTTTCGCGTAATTAGTATAATAGGAAATTGTATATATATACATATATAATATGAATAGATCATGGATATATATATATATATAAAGAGAAAAAAAACATATACACAGATATATACACGTACGTACAAACAAACGCACAAAATATAGAATTTATCCTTTATAGAATTATGAGCCTTTTGGCGAGATTGTTCCGCATCCTGATACCATGCTAGAGGCGTGGCCCCCTCCCCCCTAAACCTTGTTTATTTTTTCGCATTTTTCTTTTTTTTCTTTCTTTTTATTTAATCAACGTCGCAAACTATAAATGAAAAATTACAAAAAAAAAAAAAAAAAAAACAATGCATAAGTTATGCAATAAATTAATATTTTTTTTATTGTAATTTTTCACTTAAATGTGAGCACTTTCGTTAAATAAAATGATTATTGCCAATTTTCCTTCCTCGTTTTCAGCCTCAGCCAGGACGGCGATGATAAAATAATAATCTGAATTCGATATTTGTAATTATGTTATATTGACGATATTAATATTAATATATTCGATATTGTTTTGAAAGCATTTGGGTTTTTTTGTTTTTGTTATATACCATAAAATTACGTCGAGGGAATGAAATGGAATTGTACGTGAAGATTTGTTCAACTGTCATTTATTCATTTATTGTGTTCGTCCCTTTTGTATTTTTTCTTAATCAAGAAAAAAATATATGTTATTAATACGGATCGTATATAAAATACAGATAAAAGGTAAGTTTTGTGGAAGTGATATAATTATATATGTATATATCGTTATGTCAAGGTAAAAAAAAAATGACGCCTTGCGCTAAAGTAACTATCTTATAATTATATATTTATATAATATATATATATATACGAGAGCAATTTGTTTAAATGAACGAGAACGAAACAAGATATGAATTTTTCAAATTGCTCCAGTATGTATTATTATGTCTTCCTTAGAAAGATAATTCGTTTTAATTTGTGCTTCTATATAGAAGATAAACTTACAACTAATGGGCGGATTATTTTGTTAATACTAACGATACATTATTATCTTAAAATTACCATCTTGTTTAAGAAGGACCGCGTCGAATAATTTATTTGGATAAGTTCGAACAAACGCGCACATACACATAAACACACACACACACACACTCATCCGATCAATTTTGATTATTTTTTGTCAGTTTTCTTTGCTAAGAAAATAATGAAACATACGAATTAGATATAGCCCTTACATATTATCTATTCTAAATACTTTAGACTCGCTCGAGTTTACGTATCACAATTTGGATTACTGACTGAGACGAGACAGAACTCTTTTTAGGCACAATTGGCAGTATTACATGACAGGATTTTTGACTAACTGATTATGACCAAAGGAAATGCTTGCTTGCATTCGCATTGTTCGACTTTGCTAACAAGGAAAGATATCTTCTTTGGAGTCAAAAGAATTTCTATGCAAATATACAAGGGGAACAACTAAAATCCGATAGTTCGTAGATCATCGGAAGGTACAACACACACGACTTTCGAGTATTGAGATCTCTGGATGATAATTCTATATCATAATGTTACTAAATTATTAATATTACTATCTATAAAATGCAACTTTTATATTGCACCGCATTTTCCCTCGAGGAAGATCACACAAAACGCGTTGTTTCTTTTTTTATTTCAAGTAGTGTTAATCGTTAAGTATTTGGAGGTAACAAAATTCTTCCAGTCTTCCAGTTTTAACGTCAATTCTCGAAGAGACGAGAAGGTCTCTAATTTTTACATAGCTGTTTCCAAAGGTTGACTCTTGCTACGCGCACCAGCTGAAAGTTGAGTCAGTTCGGTTGGTTCGTTTACCAAAAACGAATCCAAATTAGTTTCTAATAAAACTTCGCTTTTCGAACGAAGAGGTTTTTCTTCGCCGATATCTAAATTAGTTTCGAGAAGAGCTTCGCTTCTAGGTCGATTTTCCTGATCGTAATGATAAGGATGAGGTGGAAGAGGAGGACTGAAATCTGATTGATATTCGGGAACAGGTTCGGATGCTTGGCTAGGTGTTAACGTTGCCGTGTCGTAATTACGAATTTTATCATAATCGACTTGTCCGTAGGTAGCTGTAGTATCGATATCGCGTTTCAATTCACTCATGGAGTCAGTCAAGGCTAAACTTGAGTGTAAAGGTAAAGTAGAAGCATTATTCAGATAGGAATTTTCGTTAACATTGTCAACGTTCTGACTACTTTCGGGTGCAGCATCGGTGGTACTACTATCCAATGGCCAGTCACTGTTATTTCTTGAAGCGAATGTCGAATGATTTCGAAAGCCCTCGTTGCGATAAGTCAAATCGAAAACTGGATTGTCCGTATTTTGTGCGCTAGAGTAAGTTTCTACGGTATTCTTAAAGTCGCTCGTACTTGGAGAATATCGAGGATTGTGTGCCTCGTATACGTCGTAACTTTGATTATCTTCCATGGAAGAATTCAGTTGGGATTTGTCCATGGAATCTATACTTCCACCGTTAAGCATCCTTTTGTAATCTAACGATTTAGAGTTGAGCGTGTCCGTAGATTGTTTTGTCTAGAAAATATGGTAAAATAAAGTAGAACGGATAAAAAAAAAGAAAAAAACCTGTACAATGATAATTTCGTTGAAGTAGTAAACCTACTGCAATAGGTTTTCGCCGATAAGCCAATTCCGTGAATCCGGAGGTTGAACCGACCGATCGTAGAGAATGTAAGGATTGTCGAATAGAATTTCGCCTTTCTAATCGTTCGAGTTTTCGTTTTTTTGATTTAGACACCCACAAAACGATGGCAGCAGTTAACAGAGCCAATGCTACACCTAGAGCTCCCAAAACTCCTACAGCGACGATATCCTTTCTCCAGGAGAGTGGATCGATGTAAACTTTCGGATCTACAAATTGTGCATAACATATATATATGTATATAATCCGATTGTAAATGAAAATTATTTTTCTAATCTTCAATACATACCAATTTCGCAAAGGAAAGGATTAGGTTGAGCGCAATAATCGATCTCGATAGTTTGATAGGTAAAAATGGTACACTGATCGACGCGTTCGAGTTTTTGAACCCAAACGCGTTCGGAATAATCGAAACGTTCTTGTTGTTTCTTTAAAAATCTCCAAAGTTCTAAGTAATCTCCCATAATGAAAGGCATCGATGCGTTTACCATCTACAAATCAATCGAACCGTTTTTATACACTTAAAAGAATGAATAACATGAAACAAATGAAAAATACTCACTCGACAAAAATCTCTCGCACTGTAAAAGTCCATAGGCGCACCGATATAAATGTAACAAGTATCGCCAACGAGATCCCAAGCAGGTGGACATTTGCCACTTAATACGGACCTGTTGTTCATGTGAAAAGGTTGATAATCGACCTGTAACAATTCCGAAGAATCACCACGGTCTCGAATTCTTCCTGCTACGGCCAACGTTTCGTTGTAACCCCACCAATTGTAACGAGCGTCCACGTGAGATCTCCACATTTCTAATTCCCTAAAGACAATCACATTTCAATTAAATATATATTCTTTTGATCTTATTATCAATAATACCAATGATTGATTCTTACTGCGATCTGTTTATAGTAAGTATTTCATAATCGTTGTCGGGATTGAAGAAAACGTTATCGACGTAGCGTTGTCCTGGAGTACCAGCAAGAATAGTACTACGTCCTTCTCGATCAACAGCATAATTTCTACAAAATCATTTGAAAATAAGTTTAAACGTAAGGTCATTTATTGATCGGTCATACGTTTACTCACTTGTAAAATCCATTGTGCGAAGTGCTCTGATAGATCGGCAAGCGTACGCGTTCGAATCCCGAAATTTCTAATAGATGTAACCCAAGATTAACGTGAAGATAATTCAAGCTCATATTGCTAACAACTTGTTTCAAAACGATGTTGTTATCGTAGGGAGCATTGTTTTTCGTAAAGTAATTTCTGTATATCGTGACTTCTTGATAAGGGCTACTGTGACGACCCTCGACGTATCTAAATTTGATTTTGTTTTTAATTGCTTATGCTATTATTATTTCTATAATTTTAATATTATCGAGTAGTACTCACAAAGTAGGTTTATTCATATTCTCTGCAAAGAGATTATTATGAATCCAGCCTTTCAAAGAAGTAGCAGATCCTCTTGAGTCAGCTCTAATAGAAAGTCCACCTTGATTTAAACGCACCAAATTGTTCTATAATATTGCAAAATACGTTTATGTTTAAATGTGATAGTCGTGTGATAGTCGTGTGATAGTCGTGTGAAATTCTACAATTATTAATACTTACTCTAAAATATAACGATTGCGTATTTTGAACGTCTAACCATATCGCTGATTTACAAGTTGAAAAGTTACCGTAAAGTTGTTCACAATTATTAATAAATTGATTACGTTCGAGCGTCATTACAGCATTGACTTCGCCAGCACTTGCGTATTTAACAGCACCCTCTCGACAATTGGAAATAACCGAGTAAGAGATATTGTGTTGCACATCTCGATCTACAAAAAATATCTCTATCTTTGGTAGTTCATTATAATTTTGTTTATTTTCTAGAATATTATTTGACTTACTAAAACCAATAGCAGAAATTGGAAGAGTTACAATCTCGGCAATAAAACCGTGTACATTACTTGCACCATTTGCAAACAGTCTTACGCTGAGACTAGCTTCACGAGTTTTAAATAACTTTTTCTCGTAAGGACTATCAACTTCGAGATGACCTATTACTTTAGCTGTAACGTTGTAAATATCGCCGTCGTACAAAGTGATGCCGTCTGCTCGACCTGGTTTTCCAGTAGAATTGAAAAGATTAAACTGCAGAAGCCTGTTAAAGTAACGCGTTCAAACTTACAATCATATATAATTACAAACTTATAAATATTTTTGATTAAAATTTACCTGAAACCAAACGGTTTTGATCTGTAAGGACTGCGGAAAATTTTGACGCAATTAACTGGATGATTATCGTATTTGTAATATATAATAACACGTTCTTCGATAGTTATTTCTTTGGCAGTATCACAGATATCGATCATACTGAACAAATGATAGGGAACATTTAGATCTTTGATCGGACTAAAGGAACTTTCATCGGCTTCACGACCCTCGCCAGTTAAGGAAAGCACATTGATTCCATTACCAAGAACATTCTTAATGGTATTAAACAACAAATCTACCTGAAAATAATAAAATATATGTCAAAATCTTTCTTCTTCTTCTTAATTTATTCACACATATAATTTCATGTAGTTAATAGAAATTCGTATTATAAATACTTACTGTATGAGTAGGTGATACAACATTTATACCATGATAAGCACTGCGATCAATATTAACGTGCATGATCGTAGGTGATTTCATGATCGATTGCAAGGCAGCAGATTTTTCGTTATGTAAAATACCAGCTCCAGTGATATTGATATATTTCAATACAGATTCGACTCTTCTAATCGTTTCGTGAGTGACGACATCGTGAATACGATGTTCGTAAAGGTGATGTTCAAATTCGCCATTAGCTATTCGTATTCCACCCCAATAATCATAATCATCGTCAATGTTCCTTTTACCGCAGTGAAGAAAAACAAATTGTCCGTCCCAATTGCATTCGTGTCGATGTCTAAAGAATTGACCGTTCAATCGAATTTGACATTCTTCAAGATTTTCCTCATTTCCAGAGCACTAAAAAAAAACAATATTCAAAAAGGGACTTATTATAACAGTCAAGATAATAGATACCTCTAATGGTTCCGGCCAGGACCAAACGCGCGTCAATGAACCAGGATGTAATTCGTATCTACGATCATAGGACACGTATACATTTAAATAATCAAAACCGAGTTGTCGACAAGTAACTTGAGCATTACGTTCGGTGAAACGTTCGTCGCAAATTGGGATCCATTGTAAAGTAGTTCTATTGAAAACTTCTAAAAATCCTAGAAAACAAAAAAGCAAAGGATAATATATTCAAGCTCGTACGTGTAGCACGAAAAAAGCCGTAACAAAAAAAAAGTGAACCTTCGTTATTGGAAGAACTGCAACGCGCATCTTTACACAAACGTATCATCTCGTTGGACTTTGGTAGAACTTTGTTGGAAATGTCGACGGGTGGTGATATCGGTATAACCGATAAGGGAACAGTAGCATTACGTTTAACAGGTCTCATGACAATTTCATGGCCAGGCATGCCGACAGCTTTCAAAGTACCAAGTACCAAAATACCAACGTTAGGTGAAAACTCCATGATCACGTCGGGATGAACGTGTAACGTAGCTTGTGGCATGATAGTTAAATCGGATTTGATCACGTACGGTTCCGGCCTCGCATACAACGTTAAACTTTCTGTTATTCGACCGCCCAAATTATCTAAATTAATTTCCACTCCAATTTGCCAGGATGCTGAAATCGATGCGTCTAAGGAGTCGCTCATCAAATAAGGTCGATAATTGGTTACAGCGTAATTGTTCCAATCGTCAAAATCGAAAATCCTACGTCTGTAATATTACACAAATATACGTGAGAATATATTTCCTTGACGAGAAATTGCAAATGTTCTAGGTCTAGGATGATCTCACCTAATAACAGCGTCGTCAGAAGTGCCCCACCAATTTTCCGAAACGTCGACCTCGTTATTAATCTTGGCAGTTTTGATACCAGCAAGAAGTTCGTAATCCATAGAATTATCGCCGAAAAGATTCCTATTGACTCGTACTTTTTGTATACCATGAAAACCAACGACGTAACTGGGATAATCGTAAGATCTACGCGATCCAGGGGAATAATAACGGTCGAGTTCTCGATTTCGTTTAATCTCGTTGAAGTAAAAACGTGCACCGACATCGCCCAAAATTTCTGATTGACTGTAGGCCTTGAACTCGACCATGTAGATGCCGTAGTTGCCTTCTATTCTATTGTTATTCATTTTGATTCTTTTCTCCATGCCACGAATCGATATAAGACCATTTTTACAACGATTTCCATCCCAACGATTGTGCGAGACATTTAAGTTGGCAAAATGTCCATCGATCACGAAACTATATTGATCATTGTCGCGCCAAGTATTGTTATCAAAGTAAAGAGTATGAGTGAAATTTTCGTTGTATTGCCAAACATCCGGCAAAGTGACTTCGAAACCTCCGGCACGATTTCTTTCGATCGTACTATCTTGCATTATCCAATGAAATAGATTATTCGAATGTCTAGCGTCACGACTGAACTGCGATATTCCTTTGCCGTTATCCGTGATCAATGTGTCGTTCAAATGGATAGCGATCTCGGACAAGTTGGTCTCGTAAATGTTCCAATGGGGCGAATTAATGTAAATGGCCTCTCCTTGATTGTGGGAAATTTCGCAACCGATTAATTGTATCGTTTCGTTGGCCTTTCGTAGAAAATGATCCCCAATTTCGTCTAAATAACGATTGTAATAAGAAGCAAATACACCTTTTCCATTAGCTTTGATTCTTGTCTTGGATACGATCAACGAAGGTATAGGTCCACCGATTATTTTATTTCTCGTCTTCTGTTTAATAGAAATCATTCCAATTGACTAATATTATGACTAATATTATGTTCCTAATGTAGATATAATAAAAAACGTACTTGCACTGGCGCTAACAACGATGAGATGACTATAACGGCTCCACCGAGAGCATTTTCACCGCTCTCGTATTCCAAGACAACAGCGAATGAACTGGAAGTGGCAGGGAAAATGGTTAAATCGCGCTTCATGTGCCAAACGTTTCTATTCTGATAAATATCTTGCGAATCGTGTATTATGATCTCTTCTGTGCTGCGATTTTCTATCGGATTTAATAGTTGCATGCCGATTACGTAACCAGGAGTGCACTAAACAAAAGAGAACAATAAATGATTAAGTAAGTTAATATTATATTAAATATCTGTATTAATTTAATTGGAATCATTGGACCTATATATATATATATATATATATATATGTATACTTATGTTAATGATCTAAAATATGTAAGTATACGTAATTACCGTGATCTCAATAAATTGATGCAACGACTGGCCTTTCACTCTGTCCGTAATGATATACTTGGTCTGCCCATTATCAAGATGAATTTTCTTATTAATTCGTGGTATAATTATTGGATCGTATGAGGATTCCGTTGAATATTCTGGTAAACGAGCAAACCATCCAGCCAGTTCTCTTTGTTGAACAGCAGATAGTGCAGGATTGTGCCTTATACCCGCTACTTTATTATTTTCTATTCTAGAATTGATAATCCGCATGCCGAGTTGTTTAAAACTTATACCGCTTCCACCGTTATGAGAGAATTCGCTATTTCTAATCGTATTAACGGCATCGGCTGAATATATATCAGAATATAAAATCCCTAAACCATCTTGGAGATTATTAACGATCTTAACACCTTCCAAAGAGTGTCTCGCAAAATCAATTTGCAGGGCTAGAATGACGATAAATAACACATTGACTTTTATAATGAAAGATTTATGGATGGGGATTTCAAAGACGAAACACGCTTTACCTGATTTGAACAAGTTCGTAGTATAATCCAACAAGCCAGCTTTTTCGATAGTTACAAATTGCAAATCACTTCTCTGTGCCAAAGGTCCCAATCTAAGGCCAGCCCAGGCAGGTTCGGAACATCTGACGCCTACGTCGTTTTCGTGCGTACAAGAATTCTCAAAATCTTTGACCGTTTCTGCTCTACATTTAGAAATATCGTTGTCCTGCTCGGTACAACGTACGTTCGTAAGAAGGATGTCCTCGTTGATTCCTGCGTTGGGAATTTGCGAACGTTCTATGAACCAATTATCTGGATCAAGCGTGAGACCTAGTTGATGGCAAACAATGGATGCGTCGAGCAGGGTCCATCCATAATTACAAACAGTGCCCCATTTTTCACCTATTCTCACCTTTAGTGAGACAAAACAAAACGAACACAATGGTTGTTGGTTTCCTTTAAGATACGATCGTGTAAATTCATTCTATTTTCAGACCATGTAATCATACCTGTAATCTTCCTTCCAAATTCGTTTTACCTCCTAACAATCTAACTGGAATAGAATCCGTTGGAATAGAAGATTGAGGTGCATCTTCCAAGATACTCGAGTTTTGTGATTCCATAGAAATGTCTTCCTTCAAAGTTAATAGAATGTCGCTTTGCCTTCTACCGCGTGCATCCAATTTACCAGCCACCATCATTCCTACAGCTGGAGGAAAACGCAGAGTAACGCCAGGTTCTAATACCAATTTGCCACCTGGTCTGACGTTGATGTCGCGTTCAACGATGTACTCTCCCGATTTTAATAATTCTTGACCGTCCACTTCACCGCCGACCAAATTTGTACCCGGTGTTACGAATCTTGGAACGAACATTGAATTGGAGAAAATGGTATTTGCACCAGGATTGCTATTGTGAAGTAGATAAGGTAGATATTCGATCTTGGCAAGAGTATATCTGTCATTTCTATAAACAAATTTTCAATTAGATAACACGCAAAGGGAAGAACATTTATTTCAAATTATTCTTCGTGATATATTTGGTGGTACCTGTGAAAGAGTCTTTTAAAAATTTGATTCTCTTCAATATATCCAAGCCAATTTATGGTACAATTGATAACTTTGCTTTGATCTTCCAAATGTGAACCAATTTCGTAAGGCGATTCGGGATTATGTAGAATATTACGAAAGACTTGTACGTTGCTCGAAGACACTACAATGACGGCTGCTACTCGAGAACGAGGTATAAGTCTCGACGTTAAAAGCCCGCCATCGTTATCAAATAATTCTCTTACGCGATTCTCTCGCAAAAAATTTTTCGTAAACAATAAATTTTGTACGTCGCTGTAAGGCGAAAGACCGATGTTAACAACGAAAGCACCACGATTTCCGTAAAACTCATTGTATCTGATGGTAATGTCAGCGGGTAAAACATTAAACATTTCGTAGAGAGGATTTTTAATGAGTATTCCGCCATTGGAATGTTCCCTAAAATGATTGTACTCGATACAGGCATCAATATTAAGAGCTGGACTCAATTTGATTCCTAATTTTGTATTCTGTACGAAAGAGTTATGACCAATTTGTAACTTTAATGTTCCTTGGTTTACTCTCCAACTGCATTCCACTTGCAATGCCGTTTCCAAACTGGTATTGAACGAATTGCCTGTCACATTGACATACGAATCTCCAGTTGAATTACTAATCTGTGCAAAAACAATATATATATATATATATTATATCTCGTTAAGAATAAATAATAAGATTTGAATAGTAAGATTGTTATTACCAAGACACCGATATCCTTGTTACTAAATATCTGCGAATATTCGAGCACGGTTGTTTGATTGAAGTAAACGTATTCCGTGCTGGAACTATCATTAAGCCAAACCGCGAGTCCGTATCCGCTGTTAGAAGAAATGCTTGTTCGCGATATGTTGCGGTTACCACCGGCAACGGTAATATTTATACCGTCTCCTTGATTAAAGGAAATTCGGCTACCCGTTACGTTGACGTCCGCTGCACCATACAAGACGTGCACCCCAGCAGTATGTTCATTACTAGACACCGATGTTTCATGAATGTGAATAGCCGATCTTAATTTTTCTGCTACTATACCACGACCGTTATTACTTGCGATCGTACTACCTGTCACGTTCAAGTCGTATGTTTTACCTACAAGATAGAACAAGATAGATTGCTTCTTTTTAAAATTCCTTTCAATTTAATGTACTAACTGTATCCTGATGATAATCTGATGAAAGCAATCGTATTTGTACGTGGCTGAGCAATAAATTTAATATACAAATCTTGTCTGGTAGACGTAACACTTTGTGGTAAGGTATTGTTTCTGATTGTAACGCTAGCTAACATTTTTTCCGTTCCACTAATTCCATCGTAAACTTCAATGACTGCACTGTCGTTGCGGTCCGTTCGCATTTGTAAAAAGTGTATTGTCAGAACGTGACCCGGTCGAGTGAAAATATGCTGAATGGTAAAATACAAAATTGTTGTCAAATGTCGTGTCAGAGATAACATTTATGCAAGAAAAACTCACCTGTGGACAACGTTTCGTGTTGGGTGTATATTTACTTTGTTCCATGAATATCGTGACAGGAAAAGTTTGGCTGGTTGTACTTGGAAAAGTACATAGATCAAAAATACCTGTGCGGTCTAGCTTATCTTCCGTTCTTTCGTCATGGTGAATGTATTTAATACCATCTGCTCCATTCTCTTGTATCGAACATTCGTCTATGTGTGCCATACCGGTCGAACTGTTTACGTAAATTCCATACCCTGTGCACAATTGAAAGCAATTTTGGAACTTTGAAAATTTCTATGCACAAATAATTATATTACCTTTATTTTTGTTCACGGTAGAATTAGTTAAGACAACAGGAGCATCGGGTGTAGCGACATTAATACCCGTGAAAGCAGAGTTAAGAACAGATATCGATTCCATTCGAGGTGGAACACCCTCGACTTCTACTGCCGATGTAACGTTATAATCTCTCCCAGTACCAGCGTAACTAGAGAGATACAATAGAACATATATCACGTACAAACAAACGCAGAAAAAACATTTCTACGAATATCTAACTTACCGAATGATCACGTGTCGTAGAATTGATTTAGATCTTCTTACGTAGAGAGTATTTTCTTGAATCAATGGTCGATCGTAAAGAGCTCCTTCGAATCTAATACCACGCCAATGTTTAATAGCTTTGCTGGATCCATCGTGTCTTGGCAAACAAGATAATCCGAGATCCGGATGATAATCTAACAATTGAGAGCATTACTTAAGTTCAGTAGTCGTATGTTATTAGGAAATGTTATTAGGAGTTCTTTCCAAAATTTACCACAAACTCCAGCACCAAGTTGTCTCTCGGACCAACCATCGCAATTGGTCAAGAAAGATTCGGTTCCACGACAACGCGGTTGTTCGTAAAGTAAACGTGCTTCTGCTGGCCATTGACGATCGATCCAGGACCACCACCGACCACCTTGAAATCCTAGTTGCCTACACGCTGTCTCTAAATCTGCCCGAGTCCAACTGTCCAAATGTCATTATTAGTCAAATATATCGTTCAATTGTCTATTTGGTCAAAATCTAACGTACTTTCGCGAATTGGTACAAACGGAACGCCATCGATCTTGATGAAACAATTGCAATCTTCCCTCCAACGGAGATGGCCCATCAACGAGCCGTACAATAGCACCTATCGATTCAACAGGTGACGACGATTCGATGTCTTTTTCCGCCGAGGTGAATACGATTGGGGCTTCTGGCTCTCCCTAAAATCCAACACACAGCTACAATTTCATCCGAATCAAGAGTACAATCGTTTAAAACTCATTTGCAGATAGCAAAGATCTTGCCCTGTTCTCGAGTATAAGAGGATTAACGAGGTCGAAGGTTAACAACGTACGCACAAGAACCGTCTGTTGATCCATGACCCGAAACACACTACGGACGGTTTCGAGCTGATTCATTCATTCATGCCTCCGAGCTTCTTCGTATCCCGTACTTAATCGGCCGATTAACCACAGTTTGTCTCTTTCCTCCTATACATTGTATATAATCTACTTATATCTCTTATGATCACTCTGTATACACGTACGACTCGCTTATTCACGGTATGTCCGGTCGTTTGATGACCTTCGGCAGAAGCGTTCTAAGTGCATCGTCGTCGAACCGTCATTTTTACCGGATGACAATTAATATGACAGTTTGGTGGAAAAGAGAAAGGAAGGAAAGAAAATCACTGGACAAAACTTCATTCATTCCATATTATTATTTCAATCACATTGAGTTTCGTATTATTTTTCTATAAATATTCGAAATGTACGCATTCCACAGTTCCAGGAAGAAAAGTGCATCATCGTAGATCGTTAAACAATTGTTTTTGGTCATTTCCGTTGTTGCGAAAAGTCGTAAAGTGATTTTTATGAAGAAAGAAAGAGAGAGGGAGAGAGAGAGAGAGAGAGTAACTGTAGCAATACCGGCAGGAAGAAGTAGCGCGTAACAAAAAAGTCGAAACAATCCGATGATATTCCAGAGGACAACCGATTATGATTGTTACACCGGAAAGGTATATTTAAGAATGAAGTTGGTTTCATCGAATTACATTACTGGTATATCCTGACTCGGTCAATGGTCTCACATTAAAATGAATATTACAAATATTACCAAATATTCCTTTCGTCGTGTTAAATCGATTTTGGGTGCGATATTATCTTGACAACAGATTAGCCTATCGATAAGAAATTCATTTACTTTTCCATCTAACGTAATACGAATCGATTGCCTGTCAACTTGGCTTTTTCCCTTATAAATTTCAACAGAAAGAAATGATTCGTTTGCATTAAAAATTATCAACACCTTGGCCACTACGGTAATCTGTTATTATTACACGTTTATTGTAATTCCAAGAACTGAAATCGTTACCGACGACTCATTATCGGAATATGCTACAGATGATGATAACGAGCGTGCACTATTACGTTTATAATATGACTCACATATTCATTCACATCGAGGACGTTACTAACGTTTACGCAACGTGTATCGTTGACCAATAGAGTTTTCTTTAGGATTTCATCTAGGAAATGTGAAATATTGAAAATGTATACGTTAAATAAAATATTGTCAATTACCTTGGCAGTAATGATACCACGAACGGTGATTCCAACCATAGGACCAAAACGTATTTCAACACCAGGTTCGATAAGCAACTCTCCATCTTTCTCGACAAAAAGATCCTCCCTGATCAAGTAAGGATTTTTAACTCTCTGCAGCACCCTTTGTCCCTTAATTATTCTAACACCGTGTAACTCGGTAAATCCATCATAATTGTTCCCATTGTTGGTGCTATTGGAGTTAAGCAGTGCCGGTTCCGTATAGTAAATCGAATTTTGTTCGGTACTCTCTCGTAACTGACCATCAACAAGGATAGTCAAAATCGTGATGGAGAATAGAACGCGTAAAAGATGAGTAGGAATCATTTCGATGAAAGATTATTATTTTCCTTCTTCGGGATGACTCTATGAAATCTCGAAGCTTCGTTCTGTGAATCATCGATCACGAAACGATCGCGGTACACTCTCGTTAGGTAAGTTTCCAATCAGTCGTTTTTTCGATTCTTTAGGTTCTTTAAACTTGGAAGACTTTCCCTTCGAGTTAGTTCATGAGATCTTTATCGAGGGGAATTTAACGAGGCACAGCGCTTCTCTGGAGAACAGTTACGTTATGCTTCAGAGTGAACTCGGCGTATGTACTTGATGAACTCTTGCATGGATGGATGCTTTTCTCTCGACAATGTACAAAGTTAGAATTTTCAAATTTAACGTCCTACGTGTGTCCTGAATCCATTCTGAGTGGAAAGATCAAGCATCGATCTACGATGCTTGTTTGACATAGTAGTATAGTATAAGTATATATATGAAAAATAATTGGTGGTAACCCACGTGTATAATGCACAAACACAAACTGGATCTACCACTATCACTTGTACGCGAGATCATTCAAATCCAAACGTTAACTTTTCTCTTGTCGAGATGGATAACACGAAGAAAAAAGAGAAAGGTACAAATACCTTGTCCTTTAACTATCAACTATTTCTCACCTCTCTTATTTGTTCTCAGAGAGAGAGAGAGAGGGAGAGAGAAAGCGTCTATAGCGTCGAGTTTAGCGTCGAGCTTAGCGTCATTAGCGTTCTCCTTGACGACGCTGATAGCCAACTGGATCTCCCTGTGGAGAATAATGATCGAAGAGTTCGTCGACCTGCCTATAACGTTGCTGAATAATCGAATTTTGTAGAAAGAAAAGTAAACGTTATTCTTTGTTGAATAATAGGAGAAGAAATATTGGCACTAGCCACCTGGTGTAACGTCACGTTGGGTGCGGTTTGACCGCTCGACTGGCAGCGCTTCAACGCTACTATAAACTCCTTCGCTTCTCTTCGGTTCTCTTCTCTTCTTTACTCTCCTCTCGTCTCGTCTCGTCTCGTCTCGTCTCCTCTCTTTATGCTCGGAGGATCGGTACTACACACGTTAGCGATCACCACCGTGCTGCCTACTATTCTACTCGAAGGTAAACGCGCCTGCTGTCACGTGACCCTCGTCACGCAACTACGTCATGCAGGTTGTGAAACAGGTGAGTTCATCCCCGCTCCCCTTCGTCGTAGCGTTCACCATTTCGAGGAAAATCAACGTTTCAAATGTTTTTATCAAATAAAAGGGACTTCATTATCGCGTCGAGAGAAGAAATTCAATTAGAATTGTTAGAATTTATTTGGAAGAACAAATTTCTTATTTAAGATAATGGTTTTTTAATTGTTTTCTTTCGTTTTAATAAAGCAACGATTAAATAACTAATAATGATATTTGTCTTGTAAAAGCATAAAAGCGTTTCGAATTAATCATAGCGCAATGAAATAGATACCAAAAGATAGGGTTAACCATACTGATAGCATTATCGGCTTATCGTCGTTTATTAAGTCAACTAAAGGTGAATCGTACAATTAGTCATACAATAGAAGCGTTGCTAAATCATTATTTATCTTTTTGTTATATTAAATTTGTTCTTTTGAAATTTTTCTTTCTATTGGTTTCGATTGCGTTTTTTTCTTCTTCTTATTTATCTGATTGATTTGCTTACTTTATATCTATAAAGATGAAACTTCATTAAATATGTATACCAAGGAAATATAAAACATATATAAATATCGCAAAATAATGATGGTTTATTTGAAATTACATTTGAACACTTTCAAATTTACCGCTTTAAAATTGGACCAATCAAAAGTTGACGCTATTGCGCATGTACAAATGTTCTATCTAGTAACCGTATCCTAACAGATCTAGTAACCTAACCTAACAGACCGAATGCATTTTTACCACCAAACTGATGTCAAATGAAATATTAGCTGTTTTTATTTGAACATCAAGATTTTCTGCATATCAAATAAATTTATAATTTTTCAATATGACATCATTTTTAACCGATGTGTTAATTACAGCAGGTAATATTTACAATGTATAAGATTGATATCAAATGTAATTAATTAATTGTACTATTTACAATGTTTATGTTTTCCTTGTATATAAAAATAGAGCAAGTGGAAAAACTCAATCTTCAAGATAAAATAGCTCAAATACAGGAGGAAATAGTGAAATTAAAATATGATGTGAAAGATTTCATGGATGTTAATTATATTGAATTTTCGTCGAAATTAACGAAAAATCAACGTTTAGTTTCTAAAGCTGAATTACTTACACAGGAAATGAACGATTTACAAAAGAGAATAGATGATCAGGTAGATATTTAAATACATATTCATAAGAGAAATCATAATGAAAGAAAAAAAGTATAAGTGATAAATTTGGAATGAATATTATTTATTTTAGATCAAAATAGAATTATCTGGATCCACGAAGGAATTACAGAATCTGTCATTAGCGTTAAAAGAATCAAACCTTTGTTTTTTATTATCCAAACAATTGTTATCGCTTGATGAATACATCAAGTCAATAAAGCAGTATCAAGAAGAACAACGATACGTTGACGCTGCCAAAAGCTTATGTGCAATGCAAGTGTTATTGGAAAATCCAGAAAATAATATACAAGATCTTGAAATATATAATGTCATCAAAGAGGAATATAAAAATTTACACGATTCATTTTTATCTCATGCCTCTTTGCTTTGGCATGAACGAATTTGTTGGACCGATGTAGATGATAATAAAGATGAAGCTATTGTAACACTTCATATTAAGGATAAACTAGAAAACATAGAAGATTTAATTCGTGGTTTGCATTATGTCAACAAACTTTCCGATCATTTAGACAAATTTTTAGATTCTGTTATGAATCATATAATTCGAGCTATTATCAATGAGGAATGCTTGGTGTTTGTTTCGAAAGAAAACGTATTCACGATTAAATATATCGATAGAAAAAAACAACCAAATTATAAAAGTGTATTGCATAATTTAAAATTATTATTTAGATATCTTCATGAACATTTTAACATTGTAATAGACAATAATGAAAGTTTACTTATGAAAATGCAGCCATATATTTTAGACAAATTAGCGGAAAGTCTTACAACGAATTGTATAGCTAGAACTATACCTACTTCTACTGCGGAATTAAAAAATTTTGAACCGGTAATTGAAGAGATTAATGACTTCCAAAGTTATTTAGTAGAAATTGGTAAACAAACACAACATTTATTATAATATTATGTTAATATAATTATTGAAATAACTCTCTTAATTCTTGTCATAGGTTTCATTAAGGAAACACAATTATTCTTGAAAGAATACACCGATAACATAGACACTATTTTTATCGATAAAATATGCCAAGATTTAATGGTCAAAGCAAAAACTATTATCAGGAAAGATCTTCATGATTCGATTAAACATATATCCGAGGTCAATTTCATATTTCATTGAATGATTAAACAATTCTAATATATTCTAATGGTAATTATTCATTTGTAGACACCATTAAAATTTCCAAGCAATGAATTAGAGAACGAAGATGTACCAATTCACAGATACTTAAATGAATCTTCTTTTCAACTATCAACTTGTCAAATAAGGTATTTAACAATTTCATACAAATTATCATAATGTTATGAAAATAAGTATTTTTTTTTTCTTTTTTTTTTTTTTTTTTTTTTTTTTATAGCAAAAGCGCAAAAGAAATACTAGATCTTGCAAGAAGCATTTTGGACGAAGCTTGTGACAGTTTGGATGCTTCCGCAGTCAGGCTGTTCTATACATGTAGAAATATATTTGAAATGTATGCAGGATTAGTACCTGAACATCACCGAAAATTTTTGGAAACAATACCACAACAAGTCGGTAAGAAAACCAAGTCAAATGAGGAGAAGGATTCTCCAATAAACGACAAATAAGTCCTAGATAATATCTATTGGCCACTGGATATTACAACTGTTCTTAGCTTTATTCCACAACAACTGTATGTATCTCGCACACCATCTACTCACATTGGCACACGAATACAGGGACAAGCTGCCAGGATCATTGCAACAACTTAATTTAACGTTTGCTGACCAAACGCTGATACTGCGCAATGTGGGTTCCGAATGTTTTCTAGAACACATGAGATATCAGAGGAATATTATTATAGATATACTTAAAGAGTCAGGTCTGTAACAATTCAACTTTTCATATAGTAGTTTATTTTGTTTTTTCAAACGTTCAATAAGACAAATATATAAATATAATTAGGCTTAGCGGTGCTAGGTCAAGTCTCAGAATTACCTTCATCTACCGAACGTGCATTAAGACAATGCATCAGACAATTGGAATTGTTGAAAACTGTCTGGTTGGATGTTTTACCTATCAATGTTTATTGTACAGCCGTAGGTAAGTCTAGTAGTTAATCTTATTATTATCTTATTATAAATTCAATAGTCACACCTACCTCTTGTCTTTGTTTATAATATTCTTGATGACAGGATGCATCACTAATTCCATGGTCGAAGATTTAATAATAAGAGTTACATCCGTTGAAGATATACCAGCCGATGTAGCCTCCGATTTGGTGATAATGTTCAATATGGTAGCAACACGAGCACCAATGATATTTCCGGTAAGTTCAATGATAATAGTATTTCAATGTTAGGATTGACAAATAATTAGAGATAATAGATTTTTGTTCTACTTGATTTTTATTCATTTGTTTATTATACCACACAACACTGTTAAGAAGTCATGTGCGATTCTGCGATCAAAGAGTTGATGATATAGATAGAGTTGTTCCATCAATTTGTTCCTGTAAAAGTGAAACTGTAAGAACATATGCGGGACTATTACGTATAAATTTGACGAAGAATACTTTTTGTACTTTTAGGAATCTGACGAGATGTCACAATATGTACGAAAGTGGACTAAATTTGTAGAACTTATCAAAGTTCTTGGTGCATCATTAAAAGAAATTGAAATTAGATGGGCAAATGGGAAAGGTCCTCTTGCAAAAGAATTTACAGCTATTCAAGTAAAACAACTTATTAGAGCATTATTTCAAAATACAGAAAGAAGATCAGTTCTCTTAGCTTCTATCAAGTAATATAATACTGTATTAATATGTTATTAATAATCAGTGAAAAGAGAACATTTATTTCGTATTCTATGGCATTTCATGGCATTCGCATCATCTGAAAGATTTTCTTTTATCATTTGATATGTATGTTTATCCCTCCCTCCATAGTTATATATATATTAACCAGGGGACCAGACTAGAACCAACGTATTCACCAAATGTTCTTGTTTTGTCGAAGTATCATCTTTTTCCATCCATGGAACATTCCTTGAGAAACAACAAAATTCCTATGTTACACTAAAAAATAATGCTTTACTTCCTGGTCCCCCCTAATATATATATATAGAGAGAGAGAGATGGGATTTAAATGGGAAAAAAATTTTGTAATACAAATTGCAATCAACTCTAAATGTTTTAAATCCCATCACTAAATTATATAAATATATATTTTTTTGTAATCTTTATATTATTTGACAAGCTTTTCATGCAATCTATTTTTATACGACCCATTTCGCGTATGTAAGTAAAAACTCTTGGCATCCAAAGTATTTTATATGTTTTTTTTTCGTGTTGCAATAAATCTTTGTAAAATAAATCATATTTTATGAAAGTATCTTTTTATATGTAATAATAAAAATTAACTGATCATGTTTTCTTGCATAATAACCTTACAATCAAAAAGAGTAAATATAATAATATATATATAAAAAAAGA